GTCCCATTCTCCAGGGATAAGGCATGTTGGGTGTTGTAGGGAAACAATATCTGGAGGGTCTCAGGTTCTCCATCCCTGCCACAGCCTATCTGGATAGATTGCAGCCAAACATTCATGAGGTAACTGTGGAACACATATGCATGTGTGTGGCCACAGTCGTAATTCTTCTTCCTCCTCCTCCTCTTCTTCCATTGTATCAATGTGCACAAAAAGCTCTTGCAAGCATAGGTCAGAAGAGGAAAGGGTCAGAAGGAAAAGGGGACTGCATTCCTACACCTGCTTACTCAAAGGGACTTGTGTTGTAAATGTGCTTACTTCTGCATAGGGTTGCACTGTTGTTGGGAAGAGATAGGAATTGCTGTTGCCTTCCACATTGCTCCCTTTGCTGCCAGTTCAAATGAAGGCACAGGTGAGCCTGATACGATGGGACAGCAGCAACTGTGAAACATTACCCAGAGTCAGGTAGAGAGAAATGGGGGGTGGGGAGAGGTTGCAGTGTTTGGGACTTTCTAGTTTAGAGAAAAGGTGAGTAAGAGGTGACATGATAAAGGTTTATAAAAGTATCTGTGGCATGGAGAAGGTGGATAAATAAAAGCTTTTCTCCCTCTCCCATAATGTTAGAAATGGACATAAAATGAAGCTGAATGCTGGAAGATTCAGGCCAGAGAAAAAAACTGTGGAACTCACTCCCACAGAATGCATTGATGGCTCAGAAAATGATGAGACGGTTACCTTTGCCTGACGGGTGAAGGTCCCACCAGGAAATCTCTGACAAAATGAGACAATCTGGGGTTCTGAGAATCCATGGGGCCTTAAAGTGTAATTATAATCTCTTCTTGCTTTTTTAAAAAAAGAACACCAATGTGATTTAAAAAATGTTATGCACCCTAAAAACTGAAGGGGTAGAGCAGGGCATAAGTTTCAAAAAATGAGCACTTAGGGAAGCCAAATAAGAAGATCATTGGGGTGGAGGAGGCAGTGGTGGGTGTTGTGAAATAAGCAATAACCTCAAGGGGAAGAAACTTCAGTTCTGGAATTTTGAGAAATAAGCCTCAGCATTTCAGTGGCAATAGATAAAGATCTGTCTGACTCTATGCTTTTGACTCTTGGCAGTTTGTGACTACAATAAGAAGTTTCCAATGTGTCATTTCCACTGGGGGTTTGCGTTCATCCTGTGTATTGTGTGTGTGTGTGTGTGTGTGTGTGTGTGTGTGTTTGCATGGGAAAATGCACATAGATGCACAAATATTTTGGGGTGTTATTTACCACACATCTACTATCTTTCAGGGACTGCATAAGGATCCTGCAATGTGTGGGCATAGTACTGAAAAAAGAATCCCGCCCCCCGACAAATCCATTACAACTAAGCTGCCAAACCGAGTTCTCATGATTCTAGAATATTAGATGACATGAAAAAGTTATCCAGTTCATCTACAAAACAGTCCTATGAATGAGGAGATCGTAGAATTCCCCTGTTCTGTACCTTTTTTGTTCTCTTTGCTTGCTCTGAATTGTGGTTTACCTAGGAGGATTTCTATAAAAATAATAATCTGGAAATCAAGCATGCAGTGTCTGTTTTAGCTTTTTCTTGATAGGTAACAAGTATGGGAACCAAGCAAGACAAACTGGAGCTTTTAATACAGGATGTCAAATGTGGGATGAGACTCATGACTAGAATGTAGGAATTGAGAGGTATAACCTGTTCAAAAGGAATAGACCAAACAGGACAGGAGGAGTAGCATTTTATGTAAATATGTAGCATTTGTGAATAAATCCATGACCTGGAACATAGAAAGCAGATTGAGAGTATATGGGGGGGGGGGGGGGAATTTAAGGAGAGAGAAACAACAGTGACTTTACTGTGGGTGAATGCTATAGACTGCCAAGCCATACTGAAAACTTGGATGATGCCTTACTAGAGCAGATTACCAAACATTCAAAATAGAGAGAAATAACAATCATGGGGGACTTCAACTTCCCCAATATCTGTTGGGACTCAAACTCACACAAGAATGTAAGGTCTGACAAATTCCTCCATTGCTTCACTGACAATTTCATTTCCCAGAAGGTGGAAGAAGCAACAAGGGGATCATCTACTTTGGACCAGGTTCTCACCAACAGGGAGGAACTGATCAACGAAGTGCATACACTTGGAAACTTGGTATGAAGTGATAACGTCCTCCTATGTTTCACAATACAAAGGAAAGGGAAAGCTAAGTGTAGTCGGACACGCACTCTGGATTTTAAGAAGGCCAATTTCAAAAAACTGAAGGAGCTCAACCAAGGATGAGATCCCATGGTCAGAAATACTCAGAGAGAAGGGAGTTCAAGATGGATGGGAGTTTCTAAAAAGAGAAATATTGAAGGCCCAAATGCAGACAATTCCAAGAAGAAAGAAAAGTGGGAGGCATATAAGAAGAAGAAGAGTTTGGATTTGATATCCCGCCTTTCACTCCCTTTAAGGAGTCTCCAAGCGGCTAACGTTCTCCTTTCCCTTCCTCCCCCACAACAAACACTCTGTGAGGTGAGTGGGGCTGAGAGACTTCAAAGAAGTGTGACTGGCCCAAGGTCACCCAGCAGCTGCATGGGGAGGAGCAGAGACGCGAACCCGGTTCACCAGATTACGAGTCCACCGTTCTTAAACACTGGCTCTTAACCACTACACACAACCGGCATGGCTGCATAAGGAGCAAATAGATGAGCTGAGAGTTAAGAAGGGCATGGATAAAAAGTGTAAAAAGGGGAAATCACAAAGGAGGAGTATACATGAGGAGCCAACAGTTGCTATCAGAATAGCAACAAAATAAATGATGTAAGGAGGGAGCTGCAGCCCAAGATAGGAAAAGAGGTAGTAAGGGAATACCTAGCTACTTTACTTTTTATATAAATTTTATTTATAATTTTCATTGTTGCCAAGCATCACATGGCAGTTCCCAAGATGAAGGAACTGTTTTTTGTCTACATTTGGAAACTTAAACATTTTAAATCAATAAGGCAATCAAACCATTCTAACTTAGAATGATCCAGATGCCTTGGGAGATACAGTGGTACCTCAGGTAAAGTACTTAATTCGTTTCGGAGATCCGTTCTTAACCAGAAACTGTTCTTAACCTGAAGCACCACTTTAGCTAATGAGGTCTCCTGCTGCCGCCGCGCCGCTGGAACCCGATTTCTGTTCTCATCCTGAAGCAAAGTTCTTAACCTGAAGCACTATTTCTGGGTTAGCGGAGTCTGTAACCTGAAGCGTATGTAACCTGAGGTACCACTGTACTGTCTCCATTTGGCATGATAGTTCTTGAAATTGAGGAGTGGATTTTGGCCTAAATTGAAAACTGTTGGACGCTATTTTGAATCAAGGTGGTGGGCCTAACTGTTCCAAACTGCTTTGACTGGGACGCTTTTGAGGCTATCATTGCCCCATTTGGGGTGATGGTTCCTGAGACCAGACAGTTGGTTTTGGTCTGTGTTTGGAAATCGTCAGATGCCATTTTTAATCAAGATGGCACACAAATCGATGCATCCTAAACAGCACTGATTTGGACACCTGGAAATATATTCTTGCCCAATTTGTCTTGACAGTCCACTGACCTAAATCCCATCCCTCTTGTCCATCCAAGGGTGCCAACTTGAATAAAAATATTTTTTTGGGGGGTGGGGAGGTAAGCCCTGCCCCACATAATCAATCATATAACATGATGCACAAACACCATTTAAATGGCAATGTCCATAAACTGGGGGGGGGGGGCTGGCCACCTCAAATATTTTATTGAGGGGGAGAGGCAAAGGGACCTCAGTCCCTAGGAGTTGGCTCCTATGCCTCCCCCAAGTCCTCCCCAAGCAATCTGATACTCCTTTGTCTTGCCTTTGCTCCACCCTTTTCATACCTCTTTGGGTTCTGGGAGACCAGAGAGGAGGGGAGCTTGTTGAAGCAGGAGGGAGAAACAACTTGCTCCATCACCACCTCTTCCTATTCACCCCTTCTTCTGGAAGGTTAAAGTTCTCCCCCCCTCCCTGATGAGGCTCTGCACTCCACAGTAGGCGGGGGTGGGGTGGGAATCACCAGATTTGCTTGCCCATCTGACATTTAGAGTAACCAGAAGGGCACCTCCCTCTTCTGTCCCTGGATGCCTGCCTTCCAGTACCCAAACCACGTCTTTCCCTTCCTCCTCCTCTTCCAAATGGGGCTGCCAAGTGATCTGACTCAATATAAGGAAGCTTCCTATGTTAAGCACCAGGCAACTGGGTGGGTCACCTGGAAATAATTTCATAGCCACCTCTTGCTGATGTATATAGTACGCTTGAATTGGGAATCATAGGGTCCTCTAAGTGTATGCAGACAACTAGCAACACAATTAGGTTCCTGGCAGCTAACATATATGTATTTGTCAACTGAATCAGATGGAGAATATCATTCATGGCATATGGTAATGTTCCTTATGTGGTGCAACAAGGGAGAAACATTTTGTTTACATTTGCAACCTGTTCTGATTGAGTGGAAAATATATGCTGGAAGTCGCTCTCAAACACTAGTGGCAGCATTGTAAGCATTCCCCCCCCCCCCTTCCAAATCTGTCTAATTTTTCCCAGCACTGAAAAGATCACAGCTCTCTGTATCTTTTATCAGGGGGAAGCCCAAGTTTCAAAATCATTTCCCCACGTTTCTATGAAATTCTAAAGAAAACAGTAAGCAATGCCTGTTGATGCATGAAACTTTAATGTCAATGCATAAGCTCCAACATTTATAGGGGAAAGTGAGGTCACTACCTAGTTTTCCTCCCTCACCAATTCTAATCATAGACTCATAGAGCTGGAAGGGATCACAAGGATCATCTAGTCCAGCCTTTCTCAACCTGTGGGCCTCCAGATGTTGTTGAACTACAACTCCCATCACCCCTAGCTAGCAAGGCTAGAGCTCAGGGATGATGGGAGTTGTAGTCCAACAACATCTGGGGACCCACAGGTTGAGAACCGCTGAAACTGCCTGCAATGCAGGAATCTTTTGCCCAACATGGGGCTCGAACCGATGACTGTGAAATTAAGAGTCTCATGCCCTACTAACTGAGCTATCCCAGGAGATTGGTGTTTTTGAAGCCTTGATTCCATCTTTTATGTGCTCAGTTTATTTACACAGAAAGTCTTGTACTGCTGTGTTTTAAAAGCCAAGACGGTGATTTGTGATTTGGTTGGCGATTCAGCAGAACATAGATCAGGCCCAGGGGCTGAAAGTGGCCCTCTTGGCTTCTTTGTCTGGCCCTTGGGATTCCTCTTAGGTCATAACCCAACAGAGAGCCGCACCTCTTACTGGCCCTGCTTAACATTCTCACTGAGTGCTTTTGCCTGGCTGGACTGTGTTCTTGAACTCTGAGAAAGCCTCTTGTGTGGCTGGCTGGAGGACTGAGTGGAATGTGTGTAGAAAGTAGGCAGCGATGCAAAGGTACAATCTTGTTTAAAAAACAAAAAACTTTTTTACATTGTTACATTTACGATCACAGTCCTATGTTAAGGACGAGTCTGCTGAAATGCATCCTGCTATTATAATGAAAAATTGTGTGTGTAGGTTCTGTGACTCACAGAAAATGGTTCAATGGACTAATCTGAAATTTGGCAGCGTAAGAGAGGTATTATTATTACTATTATTAGACTGGATCTATGTTCTGAGTCAGTAGCTAAAAATCTGAACCAGATTCCAGCTGGATGAATATTTGTAATGTGGAATGTTAACTCCAGTTGCATGATAGCTTCAGGCAGTTACATTAGCCTCCTTGAGCCTATTCCAGTACAGTGGTACCTCGGGTTAAGTAGTTAATGTGTTCTGGAGGTCCGTTCTTAACCTGAAACTGTTCTTAACCTGAGACACCACTTGAGCTAATGGGGCCTCCAGGTGCTGCTGCGCCGCCGGAGCACGATTTCTGTTCTCATCCTGAAGCAAAGTTCTTAACCCAAGGTACTATTTCTGGGTTAGCGGAGCATGTAACCTGAAGCATCGGTAACCTGAAACATATGTAACCCGAGGTACCACTGTAAACAGACAAATCTTGGACTTTAGTCCACCACTGCCTGCTGACAGCCATGCATCTCTAAAACAGTGGTAAAGTTGGAACTAATCACATCATAGGATGCCATACCAAATCCATATTTCCCAGATAACATGTTTGTTAAGAGTGTGACCCTTAACCTGTGCTATGTCCTGGCATTTTGGAGCTTGAGTGAACGTAGAAAGCCTTAACATGTGTTAAACCAAAAAGGGTTTTATTTTGGTTAGAACAGAATTGCCTACCTTTTTCACAGAAAGTATGTGCCTTTTAACAGATGCATGGTAGGTGATGACTCAGAAGAAATATCCCCCTATCCACACTGGGGGCGGAGGAGGAGTTAGAATCTCTAGGCTATGCTCACGTTGTCAGTTTAAAACGCAGCTAGGTCATTCTTCTTCTTCTTTTTTTCAAATAATGAAAAATGAAGTTTTTTATATATGTATATAAAAACTATAGAATAGAACCAGGATAGATATGGGTTGTGGGCTCACAATGTGTATACACCACTACTCAAACCAGTGGTGAGAGTGCACTGGGTGAAGAGTAAAGGGAAATGTATATGCAGCCTTAGTTTGTACAATTTCAGATGGTGGTGGAGAATATAACACAGTGATGCTTTGGTTTGTGGGCATTGTGTGTGTTCTTTAAAGTCTAGCTACTACATGCCCAGACTTGCCTGAATTAGCCCAGACTTGCCTGAGCTGTCCCAGACTTTCCTTACAGTCTTATTTCATGTCTTGCACCCAGGGATGCACCTTCCAAAACAAGAACCACTGCACAGCTGTCCTTCAAAATTCACACTCCTCTAAATTTTCTACTTCAGTTCTCCAGCTGAGTAATGTGTACAGAAATGCATACACTGCGGTAAGGTGTCTAGAAAAACCATATATTGATGAAAATAACATTAAAAATGCATTATTTTAGGGGAAATGGCTTTACAAAAATCTGTATTTTTATTGCAAACTGATGTGGAAATGTGGAGAACTGAACAAGTTTAGAAAAAAGAGGAACTGGATTTGTCTGATTTGTCTGCCCCTCCCTGTACCATATCTATTTATGATTATGCCCACGTATTCATTTCCCATTTCACAGTTCCAATTCCTTATATCAAGTAATCCACATACAGCCAATATTTTAGTAAGGAGTCTTATGAGTTGGAAATGCCTCTGGAAATGCCTTTTGCTATGGATCTCCTTTTAGCCATGCAAAACATAAACAACTTTCTTCTTATGTCAGCCAGAGCATGTATTAAATCTAGAATCAACACTGTCTTCTGTTTAATTCCATGAATGTGATTCTCTTGTTTCTTTTTTTTAAAAAACTTTTTTAAATTCAAAATTAAAGCAAAACATATTATCCAGAAACATATCCTTACTTTTTCCCCATTTTCCCTCCCTCCCCCCACGCTCCCACATAAAACCCACCCACCCCCACCCCCCGACTTCCCTCAGTTCCAGTCTTTGATTTCTCTGAGAATGCTGTTTTCTGCATGCTACACAGTTGTATAGATCCTCAAACTATTTAGCTGATTATCATCAATAAAAAGTTTGTGAATGTTCATTCAAAGCCAGCCAAGGAGTCCAGTTCGCTTTGTTGCATCTTCAAATACTTTGTAAAGGGTTCCCATTCATCTTTAAAGTCACAGTTATCCTTGTCCCGTAGCTTATATGTCAATTTTGCCAGTTCTGCATAGTCCATCAAATTTTCTTGCCATGATTCTTTAGTTGGGGTTTCTTCAGTCTTCCATCCTTGTGCTATTAGAACTCTCGCGGTTGTTGTCGCATACATGAAGATGTTTTCCAGCTTTTTTGGCAGATCTTTCCCTACAATCCCTAACAAAAATGCTTCAGGTTTTTAAACAAATGTTAAATGGAACATTTTCTTCAATTCATTGTATATCATTTCCCAAATTTTTTTAATTACATTACATTCCCACCACATATGATAAAATGCCCCTTCCTTTTCCTTACACTTTCAACATATAATTTTTGTACATTTTCCCTAACTGCACTGGTGTTGTGTACCATCTGTACATCACCTTCATGTAATTTTCCTTCAATAGGGAACAATCTGTAAATTTTAAATCAGTTTTCCATAATTTTTCCCAATCTTCCATCATAATGTTATGAGCTACATCTTGTGCCTATTTAATCATAACTGATTTTACCTCTTCATCTTTCGTCCCCCATTCTAATAGTATGCGGCCTTCAGTAATTTCACTTTCCCTTCGATCACTTCCGTTTGAAACCTAGATTTTGTATAACTGAATCCTTTCTTGCTGTCTTCTTTATGTGTTCCATATATTTGTCGATAATGCAACCAACTCTGAAAGTGGTCTTTGATGTCATCATAAGCTCTTAATTTCCATTTTCCATCATAGTCCTTTAATAAATCAACATATGTGAGCCATTTCTTTCCAAGTGGTTTGAGCAGTAATGCTTCATGTTTCTTTATTAGCTAATAAACCAAAGTTATTGGTTGAGCAATATTGGTTGGTACATGTTAGAGTTAGCCCCAGAGGTAAAGCTGGAACAACTAGATGCCCATCTGACTTTATTAAGAGACACATATGCTAGTATTATCAGGATAAGGACTGCCGAAACATTACAGCGTGTCAGGCATCAGCTGAAATTATATGGGAACAGAGGAAGAGAAAAGTGAAAAAGTGGAAGTAGAGACGCTGCATAGGATATGATCAGAACAGGTAAAAATGAAGAAACAAATGGAAAAATAAACTTCTCTTAGAATTCCCAAGTAAGCTGGGTACGAGGCTGCTAGTGGTCTATAAAGTATATCTGCATGTTCATTAGCAACCCTGGACTGTAGCACTTCCACAAGAGAACATCCTAGTGATAGGCTGGACTCTTCCAAAGCACTATGCTCTGAGCATTTCTGCAGCAGGCAGAAAGTCAGCAATAAATCCTTTATTCCATGGAGCAAGTTGAACAGTAGGATTTTTATTTATTTACTTATTTTTAACAAAAAAAATAATCTAATAAAACCGCCATCCAGTTTATAACCTGTCATTTTGGAAACTATTCTTGGGACATTTAACCAAAAGTCTTTGAAAAAGATGACATCTGTGCTCCTGTTCCTTTTATTCAGAGCTCAGTCAGCAGTCACTTCCTTTAAAAAAAGAAAAGAAAGAAAGAAAAGAAAAAGGGGAAATTATATCCCTTCATTTATACCACAGTGACTCTGCAAGGTAGGCGAGACTAAGAAATTCCAGAGACCTTCAGGGCCAAGGACCCTTTAACCCTTTGATCCTTTGAACTATTTTTAAGGAAATTTGCCAAAATTGGATTTCTGCCTGGACACTGTTTCCAACTACTGTATTCCAGTTGTGTCCAGGAAATTTGGATGTATGGCAGCCCTACAACTCCCATCATCCCTAGCTAACAGGACCAGTGGTCGGGGTGATGGGAGTTGTAGTCCCAAAACATCTGGAGGGCCGGAGTTTGCCTATGCCCGGTATAAGCTTTTGTGTGCATGCACACTTCTTCAGAGATACACTATACAAGATACATTCTGGAGGCTTACATCATTAATCAGATAATAGATCTCCTAGATCCTTTTCAGGACTCAATACTTTAACACCACAGGCATTTGGGATGGAAGAGAGCACTTAATTTCTACCCAGTCTCTTATTAAAAATGAAGCAACTTCCTTATATAATCTCCATGGATCGGGAACTTAAGACACTCCAGTGAGACAGGGAGCCTCTGAATGCTGCCCAGCTCCCACAGCAAATAGATGGATGTGGTAGTGGTGTAGCCCAAGTCTCCCAAGACAGATGGATGCCAACCCAAATCCCCTAATAACTGTGCAACCTGCTCATATTCATATCTATCTATCTGCAGTGCAAATACACTTTAAAAACAGTAGGCACCATAAAATTATCAAAACGTCAATAAGATCAACAAATTTTAAAAGCAAATATACATAATAAATTGGGTAGGTTTGCCTAACCAAAATGTTTTTTAGCAAGTGCTGAAAAAAAGTGCCTGCCTGATATCAAGAGGCAGGGAGTTCCAGAGATCAATTTGCACTTAGCAGAATGGTTCATCTGATATCATGTTTTCGTTGTGAGGCTTTGGATTCAACCCCACAGTTCATTCTGTCTGCTTTAAATCATTTTCAACCTTTTGCACAGGAGTTACTGTAAAGACTCAGGAAATGGTGAGGTTTAGGTTTTTTGGTTTTCTTTTTGGTAAGTTTCCGAGGAAAGAACTGAAATTAAAGCAGCAAGCTTCTAACTGCAGTCATCCTCAAGCCATTTGACTAGATCACTGCCAGCTGCGTCCTCGGAAACCAGAGCAAACACTGCTTTTAATGTGGTCTCCAGAGTGAACGCTGCGGAGGCAGTGCAATGAAGCTCCAGCTAATTGCAAAGCAGAGGTTTGGCTTGTGGCTTCACTTGCTCTGCTTTGCATTATTTCACGCCTCTCCACCCTCATACCATATGACGTCTCTGAGTAGGAGACTATAGGAGGCTGTTTAATCGGATTGGGGAACCTCAGGCTCGGGACCAGAGGACCTCTTCAGCATCCGTGTCTGGGCCTTGGAACGCTTGGAAAGCCACACCCCCTTTCCACCCGCCACACCCTTCACTGGCCCTAATTCTGCTGTTCCTTGAGTGCTTTTGCCTTCCTGCAGTGGTTCTCAAAGGGTGTGGTGGGAAGATTCCAGGAGAGTCAAAGAAACATTTAAAATTTTCAATGTAGTATAGTACAGTATAGAACAGGGGTGCCCAAACTTTTTTCAAAGAGGGCCAGATTTGATGAAGTGAACATGCATGAGGGCTGATCAAACTTGCTAAACTTTTTTTAGGATTGAACTTGCTGAGATTTTTTAAAGGATTTTACCCCAGGACATATATTGCCACGTGGGCTGGATTAAATTTGCTCGTGGGCTGGATTAAGCCCCCAAAACAGACTTTGGACATGCCTGGTATAGAATAATATAATTTTTTATATAGGGGTGTGTGTGTGTACAAACACACACACACACAATGAGAGCAAGAGCATTGACTTTTCTCCTACATATTGTTGTGAACAGGGATTTTCCACTCTGACAAATATGAAAGCTCAGGAAAGAGAATGGCTTCTTCGTGCTGATGAGGAGAAGAGAGTTTGTTTGTCTCAAATTAGGCCTAATATAAATGAATCACTCAGCAAAAGCAAGCTCATACCTCTCATTGAGTCTATATACATACATAAGGTACATACAAGGGTATAGCCAGGACTTTTGTTGGGAGGGGGTGCAGAACCGATGTGATTGGTCAGTTAGGGAAGTATTTCTATTGTTTCTGGGGGGGTGTAGCTGCTCCCCTTGCCCTCCCTTGGCCGCTCCCATGGGTACATATATTAGAGGCTTACACAGGCAGGAAGAACCAGATGTGCAAATATAAGATGGGGGACACCCGGCTTACTAGCAGTACATGTGAAAGGGGTTTAGGGGTTTGGGTGGGCCACCAGCTTAACATGAGTCAACAGTGTGATGCAGCAGCAGGAAAAGCTAAAGTTATTCTAGGCTGCATCAATAGAAGTATAGTGTCCAGGTCAAGGGAAATAATAGTCCCACTCTATTCTGCCTTGGTCAGACCACACCAACTGAGAAACATTGGCCTGCAAGCACTCCAGTTGGAGAACAGCCTTTACCAAAGGTGCCATGGGCTTGAAGACACTCAAACTCAAGACAGAAGGGAGAAATGTGCTAGGAGGAAGGCACACTTGGCAAACCCTCCTGCCCGGAAACCTATGTCCCCACTGTGGAAGGACGTGTGGATCCAGAATTGGCCTCCACAGTCACTTACAAACTCATTGTTAAAACCATGTTTATGGAAGACAATCTTACTCGGCTACGAGTGATAAGAAGAAGAAGAAGAAGAAGAAGAAGAAGAAGAAGAAGAAGAAGAAGAAGAGGTGTTCAGGTCAAGGGAAGTAATAGTCCCACCCTATTCTGCCTTGGTCAGACCACACCTGGAACACTGTGTCCAATTCTGGGCACCACAAATTAAGAAGAACATGCTGGAACATGTGCAGAGGAGGACAACCAAGATGATCAAGGGTCTGGAAAACCAAGTTTTAAGAGGAACTGTTAAGGGAGCTGGGTATGTTTAGCCTGGGAAAGAGGAGAGAGGATATATGATAGCCATTTTCAAATATCCAGAGAGCTGTCACATGAAAGATGGAGCTATCTTGTTTTCTCCTGCTCTAAAGGGTAGGACTTGAACCATTGGATTCAAGCAACAAGAAAGGAGATTCCAACTAAAAATCAGGAGGAACTCTTTGACGCTATGAGCTGTTCGACAGTGGAACGAACTCCCTCAGAAGGTGATGGACTCCCCTTCCTTGGAGATGGCCAACCGTCATAGCTACTTTAGTTGAGATTCCTGCATTGCAGGGGGTTGGACTAGATGACTCTTGGGATTCCTTCCAACTCTTCTATGATTCTATGTGCTTTTGCTTGTAAAGAACGGGATCTGTCTGCCACCTACTGGTATAAAGCAGGAAATGGTTCTGAGAAAGAAGCAGAGAATGGGTGAGCTCTAAGTTAGCTGAAGCAGTTTGCGGTACAGGCTTCTTACCCCTTCCCCTTTTTGAGGATTGTATATGGGAAAGCAGAACACTCCTTGAGGCACTGGATTTCTAATGCAGCTGATCTTCAGCATTTGTAAGGTGAAACCATGTATGGCAGTTCTACCAGGATGGGTCTTGAGGGATCTAGGATCCAGCTAGGTTGAGGGTCCAGATACAATGACCAGGAAGGGCCCAAAATGTAGCAGAACAGTATGGGGTAACAACCCCACCCTCTCTTTCAAAATGTCTCTAGCCATTTTATGCCGGCACCACAAGACATATAGCAAGAGTACCAACCCTTTCTATGTCTTTTTACCCCTCAAAAGTACTGAACAAAGGAATGCCTAGAAGATTGTCGCACCTCTGATATGGGCTCAGCAGGAGAGCATCTCCATTAGAAACCACATCACCAGGTGGTCTGTGCTGTATAATGGAGGGAGGGAGAATTGGATATTATCGAAAGCAAACGACCATCTTGATGGTCCTGATCTACCCAGAAAAAAGGACATAGGAAGGTTGCTTTATCCCAATTGAGACCACTAAGTCATTGCTTCCAGTATTCTTCACTGAGTTTCAGAAGCAAGAGACAAAGCCTCAAATTGTTGGTGAAAGATTCAGCTTTATCAATTGTCACATTTTTTGACTGATCGCAACATTGCCCAAGTTCTCCTATCAAGGCATTGTTTGGGGTCATCAACCCAGGGGAAAGCTGTCATCAGCACATCATTGTCCCATGACAAAATAACTGCCTTAAGCTATCTTAGGCCCTTGATCCATTTAGCTCAGTATTATCAACACTAACTTGCAGAGACTCTCCAGTATTTCAAACAGGGGATACTGAGGATTGAATGTCGGAACAACTGCATACTATGTGTGTGCTCTGACAAGGCATTTTGCCCTTCCCTGAATACATAGGAACAAGTGGCTTCATCCCATAATGACCCACCTAGCTTAGGACTGTCTACACTTGCTGGCAGAGACTCTCCAGAGTTTCAGGCAGAATCTTTCCCAGGCCTTATCTGGAGATGCAAGGGTTGAACCTGGGATCTCAGCCACTAAGCTATGGTCCTTCCCCTTCAATTAACTGCTGATAAATGATGGCTCTGTACCATTTTGAGAGTTTGCCTCACCTTTAGAATAATTTGGTGCAGGAGGCTAGTACTTCCTCCATCACCATCTATACTATTGACTGTCAACATCGCTCCATGGTCTCACAAACAAGTTCTTCCTAAACCCTTTTCCAGGGATCCTTTTAACTCAGGGATGGGAAATCTGTGGTCCCGCACATCTTTGCTTTCACTGGCAATGCCAGGAATTTAAATGGAGACTGCCTGCAATTTTTCTGTCATTGCTATGGTACACACACACACTGCAGAGAGGCCTATATACACCCATACCCCTTGAATGCACACCAAACAATATGACACATTTAAAAAAAGACTCAGAGATTTCTGTAAAAGTAAAATTGTGCTTTTATTTAATTTTTTTAAAAATGTACAATCAGACACTGTCCTGCTGTGTTTTGGAAAGCATGGATTGTTTAAAAAAAAACCTTGATGACAAAAAACTTAGCTTATTATTATTATCATCCTTTTCTTTTCATTTCATTTCTTTTCATTATATTAATAATATTAATCTTAGGATGAAATGTTTAAATAGGGTTGCTTTCTTCCTTGCCCTTTTCTATATCTGTTTTTTTAAAATATATATAGAGAGAGGTGGATCCAGACTTGCAGTGCAATCTCCACCATGCCTACTAAGAAGTTAGGTCCTCCTTCTTTGTCTCAATGTTGCCCTTTTTGAACTCAGCAGAGAGGAGGATGGGGACAAAACTAGAATGTCATTGGCTCTGGTGCCACCTACTGTTGCACACTCTGCCATCCACCCTACCAGTCCAAATGTGCACCAGCCACCACTACTCCCAGGTGAGTGGAGATAGGACTGCACCTTTAGTCATGCTTGGAGTAAACCCACTGAAACCAATGGAACTTCAGTTAGTCATGGAGAAGTCTGGATCCAGTCTGTATATATAGGAAAAGCTTCCAGATCATCAGCTAATAAAGCTCAAGGATGGCTAATAATGATCACAATAATAATGTATATATTTTGTGTGTGTGATTCTGTGTGTGAATATGCCAGATTGTGTCCTCTTCCCTGACATCCCCTCCCCTCCCCGCTTCCCTCCCTGGCGATTGTCATCTTTGGTGCAAAGAAAGCCAGCTACAGATAGGGGAAAAAAGGATGCTCAGTTGAGCACGCTACGTTTTGAAGAAGCCTTTCCCACCCCCAATAAAAAATGGTCAAGGGAGCCAAGGTTACGTCAAGCAACACTGATGCTTTGGTAAAGTTCCCATCTCCATTTCTAATCTCCCTTCCCCCAAATTTCTGGAAAAACAAACAAACAAGCAACCATTCTTTTTCTTTCTGTCAGCCAACCCCGTGGAGGATTCATGCTCTCTTTCGTCTCCCTTCAAGATTCCTAAAGCTGTATGGTCTCAGTTTCATCTCTGCAAACTGGATGGAGTGCTCATGACCTTTCCAGTGGAACCAGTTGATACCCTGCAAAAACAGAGGCAAGAATGGAAGGTTGATATAAATGAATGGGCGAACGCAACTGTTTACTAGCTGCTGTGTGCAGTTAAGAGTATCAGCTACAAACCTTGGCATCCCTGGTTGAAATGCCATCATAGCCATCAATTCTATCGGCTGATATTTATTCCCAAGCAGTCCTTAATAGCAATGGTGGGAAACGTCAGACTCAAGGGACAAAATGTGGGCTTCCAGGGCTTCCTATGTGGCTTCGGGACTTTCCCCACACCACATATTCTTTCTCTGGGCCTCCTTTAAGTGCCTGGAACTGTAGCAGTGCCGCCTGCCTGCTTGTCTAATCAGAGAGTAGGTATGTAGGCAGGGAAACAGGAGGAAATGGGCTTTGCACTGCTGGAAGCATTTAAGCAAAGCTGAAAATATAGCCATCTGGTGGGCCTGATGTAGCTACACCCTGAACTTAGCTCAGTGGGATGTTCTTTTGCCTTGATGTAATGATTCACCTTGTTTTACTCAGTATACACCCATTGAAATTAATGGATCTAAGTTTAGTGAGTAAGCATCAAGGGAAAATCTGCACCTGATACCCTGTGGGACATCTTCAGGAGAAGAAAGGGCTAAGGAGGAAACACTACACAAATGCAGCGTGGAGTTCCTAAGGCTGCCAAGTGGCATCTTGTATGCCTCCTTCTGGGAACTCCTGCAGCCAAGCTGGTGCCAAATGTAGTGCTATGCTTTCCTTTTGGACCACATCAGAGAGGCCGAGAGGGGGCACATTGTAATCAGGACAGCCCAGGACCTCCATACACATTGCCCAGGCTAGTGCCCCAGAGAGGGCACTGCTAACACAAACAGCAAGGAATGCATCAGTTATGAGTCTCTTCAGCCACAGCAGGCACTACAATTATCCAGCAGTTTTGACTTCACCCCCAGAGGTGCACTGCATTGTCTCTTGATGGAGACAGATGCCAACAAAAAGTTAGTGCTATCCATTAATTTCAATGTCTACTCTGAATAGGGCTAGCACTGATAGGACAACCTCCCATCTCCACTTCTAAGCTCTGCAAGGTGGCGACTTGCCCACTTGTACCCTGCATGACAAGTGCAATGTACAACAACTTACCTGGCTGTGGTTGTTGTCCCCATATCTACCCATCAGGTTAACACGGTGGCAGTTCTTGTACCAGAAAGCTCCTTTGTATGATAAAGCGCAGTTAGTGATTGCCATATCGTGGTCCTTGTCGTAGGTGGAAAAGGCGCGTGCATTGTGATAGGTCATGGAATCGCCTGTGTGATGGAGAAAAAACATAGCTGATTTTTAGGTTGTTGCTAGCAGGAACTGTACTATACATTTTTGTGACCCGAGGTGAAGGGCAAAATCTCCTCTTCCTCATTCCAAATACAAGTGGCTGCTGGCTCCTATTGGAACCTGTAGGGTGGAAGTCTGGGAGCCCAACAGTAGATGGCACTAGAGTCAATAACAGGTGGAGCCAACTAATCCTAGTTTTTAACCCACCCTCTTCACTGCTGAGTTCTAACAAGGGCAACACTGAGACAAAGGAGGAGGAAGACCACAGGCAGGGCCAACCTTTGAACAGGTAGGTGGCTTGGGACAGGAAACTGGTTGAAGAAGAAGAAGAGTTTGGATTTCATATCCCGCTTTATCACTACCTGAAGGGGTCTCAAAGCGGCTAACATTCTCCTTTCCCTTCCTCCCCCACAACAAACACTCTGTGAGGTGAATGGGGCTGAGAGACTTCAGAGAAGTGTGACTAGCCCAAGGTCACTGCATGTGGAGGAGAGAGGACGCGAACCCGGTTCACCAAATTACGAGTCTACTGCTCTTAACCACTACACCACGCTGGCTCTCTTGAGCAGTCCTGACTGGTTTTAAGAAAGAAGGCAGGTAGGTTGGAGCTGACTGAGGGGGGGTTCAGTGCAGTGGTGTAGTGTGGGAGGGCGGGGGGGGGGCATGGCTCTTGGTGTGTGTGTTTTTTTTTGTAGGTGCACAACCAGACTCCCTCACTGAAGGTGCACCCAGGCCAGGCCTTCAGGGTATGGGTGGTGGCAGCACCTCCTTTGTGCACAAGAAAGGGATGCCCATGCATGCCCCACCCCTAGGCTGGCCGACAGGGAGGGGGAGGATGCAGTTGCCACCACCACCACCCACCACAGAGGGAGGGTGAGGGTGTGACCCAGGGGCGGAAGTGGTGGAGAGGACATGGCAGCACTGTCGCCCCTCTCCTCCACTGGGCTCTGGCACATGAGTGTGCTCCCTGCACCACTTTGCAAGGCTGGGATCAGACAGTCCTACCCCAGCCATGCAACGCTGTGCAGGGCTGCCAGGGCTATGTGAGTGCACCCTTCAAACCTGTCTGATTGGACTGATTTGAAGAAGCGTCGAGGGTAGGGCTGCTGCAGCAGCAGTCTCTGCGGTCTGCCCCCCGTGTCCCGTTGAGCACTTCACAGGCAGTGGTAGCATACACCCTGCTGCTGGTTCAGTGGGTTCTACTTGCTCCAATGGACTTGGCTCCACCCAGGAGCACCTCCAAGAGACCTTTGGTTGTCCACTGTTGGAACCAGAAAGTTGTACTAGATGGGCCTTTGCTGTGTTCCAGAAGGGTTGTTCTTATTCCCACTTAAGTTCTTTAGATGCATATGTGGGTGGGACCTTTGACAATGGGACAACCTCCTCCACTATACCTAAGGTCAGTGGGCTAGCTTAGGTGGCACAGAGCAGATAGGTTTAGGAGGAAAAGGGCAGAATGCTACTGTTCCCTAGCATCTACCACCTGAAGTAGCTGCCCCACTGCCTAATGATATTGCCAGCCTGGTTTGTGGAACACAAAAGAAAGACTGATGTCATGTGGCCAGAAGCAAAGAGAATGGTCTGAAGTAGTGGTCTGAGTGAGCCGTTCCCCATATTGGAAGAAATCTGCAGAGAAATACTCATGAATTTCTATGACGAGGTTTAAATAAGTGAAGAAATAGCAAACTAATGGTGGAATTGTGAAGAACTAAACTTTATATTTTTTTGGGGGGGGGGGGGAGAAACTGAGAGAATCAGAAATGGACAGATACATCCATCTGCTTTTGGAGGGCAGTTTACAAAATTTCTAGTCTGGTGACCACTGGCATTTTTCACCCCGCCCCTAGCAGGCTTCAAAACAAACCTTGGAAGGGTGCATATGGTTTGCATTATAAACTTACCTATCTCTGGGGATTCTCAGAACAAACAGACCCATGGAGATTAGCACACATGACTAACTTGCATCTATTAATTCCAACGGGGCCTGCTCTGAGTTGAATTAGCTGGCCACAACTCCTCTAGATTCTTTACTCCCTTTCTATTGCATGTGTTTTGTTTTTGTTGGGAGATCATCCAGCTCATTCCAATACAGGTTCCAATATAAGGGGGTGGGAAGGGGGCAAAAGAAAGGAGTGGAAGGAGCCTGTGGGATTTGGCCTGCCATCTTTGCAACAAAGCAGATGTGGTCTTCTGAAACATTTTCCATGCTTTGTCACACAATGTACAGCTTGTTATGATGGGGAACCGCTAAGCACATTCTTGGCATCTTGACCCATCATGTTCCTTCTTGTGTATGCCATATTCAGGACAGGTACTTAGAGCTTCAAGAGAGACATTGCTGGGCTCTGGCTGTTTGTTTACATTCCAAGACTGAAAAAACAGCAAGTTGCTCAGCACCAGGTAGATTTAAAATGGAAATGACACACAGAAGCAAAGTTACACAAAAAGGCCCATAATCCCTTGCAGGAAACAAAGGTATCCCAATGCAACCCATTTTAACCCTGTGTTAAATTGATGGACAAAAATAAAAGAATGCTCCTTCTGGGGGTGGGGAACTCTTTATCAAGACGTGCTCAACCACCACTTACCTCAGCTCTTAAATGCATTGTAAGAACCATAAATGCCAGAACTTGGGCTTGGGTTTGGGTTTGTTCCCCCCCTTTCCCCCCCATGCATAGCTTACACAAAATTAAGGCTGAGGGTCACAACAAGTTATTAGCATACATTGTTGACAGAGAGGATACCACAGTTTGAAAAGGATTTTGACAAGCTGAAACATGTGCAGAGGGCAACCAGGATGATCAAGTGTTTAGAAACCAAGCCTTATGAGGAATGGTGGAGGAGGCTAGCTATGTTTAGCTTGGAGAACAGAAGACTGAGAGGAGATGATAGCCATCTTCAAACATCTGAAAGGCTTTCATGTGGAGGATGGAACAAGCTTCGTTTCTGCTGCACTGGACGGGAGGACCCAAACCAATGGATTCAAGAAATAAGAAAGGAGATTCCTACTAAATGTTAAGAACTTTCTGAGGACTCAACTCGCTTGATAAAGAAAAAGCATTTTATATGTGCTGTATAAGCGAGATAACCATAGCTGTCAACTTTTCCCTTTTCTTGCGAGGAATCCTATTTGGAATAAGGGGACTTCCCTTAAAAAAAGGGAAACATTGACAGCTGTGGATATAACACTGTGACACCAGATGGCGCTGTGGAGTCCCATCTTTCCCAACCGGATTTCCCTGTATGAGTTTACAAAGCATTTCACTGAAACGCTTCTTTGATCCAGCCTGACGGTAATAGCTGTTTAACAGTGGAATGGACCACCTTGAAAAGTGATGGACTCTCATTCCTTGGGTGTTTTTAAAGACTAATTGTATGACCACGTGTCAAGGATTCTTTAGTTGTTATTTCTATATTGCATAGGTGGACTAGATGACCCTTGGAGTCACCTAGAATTCTAGGATACCTATAAAAGGTGACTAAATAATGAATGACTGCCACATTGTTTCCATTTTTCATTTCCCCTACTCCGAATAAAACTTAGTTGGCTATCACCTGTTGTTGTTGTTAATTATGCTAATCAAGACTCAACAAGAGAAGAAATCAAATGAGACATGCCCCAGGTAAGGATTCCTTTCTTAGAGATATTCAGATTGCCCCAGAATCTTTTCTTTTTAAAACAACTATGATACATTATTGTAACTTCCTCCAACTTCTTCATAAAATGAAAATGAGGAGGCAGGAGCAGAGGTGTGGGTCCTTCTGTGACTGACAGCTCCAGTTTGCAATCTAAGAATGACTTTACCAGAGCATTGGGGAAGGACATAGAACACAACAGAAGTAGTTTGAGCTTCTGATTTCCCTCTGTTTTTTTCAGAAAGGTGCTACTAGATATGTATTATACTTTACAGCTGCATCTGCGATAAGGTTATTAGACTTTGTATTTTACAGAGTGTACGTGTTTATTGCTTGGATGATACTGTGTATCATTCCTGTTTAGCATATATTAACTATGCTCATTACATATTATGTACCATTAGGCATTGTTTATTATTATGAGTTACATAAATGCAACTCATAATAATAATCAGTAAACCGTAATAATCAGCACATAATAATACATATATATATGTATATATATATATATATATATATATATATATATATATATATATATGTAAGTGTTTTGTATTGCATGGATTTTGTACGGCATGCATATTGTGTTAGGGATTGGCATATACTGTTCATTATGTTCTGCAGAATCATAGAATCATAGAGCTGGAAGGGACCCAATTGGTCACCTAGTCCAAACTTTTGCAATGTTGTAAATCACCTTACAAACAAACAATTGCAGAGGCTTACAAGTTATTCTGAGGCTAGCACACAAACCCACCTGCTGTGCCACTATATCCTTCCACTTTCAGCCGGTAGCGAGACCTGGCATCACCGACAAAAAACTTGTCATAGAGGGCATAGGCAGTTTCTCCATGGTCACGCAAATCCACCCGCAGCTCATACTGGCCCTGGGAAGTGATTTTGTGGAGCTTGTCCAGACCTACAGGGAACAATCAATAACAGTGGAACAAATGTATGGTTCTATACTTAGGCAGGAATAATCTGCTGCAGAAATATAAGATGGGGGACACCTCAGTTGTCAGTAGTACATGTGAAAAGGATCTAGAGGTGTCAACACACAAGCTTAACATGAGCCAACAGTGTGATGCAGCAGCAGAAAAAGCTATTGCTATTCCAGGCTGCATCAACATAACTATCCAGATCAAGGGAAGCCATAGTATTGCTCTAGTCTGTCTTCGTCAGACCACACCTGGAATACTGTGTCTAGTTCTGGGCACCACAATTTAAGAAGGATATTGACAAGCTGGAAGGTGTGCGGAGGAGGACAAACATGATAATAAAGGGACTGGAAACCAAGCCTTATGAGGAATGGCTGAGCGAATTGGGTATGTTTAGCCTGGAAAAGAGGAGTCTGAGAGGAGATATGAAAGCCATCTTCAAATATCCAAAGGGCTGTCACATGGAAGATGGAGCAAGCTTGTTTTCTCCTGCTCCGGAGGGTAGGACCCAAACCAGTGGCTTCAAGTTACAAGAAAGGAGAATCTGGCCAAACATCAGGAAGAACTTTCTGGTGGTAAGAGTTGTTTGATGGTGGAACAGACTCCCTTTGAAGGTGGTGGCAGTCCCAAATATAGGCTGGTGTAGGTGGTCCTCCTGCACAGGGCACCAAGCCAAGGGCGCAGTCCTTTGTGCAATGTGAGGGGACACTTGTTAGTCACGTACCTAGCCAGAATTCACCATTGGGATTTCCAAATCCAGCCTCATAAGTCCTCCAGTTCTGGTAGAATTCCTGCTCTCCATTCTGCCTTCTTAGAAACACCTAGAACCCCAAAATAAACATTGATATTGTTATAAACACTGCTATAATAGGACAGTGGCAGACAGCATGTGTATTTATATACCCAGTGCTGCCTGTGGTGTGTGGCTGGTGATCTCCAGACCCTCATGCAAGAATCTTTCCCAATGCTGCTCACTAGCTGTTACTCAGAGACACCATGAACTGAACCTGGAGCCTCCTGAACGCAAAGCCTTTGATTGGCGACATAGACAGTTTATGCACCAGACCAGCAAACACAGGAAGCCACTTTATACTAGACCTTTCCAAATCCCAGACCCTGAAGTAGATTAGGCTGATGCAGTCTTCTTGAGTTGAGGCAGTCCTGGATCACCCCTAGGATCCTGCCACAATGACAGTGACACTTACTTTTTTTTTAATTCCATAATGTTTATTTCTTTTTTATTAAAGATTTTCTTGGTTTACAAAAGTACATGCCTTGTCTCTTTTTTCAGGTTGTACAGTCTTTCTTACAGATCAGTTATGTTCGTTGTGAGACATTAGTGTTGAGTACAGTATAAGGTTGGGGAAGAAGAGGGGGGAGAGGAGGGGTAGGGTGGTAAGGCTTAAATTCTTTTGTATAGTGTACTTGTGGGGTTTTATGTCAGCGTCAACTGGGTAGGTTCTCTTTCTATTTGCTTGTTATAGTTCCTTGGTAGTGAGAGGTATTGGGGAGCAGGGTGTGGTTGGTTGACTGTGGTTGTCTGCAGTGGGGTTTGTTTGCATTTGTGAGGGAGGGGAGGGCTTATTGGGTCAGGTAAGGGAGATTGATTTGTATGCTTTCAGTGGATTCTTGTTGTTGTCTTGTTCGGCTGTGTATGTGAGAAAGGGGAGCCATACTGGGGTGAAGGCGTCCTCTTCTATTTGTCCCCATGTCAGTTTTAGTTTATTGGTTAGCTTTTCTAGTAAGGTCATTGCCCATACTATTTGATACCATTGGTCCATGTTTACTCCTGACAGGTCTCTCCGGTGCCTGGCTATGAAGTTTCTGGCTGCTGAGAGTACAGTGACTCTTACTTGAGGGTAAAGAAGAGATGTGCGTTTATGCTATCAGCAGTACATGTTCAGCAGAAAGCACAAGGTCCAGAAGTCAAGATTCCAAGGTGGGTGGGAAAGCAAGGCAAGAGGTTAATAACCAAACAGAAGTTTTGAATATTGCAAGGCAGTTTTCATGTAACTCCCACCAAGCTTTTAAATATGAGGTGGGTAGAGCTCATGGACAATCTCTCTTGCCTTATGTTCCTGCCACATTAACACACACACACTCCACATGGGTGGGTGCATCTGATCTCACCTGAAAGGGTGGCACCTGCTTCTCATCAAAAACACTGTCTCCTCCCCTGCTTCCAGGATTGAAGCCATGTCACCTATGTACTCCTGTTCAGGGCCTCCCTCTGACTAGTCAAAATCTTCCCCCTCCCTGATGAGGTTCTGTGTTCCATAGGAGGATCATGGGAGGGAGTTAGTAGATCTGTTTCCTCCTCTCCAACATCTAGAGACTCAAGGAGAGGACCTCCCTTCTCCATTCCTGGGTGCCTGCCAGCCCCTCATTTACTCCTCCTCCTCTTTCCTCTTCTTCTCACACCTGGGACTGTCAAATCGTGCCAGGTCCCTCTGGGGTCAAGGGGTCTTGGAGAGCCACAAGTCAAATAAGGTCCACTTGGTCCGGCAGTGAAGAGGGGGGGAGAAGGATGCAAAAATGCATCCTCTGTGCAAACATCTCCTCGTCCCCTCTCACCCCCAGCCAATTACATGTTAATTGAGTTTGAAAATTTGTCCATCAAGTTCAGTATCATCTACACTGACAGGCAGTGGGCTCCCCAGGGTTGATCAACAATTCTACCTGGAGATGCTAAGGACTGAACCTCAACACCACGTGCTCTCCCACCGAGCCAAGCATCCACAAATCCACCGTATCACCAGGAGCAAGAGTCTGCAGCATGCAGGAGACCCAGTGCTACACAGGACCCTAATCTGGATGTATTGTCTCCACTGAAGCTTTTGAGCAAGTAAGAAGCAGCTTTCAGGCAGTGGGTAGAGACTTGGACTGATTCTTAACTTTCCCCATTCAATGCAGAAAGGGAAGAAGACTCTGTTTCTCTCTCATGCCCTTTGTGAATGCAAGAAGATGGGAGTAGATTGGTTGTAGCTACATTAATGGCTCATAGCTACCGATTGTGTGGAAAGGTAGATAAGTAATTAAGTAAGTAGAGTAGTACAAATACTCACAATCCATCCGCCTCCATCAGAACTCATGTCGCAGAACACCTCTGTAGGCTGAGACTTGTTGCCATTTAGGTAAATAGTGTAGAGGCCAGAGGCTGTTTCTCCATTCAGTAGAGCCTGGGAGCAGTCTCTGGGGTAAGGATACAAGAGTCCAGCTGCAGCAAAGGGGAACAAGCAAATAATCACTACTTGAGTACCAGCACTTGTTACCAAGAAAGCAGTGGTGAGTGGTGCCTATTGAGCCTGACATGGAAGAAGGCAGGTAGACCAAAAGAGGTCGAGGCAGAGCCAACTAATTCTAGATTTGTCACCATATTCCTCCCTGCAGAGTTCTACAAGAGCAACACCCAGGCCCCATTCACACTATACATTTAAAGTGCTATGATACCACTTTAAACAGTCATGGTTTCCTCCAAAGAATTTTGGCAACTGTAGTTTTTAAGGGTGCTGGGAGTTGTTAGGAAATCCTCAATCCCTTCCCAGGGCTACAATTCCCAGAGCACTTAAACAATCAATTCATATTCACTGGGAACTCTGGGGGTTGTGGCTCTGTATGAGAATAGAGGGTGTCCCAGCGACTCTCAGAACCTTTAACAAACTATAGCTCCCAGAATTCATTGGGGGGAAACATTGCTGTTTAAAGAGCTATCTAGTCTGATCCCCAGCAATGCAGGAACCACAGCTAAGGAAACATAGTGTTTTAACTGTATGGTGTAAATGTGGCATGAAACTAAGTAAGAGGAAACTGGCATAGGCAGTTTGATCCTCTAGAGAAGATGTAAGTAGAAATCAGGCTGCTAGGGGCTGTCTGGTGGCACATGGAGGTTAGGGGTGCAGTGTCCCATTTCTTTCTTGACCTCCCTTGAAAGAAAGGTGTGATTTTGTTAGGCCCAACAAAGATGTCAAATTCTGACCACCATGACAACATTTACGATAAGCATAGGAGCCAATTTCTAGGGGCCATGGAGGCTTCAGCCCCTGCAATAAAATATTTAAGGGGGCTGCCCCCCCTAAGTTGATGGCCATTGCCATTCAGATGTTGTGTGTGCACTGCATCATGTGATCGATTATGCAGGATGGGGCTTACCTACCTGCCCCCCATATTTTATTCAAGTTGGCACACCTGACGCTGAGGTAAATCATGCCTTCATTTGAATGTGGAAGTACAAGGGTCCACACAGCTGCTCCACATCTTCCCTGGTCCTTCTCCTGCTGTGTTACCTGAAGCTAAGCCATGGTTTGGCTCAGCATTATGTATGAACCATGCATCATGATCTGTCTCCCTCCAGACAAACCATGAGTGGTATGCCAAGAACAACTCATGACTATAGCTTGTTGCTTAAGGGGAAACATGGGCCCAGGTTAAGACCATGGCTTAGCTCCTGGTAGCATTGGAGCACGAAGATTGGGGAGGACTGAGAAACCACCCTTCCCCTTTGAGCTGCCTTTCCCAGCTCTATGGCATTTTTCAAAGATGCCATCAGAACTGAATGTGATAATCCAGACTCAGGTGCACAGCAGATGTATTGAAATATTGGCCAGTTTGCTTTGGGGGGCAGGAGTAGGAAGTGTCACCTGCCACCTCCCAGTCCCTGCATGTATCATACTTGTGGTGAATATTGCTGGGATGATCTTGCTCTTCAAATTCCGGTTTAAGGCCTGTAATTTCACTGTGTACTGGGTGGATGGACTCAGCTCTGACAAGCTGTAGGAATTCGACTCAGGTCCCAGGATAACTTCCTGCAGGGTGGGGGGAATCAATAATGAATGGAGGGTGAATGAATTAAGAATGAAGACTTGTTCCATTTTTTACATGGTTGTTGAATCATTCATGCTACCTTAAGAAAACAGTGTCAAAGATTGATGAGGCCATTTCTGTTCCTGATAAGACCTTCCCACACCACACCACATTAGAAGCAAGGGAATGGTTTCCTTAAGATAAATCTTTCATACAAGAATATGCTGGTGGCATAGCTAGAAAGCAAGGTTAGTGTTGGTATGAACATGGCTGATACATGCACTAAGCACAGCAGCATATTTGGGGCACATCAAATATGTATCCCCTACTGTGGCATCTCTATGAACATGATTGCACTAAATAGAGGGGATGTTTCTGCTGCCCAAACTCATCATGTCTTAGACACCCATCGAAAATGGTCTCAAAGGGCATTTGCTGGCAAATAATTTGGCTGTGCAATGCCAGGCTTTTTATGAAGAAAGCATGGAAGCGAGAAGGGCAGTACCCCCACCCCCCACCCCTGGCTATTTTCAGGGGTGGGGTGAATTTTGAAGGCAGAGGTTCAAAACTCACTGCCACTCCTCTTTGCCTTTCCTAGGCTGGCACTTCCAGTTTCTTGTCCCCAGAGATCCCATTGGAATGATGGGGGATGCTTGGCATTCTGGGAAAACAAATATGGCAGCCTCCAGCCCAGGAAGAGCATTTTTTGAGCTTGGCCTCTTTGCTCTTAAAATTCACATCAACAGCCTGAAGTCCTACCCACAAAGGTTTTGTGTACTGCTGGAAATGTTCGTGTTCCCCTCCAAGCCCTCTGATATGTCTCATGTATATCTGAGCAGTGCAATTCTGGTTACATTGGATTGTGTCCAATATTATTTTCGCTCAGAGAAGATCCATTGAAATTAATGGTCAGGACAAACTTAGGCCTATTGGTTTCAATGGGATCTAGTCTGAGTGGAACTGGCATTGGATACAATCATAATTACCCCCCCCCTCACTGGTGTAGATCTCCTGTTCACAGGAGGAACACAGAAAGCTCCTATATACCATTGGCCCTGTGAAATGCTGATTGATTGCCGCTCTATGGGGCCTTCTGACAGGGATTCTTGTCAGGCTTATATGGGAACCTGGGAACTTTTACAAAAAAGCCATGCGCTCTAAGGCTGCATTCACACAGCAGTATACTCCATTTCCCTAACATTTCCCAAACTGTTAATTCTCACATTATACTTGAGCCTTCACACAACGCAAAAGCTGGAAAACTAATGGAAGATAGCACGTGTTCATTTCCATTTGATTCCACTGAAGATACATTTGCAACCATCCTTAACCTGGAAAATTGTGAGAGAAAGTGACAGAATTGGGGGCAGTGTACGGGCATACAGATCTTTCCTGTGGTTTTCATGAGGGGCACTTTGGTTGTGGAATGAGGGCGATGGCCAGCCCTCCTTTGTTAAAATTATTGTTCTAATGGAGAAAGAGTTTTAACTTGGGTGGGTGCTGTTTTACTGGAGGGGGGGAGGTTGATTTAAATTGTTTTTAAATGTTATATTTTTTTGTATTTATATGTATATTGTATTTTTATGTTTTTATATTTATATGTATTATATTTATATGTATATTGTATTTTTTTGTATATATGTTTTATTGTATTTTTGGTTTCTATGGAAGCCGCCCAGAGTGGCTGGGGAAACCCAGCCAGATGGGCGGGGTACAAATAAATTATTATTATTATTATTATTATTATTATTATTATTATTATATTAATTTAGATTTTGTATTTGTATTTGGGGACTGGTGTATTGTTTAGGGGCCTTTGTTGAGGAGTGTATTTTTTATTGTTATTGTTAATTGTTTTAATTATTTTTATTATGCATGTTGTGCTTTTTATATTGTAACTTCATGTTGTGAACTGCCCCGAGACCTCTGCGTACAGGGCAATATGCAAAACAAACAAACAGTCATGGGGAAACAAAAGCAGGCATGTGCGGAAAGGGTAAAGGATTACAGTCATACCTCAGGTTACAGACACTTCAGGCTGTGCGTTTTTGGGTTGTGCACTGCGCCGAACCTGGAAGTACCGAAACGGGTTACTTCCGGGTTTTGGCGCTTTGCACATGTGCAGAAGCGCCGAATTGTGACCCGTGCATGTGCAGATGTGGCGCTGCAGGTTGCAAACACTGCAGGATGCGAACATGCCTCCCACACAGATCACGTTCGCAACCTGAGCGTCCACTGTAGTGATATTGTCTAACAACATTCATTGTTGTGTCACACCATGCTCAATGATGCGAATGAAATTTATTGCAACATGCTGGTATATCAGTCTAAAACTCATAGTTCCATAATGCACCAGCCACTGCAGTGTGAAAGACACATTAGAAAACAGACAGAAGTGCTGTCATTATAATCAGAGGGAAACTTAATGCATGTCTGAACGCATCCTTAATATTGGGTCCTCCCCTTTGCAGTCTGCACATAACAGAGACTATCATACTAGACTCAAATGCTTACCTTGACTTTGCCATCAATTGATTCATAGATCAAGAGGTAACCTGTAACAGGGGCACGAGGGGGCTTCCATGTTAGCTGTGCTGTTTCAAACTGAACATCAGTTGCAATGAGATCCCTTGGAGCATCAAGGTCTAGGAGAAAGATGAGAAATTTTTATTTTTATTTTTTATTTTAAATATATTTTAATATAAAGATCAGTCTGCCTGGTGCCTTCCAGATGTTTTGAACCATAGCTGCCATCGACCCAAGGCAGCATGAACAATAGTCAAAGATGTTAGGAGTCATAGTCCAAAAAAACCTGAAAGGAACAAGGTTGGAAAAGATATGTATAGGAACCAACTCATGCAGACTCAGCCCTCCCTTCTGAGAATCCAGTGCAATATACTTGTTTTAGGACCACAAGCTTCATCAGTAACCTATGATAGAACAGAACCTACCTGTAGTGAATTTTGTGGATATGACTGTGCTTTTCTGTGGTCCCTTCCTGGCATAGATCCGGAGTGTATATTCAGAGGCTGGACGGAGGCCAGTGAGATCATATTCCACAGTATTGCCTGAGACACTCTGAGTAATTTCACGCTCTAAAACAACAAAGAAAGACAGAACATCGATCAACGAGCAACTTGGATTCAGCAGGTGCATTTGTTGATCCATAGAATCCTAGAATTGTAGAGTTGAAAGGGATTCTAAGGATAATCTAGTCCAACCCCCTTCAGTGCAGGAAGATGCAGGGATCAAACCTTCAACCTTGGCATTATTATCACAGTGCTCTAAGCTAATGGCATATTGGATTCACTGCTTTTGCAAAGCATGTGTTGCTCCTCTTAGCTAATTTTGGCCACTCTATATAGAGAAGAGGACTCTGCAACACAGCCCACTTGGATGAGAGAGCTTGTTGAACTTCATCCCTGCCATTTTATTTTCTTTCTTAGAAATATCTCAAACCCATCTCCCATCATAAGGTCTTAGGTCAGGATACAATGCAAATTACAATTCACATTGAACCAATCTGGATCACAAATGAACTTGCCAAAAAAAGCAGGCTACAAATACAACAAACACCTTTAACGTTTCAAATATATTTATACTATAACTTAACATGGCTACTCTTCTGCAATTCATGGGTTGTAGCCAACATTGGTCCTACTCAGAGTAGACCCATTGAAACACGACCATTGCTAAATTAGGTGCATTAATTTCAATGGGTTTACTCCAAGGACAACCCAACAATTTTAGGAGAGCTCCATGACAGAGTTAGCAAAAAGCAAATAGTGCAATTGTGGCTGGTGCCCATTGGTACTGGTAGGGCAGAAAGGAGGGAGGTCAGCAGGAGGTGAACCCAGGGCCAATGACAGACTGAGACATCCCCTCGAGTGGTTGTAGGTAAGAAGAAAATTCCACAACTGTTTGCATTAAAAATAAAAATCCTCATCTGCATGGTAGTGCGAATTTCTCCTAATATACACATTTTGTATTCAGTTTTGCCTGACACACATTTTTACAAAGCAATCTCCCCTGACATAATGCATTTTTGTTTGTTGTTATTTGTATATACACTATTCTCCCCAGCAGCTGCATTTTTAGTACACATTTCTTGGCTGGAGAACTGCATCGCAAAATCTGGAGGATTGCAGATTTTAAAATATGACTTTGTTTCAGTTCACATGCTATTTCAGAAAGTGCAAATTTGGTAGTTTTGACTTTACAATTGGGTCGCATTTCTCCCCCAGCCCCAGCCTTACTTCAAAGCAATGTTGACTTACCACCCTCAGTAACATAGGAAATGATGTACTCATCAACAGCAGCAATTGCTGGCTGCCAAACAGCCAGTGCTTTGGAATCAGTGATGTTCACTGCCATTAGCCCTGATGGACTATCCAGAGCTACAGAGTGGGAGACAGACAGAGATAGAATGTCACAATCTGCCTTGGTACCACTTGCTAGAACACCTGTGTGGTATCATCTGTATTACTTCCTTCAAATCCCTTCTGAAAGAAAGACATACATTTTCTGTCAAGGATAGCCCTCTAGTTCCCAGTAATGCAGTGGGAACTAAGTCTAAATGCATGCAACTATAATGGCCATATCTTGCTCCCTTGTTTCTCTCAGTCTTTCTTCTCCTTTCTCCATTGTTGCCTCTGTGTCAAATTTTAGGCTGTAAGCTCCTCAGGGCAGGGATCTGCCCTTTTGTACTCTCTAAAGCAGTTGTGAGGAATCTCCAGTCCACAGGCCTAATAAAGCCACTTCGCCCAAATCATGCACACCTGACATTATATGTTACGCCAAATGGCTGAAAAAGAACAACCAGGAACCTTAAAATGAACTCTTCATTTTTCCATGGTAAGCAGGGCTTTTGCTACCAACCCCAATGTGGCTGGCTGCACTCAAAAGTGGAACTGTTCCCTGCCCCTAAACTATGTCTGCCTGCAACCCCATATTGGTAGGTATCTTCCTTTGCAATCTCGCTTGAGTCCAAAGGAAAGAATCAGGAGCACACCTGTGGTAACCAGACATCAGGTGTTTGACAGTGGTCAGCCCTATCTTTTTCTCAAAATGGCTCACCAGGAGACAGGAGCTCTGGATCCTGTTCCCTACTCCTGCTGTAAAGCATCCTGGCTACTGATCACTTAATTACCATCAACTTCTGGGACATACCTGTGGTCACAGATCCAGAAACAGGCTCACTTTCTTCAAATCCTTTGACAGAGATGATACTGACAATGTACTCCACGCCAGGGATCAGTTTTACCAGTTTAGTTCTACTCTTGCTTCCATCTACTGTCACAGAATTGGGGGGACCTGGAATAGATAGTAGCTTGGATGACTGGTGGGACTAAGTGTGCAAGGTTCAGAAACCAGAAGCAAAGGCTTAAGTGTTTTGTCTCCAACATTCACAATACGTTACCAGCCATAAGAGAACATAAGAGCCCTGCTGCATGAGCCAAAGGCCCATCTAGTCCAGCATCCTGTTCTCAGTGACCAATAAGATGTTTCTGAGAAGCCTACAAGAAATACATGAGCACAACAGCTCTTTCCCTACTCCTCTTCCACAGCAACTGGTATTCAGATGCATACTGCAACCAGCGCTGGGGGTAGTACACAGCCATCATGGGTATGAATTTGTCTAATCTCCCCTTAAAGACATCCAAGTGGGTGGCTGTCACAACATCTTCTGGTTGCGCATTCCATAGCTCCTTTATGCACCATGAGAAGAAGTGTTTTCTTTTGTCTGTTGTGAACCTCCCAACATCCAGCTTCATTGGTATTATGAAAAAGGTAGAAACATTATTTCATCCCAAGGGTCATAGCCTTCCTCAGGTAACCTTGGGGGGTGGGGAGGCACATGCCAGCAGAGGATGGGGTCAGAGACAAAAGTAGACAAAGCAACGGATGCAAATCTTATCTTACACACATACCATCTCTCTCTATGCTGCATCCAGGCAAGCATGAGAAGTGATCACAGTTCATGAACACTTTTAAGTCAGGCAAAACCATTCATGAAGGGCATAGATAAGTGCTGGTGGGAGATGTGGCCTGAAAAGATTCTGAGGGCCGGGCATTTGGCCACCTCCAGTTTCCCCTCCTCTGGCCCATCCCTGTTTATACACCCTTCTTCTTCCTTACCTCCTGTAACTGGAACATAGGTAATCCGGAAGAGGTCCACCCTTGTCCGTGGGGGTGTCCAACTGACCACAGCTGAGTCTTCGGTAATATCAGAGAATGTAATTTCCTTGGGAGGTCCCATTGCTAACCAAGAGACAGACAGTAAGGCAAACAAAGAGAAGGAGTTAACAAATTGTTGCATCAGCCAGGCTGGTAGGGAAAAACACACACACACTTGGTCTCAGATTTCCAGTCCAGGAGCTACAATAAATATTTGGTCCAGTGTCATGACTGGAATGGAAAGTTCCATACCACAAAGCATTTTTACTTGGCACAGGCAAATGATTGTCTTCATGGCCAAGTTTTTGTTTTTGACAAGGATCTTGAAGTTGTAGTCAACACTGCACACAACTCCCCCCGACCCCCCCCAAAAGAATTGTAATGCTCAAATCCCAAGACACCCTTCTGCCAGGAGACGACATCAGGATAGCAAATGCTGCACTCAAAATGGATCATTCATGGTCTTTGACAGTATGTCAGGTGTCATAGCTCTAGCTGAGAGATTCATGTGTTCTCAGTTGTGAACATGGAGCTCTTGTATTGGGGAAGCCTCTGCACATTTATGCTCCAGGGCCTGGCTATCAACTTTCCCTTCTTTAGTTTCAGTATTACCCTTTTATAGAACTCAATGGGGAGGAAGGTGGGGCCAAAACTGGAATTAGTCCTCATCTGCAGTATTCACTTAAAGCAGTACCATAGAAGCATAGAATTGTAGAGTTGGAAGGGACCCTGAGGGTCATCTAGTCCAACCCACTGCAATTCAGGAACATGCAGATGTTCCATATGGGGATCAAACCTGCATCCTTGGCATTATCAGCACCACACTCTAACCAACTGTGTCATCTGATGATTAACGTACCATCCCACTTTACACAGTCATGGTTTCCTCCAAAGAATCCTGGGGACAGCAGTCTGTTAAGGCTGCTGGGAGTTGTCAGGAGACCCCTTCACATAGCTACAATACCCATATTTTCCCAGGAAGAGTGATTGCTAAACTACTTTTAGAACTGTAGTTCTGTGAGCAGACAAGGCATCTCCTAGGCACCTCACAGCACCTCCAACACACTAGTGTTACCAGGATTATTAAGGGTAAGTCATGACTGTGCATTCACGCACACACACCTAGGAGTTTCCAGTGGAAATGTAGATTGGACAGGGCATATAGTCATTATGTTTCTATTTCCCAGCTTTTTGCCTTCATAGCATTGTTGGGGCATTTTTGTCACAATGTTTATGCTGATGATTGGCATCAGACGTAGATACTCTTTGAATAGAAAAAAAAATGTGGCTGATGTAAATCTGTCAGTTTTGTGTATATCCTGCCCTCTTCCCCTTGGTTAAATGTCCCTGCATACTCATTGCAGATAATGATAAAACCATGCGCAAATCAAAGCTGTTCAAGTTTACAAGTTTTCATGTCAAGATTTTTGCTACGGGTCTTACATTTCTTTTGGCAGGTCAACTTGCAAAAGGGAAATAAAATGGAAGAGCTATCCAACACCCAGAAGAAAAAAATAATCTGGCAGCCCAGTATGTACATTCAGCCTTTTAACTGTAAATAGATGATTTTCCCCCAGTTGCAATGAAAACAACTTAGGGGTTTTTTTTTAAATAAAAAATAAGCAACCCACACAAGAGATGTCCATTAGCAAGCAAGAGACAAATACCAGAAGCAAATCACATTAAAATAATCTAATAAGACATGCAAGTTAAAGTTCAACTAATTTTTTCTTCTAAATTTGGAGGATGTATGCGCTTTCCTAATTTGACTTTGCTTACAAAACCCAATTCTGAAACATCTTCAGCATTTCAAGATTTGTAAGGAAAGAATGAGAAAAAGCTATCCTAAGGGCTGATGGGTGTTGGAGTCCAACAGCATCTGGACCTATTTACCCTTTCCAGTCCAAAACTCAGTGCAGAAGGGATGGGGGACCCATGGCCCTCCAGGTGTCGCAGGTTTCTTTATTTGCCTTTGGGAAAATCTTTTTTGCATTAGCATCAAAATTTGGGTGTACTGACAGACCGAAAGGCATAAAATCAAAAGCTAATTACACGTCACTCACACATCATGAGGACCACGATTCCTTGAAGCTCTCTGAATTGCTGCACTATAAGCAATGTTGTTGGAGATTTTAATGGACTTTTTCCTGTTACCAACTTACAGAATTAAATCCTGGGCTCCTAAGTCATTCTGAAAAGGGCTGACTCAGATTCTGTCACTGATGATGGTGGGAAGGAGGCACTGTAACAGCTAATAGATATTTATCCTGGAGAAAAGCTGTATCATAGTGGCAAAGTATTTACTTTCCATGCAGAAGGACCTAGGTTCAATCCAAGGCATCACCAAGTAGGGATTGGAATGTCTCTTGCCTGAAACCCCAGATAGGGCAGGAGCACCGACATGTCAATCACCTTGCACCATAATAACATTGACTGATTGACTTGTAGGTGTTCCTTCCAACCTGTTAAAAGCTGGCCTATGGAGTGGGGGAGAGATAGTGATAAAACAGTATTGAACTTCCTATGACATCAGGTGTGGTCTAAGTGGGCATGGTTGGAGGAAAATGATCTTGTGGTTCAAATGGGGAGGGCTGGTGGGTTAAATGTGGCCCCTGAGCCAGAGGTTCCTCAACTCTGGTGAAGACAATACTGAGTAGATGGACCATGGTCTGAGTTGTTACAGGACAGTTTCCTATGCTTAACAAGTAAAGCCACTTTGAAATAGCTGTCCTCTTTGCATGAGTTGGTCTGTGTGAAGACCTACTGACCAGTGATGGATGCATGTTCCAACAAGGATTCCACAGACGTTACACCCATTTTTGTAGTTTCCAATTTTTTATGGTATGAAAAGCTAGCATTGCTTGCAGCTAAATTTTATCCTTTGGAATTAATGTACTTAAATTAGTCATGTCCATCAGTTCCAAAGCCTCTGCTTTGAGTAGGACTAACACTGGATAATACTCCTTAGTTCACAATGACAGCTGGGCTCACATGATGGGATGCTCCTTCACCTTAAAAAATAAAGAAACAAGACCCTGCATATGGAAATGTAGCGTGTCAAGAAGAAAGGTACAGATGTGAAAGACACATGCACACATATGCAGGTGAGTGGATCATGCCTTTCTCAGCCTTGCCACACTTTATCCAAACAATACCTGTTGTAGCGATTGTATTTACAGGTTGGGAACGTTGTCCACTGGTAACTCCATAGAGATCAATGTAATATCCTGTGCCTTCTTTCAGCCCTATTATATCTTGGGTGCGTTCATGGCCTGGTACAATTAGTTCCAGAGGGTCTGATACCATATTGGTGTCCCTTATTTTAAGAACAAAACTGTCAAAGGCTCCATCATCTGCCGTCCAAGACAGACGAAAGCCATCAGGGGTTGCATCTGACACCAGAAGGTTGTCCACTTCAGGTTCTGCTTCTGAAAGTGCAGGAGGGAGAGAAAGAAAGAAAGAAAGAAAGCAAGAGAGGGAGAAATAATATTTTTAATTTCCTTTAAAAGAAGAAAAAGGAGGAGACTCCAAGGAGATTTGCCCCAAGTCAGATTAGCGTATGATGTAAATGTTCCCGTCACAAATTCAAAGAAGTGGAAAGAATCCGCTATCCAAAAAAAGGAGGGAAATGCATTCAGAGATTATGAGCAAGACACATTCTTATCAAAATATGTGGGTGTAGGTGCGATCACTCTTCAAGGACCCCCAAAGCAGCACGGCATAATCACTCACCATCTCCCCCTGCCATGCAATATTAAAACATGCTGGTAGTAAGCCTGATGTTCATTCGTTCTCTGTCTTCCATCAGAATCTCCTATTTTTCTGCTCATTTTTTAAAAGAAGGTCATTAAAAGCAAAGCCACTGTAAATTATCTGAACATTGTCGTTTTCCCGGGTTCACATCAAAGCACGCCTTTGAACAAAACAACCTATTCTTCCAATTCACAAATTATAATAAGTTTGTAGCCCCTTTAGTCCAGCACCCCTGATCCGGTGGTGGCTGGTGGCACAGAAGACGAGGAGGCTATCAGTAGGTGGAGGTGAAGCCAATGATATGCTGAGTAAACTTATTTCAGTTTTGTTCCCAACCTCCTCACTGCTGAGTTCTGCAAGACTAACACTGAGACTGGTAATAAGCAAGAAGGCAGGCAGGTGGGGATACCTGGGGTTGGTGGAGCACTGTCTTATTGAACCACCCCTTCTGCCCTATCCATACAGAAAATGGAGGGCAGGAGTGGGGAGCTTCTGCAGCCCTCCTGATGTTGTTGGGCTACTATTCCCTGTTGGCCATGCTGTATGGGACTAATGGGAGCTGAAGTCTAATAACATTTGGAGGGGCAGAGGTTTTTCATGCCTGAGCAGATGACTCTCGACTGAGGGAGAGCCTAACCAATTCCCTAGGTAGCTGGTTCTATTGTTGAGCTGCTTTCCCCTAGCAAGATGTTTTCCTATTGCTTATCTGAAACCTGATCTCCTGTAACATAAGCACAAAGTTCTAGTTCTTTTCTCTGAAGCAGATGAGAATAAATTTTTGCTCTCTTCTATGTAGCACCTCTTCAGACAAATCTGATCCACATGGTGCATGTTTGACACCTGACTGAAGCAGTTTGATTAGTGATTTCACTGGAATACTAGGTTCATATTATGCATGTGCCCAGCTTGTAATGAGCATCTGGATCTCAAGATGAGCATAGTCCTAGGTGCAAAAGCTCTTATCTGGCTGTAGCATGTCCTTCCCTCCCTGGTGCCAAAATTTGAACTGGGTCAGGCCATCACAAACTAACCTTCCAGGTACATAGGCAGCACACATGTTTGTAGTGAACTAGTTTGGTTTAAGTAGTTTGGTTTCACTGAATTGTTAGAAAAAACCCTTCTGAACCACACCTGAAAGTGGTCCTCAAAAATTCCGGGTGAACTAAACATGAATTAAGTTCATTTGGGGGTAGAAACTTTGAACAATTTCTAGTTCTTCTTCAGATTTATTTTCTTACATGTGGGTTTTGTTTGTTTATTTACTCTTTGGGCCTTTAAACATAAACATCACAATTGGGGTAAATAAACCAAAGAACTCACAGTCTACTGTGTGTGTGTTCTGATGTCTTCTTAGTCTTAAATATATTGTATACTTCAGTTCAGCAACTTGGGAATGCTGATTTTTTTCTCTTTTTTGCTTAGGGTTACTTTGGATGAACTTAGATGGAACTGTGAACTGAACATGAACTGAACTAGCTCATCTTGTAAAGGGACATATGTGAACTGGAATTAGTTCCTCTGGGGACATAATAGTTCCCAAGCCCATCTGGCTGGCCACTAGTGGAAAAAGATAACTTGGCTATATGGACTTTGGGTCTGATGCAGCAGTGCACTTGTTGCACTTTTACAGGTGGAAGGAACTAAATAAAGCGGTATCACTGTTTAGCCATGCATGCTTCAAAAGCTGCCAAGATTGCTGTAGCATCAATTTTCTTCCACCTTCCGGAGCTGTGTTTACTTAGCAAGATATTCTGAGATAATGAAAGAGAGATGGAGAGAGAGAACAGAAAGGCTACAAGTAAATATGGGTAGATGTCAAATAATGCTGCTAAGGATTGGAAAAATCCTTAGTTTCTTGGCTAGGAATTGAATTAATATGGTGATTTTTTTTAAAGGATTAAACACACACACAGAGAGAGAGAGAGAGAGAGAGAGAGAGAGAGAGAGAGAGTAGGATGGTCAAGAGCTTCCTGCAGGGTTCTACAAGGGGCAACACTGAGACTAAAACACTGAAACCCCCTGGACTGGTTGCAAGAAAGAAGATAGGCAGGTGGGTGCTGGCTAAGTGCAGACTGAGGTTGGTGGGGCAATGCAGTGATGTGTATGATCCCCACACACTCTCACATGCACATACAAAGGACATACACAGGCAGACAACCTCCTCATCAGCTGAACAAAGCAGATCAGCTGAAGAGAGGGAATATTACTGCTGTCTATCCATTAAATGATCAAGGTGATGGTAGGGAAGCATCTCCACCCATCGCAGTGCTGTGTCTACTTCCATTCCTTTTCTTTTGGCCATTGGTCTTGAGAGGGCAGGACGAATTATTTATAGAGGGCTAGATCATACCCTTGAACTAGGAGTTTGCTACTTGAGTGTGAAGGCACAAGCTACAACAACCTGGCTGCAGCTCAAAACCAGTCTAGGTCTATTTAGTGCCTAGATGGGAGATTGCCTAGGAATCCTATGTATGCTGTGCTGCATTGAGTTCTATGGAAGAAAGACAATATATTAATCAACTAAGTAAAATCTTCCCCAATAGGATTCCAATGAAGCTGGATACCTCGGCTTACAAGGAATATGAAAGCTCAACTATGTATGCAAACTTAGATCATATTTGCCATCATTGCAGATCCTCTTGTATGAAGAAAATAGATCCGACTATCATGGAGAAGAGGTGTTTTAAGGAGTCCTGGAGTACTACCAAAAAATGTTCCAAGCATTAAGATTATTCTTCCTTCAGAAGTAAGTTCCTAACACGGATTTAAATCCTTGGTCAAAGCCACTGCTGAAGATTTCCAATGAAGACAATATGGTGGTGGGGCTAAGTTTAGTTAAATGGATATATTGATGGGTTTAGATGTGGGGTACCCTTCAGAATACTTGGTCGGCCATAATGTTCACAGCTGGTATTGTCCCTGTCATCATTTTGCAGAATGACCTAGCCCATAGGGAGTTTAACACTCATGGAGTTCTTGAAAGCTCAAGTTTTCTTGAAGTTAACCATATCTGTGAGCCTGATCAGTGTTTGGATAGGAGAATTCTTCTCTTGCTGTGTACCTCATGCAATCTGCTTTTCCAAAAGTAGAATAAATAAACAAGGGAAGAGAAGTAGAATGTATAAACAAAGATTCAATCAATGAGGATACATTGAAACTCCCCCTTTGGATAGGGGTTCAAAGACATCTGAACAAATCAACATCTGTTGGTTCTCTCAGTTTGGTTCTCCAAGAGACAGGAAAAATAGGGCATCCAAGAAAGAGAAGTATGGGAGTCATGTTAGTGGATGTGTCAGTAGCTAGTGATGAGGGAAACCGTGGTTGGTCACCAAATGAAGCATTAAAATAAAAAGTGTCCAGAGGAAGGATGAAGAAAGTGTGCATTAGAGGTAGAGAACATTCCAGTTGCATTAAAATACCTGTTAGAGCAACAACACTTAAGGGCCTAGTTTGACGACCATGAGCAAAACCGTAAAGCACAACCTCATAGCCAATGCCAGTTATGAGACCTCTAAGTGTCAGCTGACGCTGGGCTCCTGAGAGGAGGAACTCCTGGGGGTCCAGCAGTTTGCCAGAATCCACCACGATTATTAGAAAGCTGTCAAAGGCATTCTCTGATGCCATCCAGGACACTGTAAAGCCATATGGATTAATGCCTGAGAAAGTGAGGTTTTCCAGTGGGGGCAAGGGCTCTGAAAGAAGGGGAAGGTGTGAAAAACACAAAGGAGGAAAAAAAAAGAGTTAGATAAGACAGTGTGTGTAACTTGATATAAACCACAGGTCTGCATGGGGGAGCAGGGGAAACTAGCAACTATTACAGTGTAGTATTAATGGTGAAATAATTGTATATAGTTTTCAAGGTAGATTCATACATGCATATCCATCACTCAGTGGGCTGTATCCAGTGCCAGTCCTACTCAGTATAGACCTGTTGAAATCAATGAACTGAATAATTTGGGTCTACTCTGAAGAGAACTTAGTTTGGGTACAATCCAATATCTCCATGGATAGCACAGTCAAGTTTCATGATGTGGTCTATGTAAGCTGCATAAAGGGTTATGCCGCAGTTTGAGACCAGATTATTAGAAGACCCATCAACACCTGCATGGACCTGTCCTAGTCATAACCGAGACTATGGAAGCTCTGCTTCAGTGCCTTCTAAGATCTATGGCCGTGTTTCCCAAACTTGGGTCTCCAGCTGTTTTTGGACTACAGTTCCCACCATCCCTGACCACTGGTCCTGCTAGCTGGGGATGATGAGAGTTGTAGTCCAAAAACAGCTGGAGATGCAAGTTTGGGAAACACTGATCTATGACGGTGGTAGACAAACTTCAGTGTGTTTACTCAGAAGTAAGTCTCAGTGTGGTCAGTGGAACTTGGGTCCAAGTAATTGTGTATAGCAGCAGAGAACCTGTGGCTCTTTAGATGTTGTTAGACATCATCCCTGACAATTGGCCATGTTGGCTGGGATTGATGGCAATTTTAGCCCAACAATATCGGTCTAAAACCTCTGGCAAAGGAGAATTTACCACCTTCCAAGGCAGACCAAGATCTCACGACTACAATTACACGAAGATGGAGATCATATTAACCGTCAATGTTTTCTTCTCCAGACACATAGTAATATAAATTTAGTATTGTCCATTGCCTACTGCTGTTTGGTTTAAAACAAACAAACAGGCAACCCTCAATTGAAAGTCAATCAACTTTGCTCCACAAAGCTGTAATCCATCAACATTCTTAGATATGGGATAGGCAGTACATGGTGAAAATGCCGCAATCATAATTGCCAATTCATTTAATCCAAATAGGAGGGGAATGGAAGGGGTGGGGGGAACAAACACCCAATGTCTTTTAAATGGGTACCTGTCATCAACAAAGAGATGAGAGACTCAGTGTGTCTCCCGCCTGTGGTTGTGCCCTGAATGTTAATGTCATAATCAGTATAATCTACTGAGCCTGAGACGAGAGTGTCATGAGCCTCTCCTGACACCGAAAGCTTCTGAGACTCCCGGAACAAATGGGAATCTCTAACATTTACAGCCAACTTTGCAAAAGGCCCATCTCTTGTGGTCCAGGAGAGGTTGAATGTGTTGGCCTTAGCATTTGTGAGTGTAAGCATGCCCAGCTGTGGTTCGACCTCTGAAGAAAAAGGGAACACAAAAAGCGGAAAGAGAAAAGCATTACTGGTTGGCAGCCATGTGGTGGTAGAGAAAACAGAAGGTGCATCACTTAATCAACAACATGTGATGTTCCCCACCCCTGGCACAAAACCACTAAGTCCAGAGTATAAAAATGACATAACTTGCATCAATGGATGGTCTGCTCATCTAGGAGAGCCCCCCAATAAGTCTCCCTTCTCTTTCCCCAAGGTAAGATGTTTTATTTTTTGCCTCAGGAAGGGAAGGGAGAAAAATGGGTGTGAGCAGGGACCAAAGCAGAACTTAAGCAGGCGCCAGCTCCCAAGAAGCTGTGCTTGCCTCAGCACTGCTTACTGCATGTGTGAAACCTAACTGACCCCAATTAAGGACTCATGCTAGAACTGCCCTCATGCTGCCATATGGTGACAAAGCAGTGTTGGCATGGTTTTGTAATGCTCATGTGCCTTTAAAGAAACAAGCTCAATGTGATCTCATGATCACCTGAAGATGGTGGAATGTACAGCAACACAGAAGACAGATATAGCACCACCAGACTTAACATGCAAGTTTGAAATAGTTTCCCCAACATTTCTTCACCACTTGGACATTGTCAAAGCATGCTTTTCCGGTCAGATCAGGCATAGCCCTTGGAACTTAAAAGCTCCTGCATGCAATGCAAAATGAAAGAATCCTGTCAGGCAAGACATACAGTAGGATCTTGGTTACCCTGGAGGTGCCTTTGTTAGCAAAACACGCTGGCATCTTGTGGAAGGTATGTTATCATCCTAACCCCAATCAAGGATGATTGGTAGAAGTGACTGTACTCTTGGGCTGGAAGCTCAAGAAAGAGATGGGCTTTGCTTTTCCATTCCAAGTATTGACTCAGCATAATAATATATGCAGAGATGCCAGGCAGATGAGACTCTTGATATGTATCATGGTATTGGTACCAACCATGCAGCTTCCCACCTCTCTTTGGTTGATACATTGCAATACTGAAAATATAAGTAACTGAGGTGTCTTCTAGGTCCAACAGCAGAACACTGATATGTGCCATCATAAAGCGAGGTGGCATGCAAAGATTTATCTCTCAGGATGACAAGAACTGTGGGATAGCAAGGCCTCATGATGAAAACATCAAAGCAGGAAGAAGAAAGACAGAAGAAGTGCAATGATGGTCAGTGATGGGAGATCAGATGCAGTGATGCTCTAGAAAAATGTCTGCTGGAACAAGTACATACACATATATTTATATATGCATATATGTATGTTGTAAGTAGCACACACACATACACATACATATGTGATGTAGATTAGCATGTGTGCATATATAGAAGTCCTTAATTGTTGGGACACAACAGTTGTAACAATGTTGTCCTCCTTCAAGATTACTCCGGTTCTGAGAAATAAGCACCCTTTCTAAATTAAGACAGGAAGGAAAATATCATACTTGGGGAAACTGCACTTATGAGTAAAAGGAATCAGAGAAAAGGCAAACCTTGGAGGTGATATACCTGTGGTAGCCCATGTCGTCAAGGTCTGGCTACTTTGCCCATCAACCAAGCCATGAAGCTGGAGGGTATAATTAGAGTTCGGTCTGAGATTGATGAGGACAAAGCTCCGAGAGTCCCCCGGCACTGTGTGCTGCTGGGAGTCCAGAGACTGGTTGTTGGTGTTTCTAACATCTAAGAGAAAATGGTCAAAGGCAACGTCCTGCGCTTCCCACATGAGGGACAGGCTGTCAGAGGAAGTATCTGAAACTGTGAGTTTGCTAAGGAGGTGTGCAGTTACTATGAGGAAAAAACACATTGGAATCAACATGGGCAAAACTTCCAAGGTGGAATACAATAACAGAAGAACTCAAGGATGCAGAAGAAACATGCCCGGTGGAATCCTACCTGTAAACTTTGGGTTGTATCCGGCTAAATCCTACTGAGCATATATTCACTGAATTTAATGGACTTAAGTTAGTCACTGGGTCTACTCTGAGTAGAGCTAACATTCAAAGCAACCTTTAAAGGGTGCTTTTTGGTTGTCCAACTTATACAATGGCAAAAATACAGGAAAGCAGTAGGTAGCATTGAGACGACTAGGACTGGAAAATGAATCAGTTTTAAAGAGATATATACACAGAATTCTAACCCATGGGCTTTTCTCACATTGAACTGCCTCTTGTATTGAGAACCTACTCCTGTCTAAACTATGTGCACTGTTGGTTTGTTTTTGGTTTTTTTTAAAAAAATCTGGATAATTATATGCAAAATTATGTTTAAAAATACATTTGTGCCTCATGCTGTACTCTGTTTCCTCTGGACACTCTTATATGTATATTGAAACATATGCATTTTGATACCAACATGGTGCTCTCCAGGTTTTGTTGGACTACTAGTCCCACATAGACTGTGCTAGCTGAGACTGCTTTATAGAGTTATGTGTGTTGCTGTGTCTATCTATTTATGTGCAGGTTACTTCAGTAAATCTTTAGTAAATCTGGGGGGGGTATAGTATGTGTATAATATTATATGTATAATGGGAAACTTCATAACTTCATATTTTTAGTGAAACTGGGGTGGGTGGAGACTTTATTGTTAAGATTAAGGCCCCACCTGCACTACACATTTTTAACACATCAAGGGTGCCAAGAATTGTTAAGAGACCTCTATTCTCTTCACAGAGATACAATTCCCAGAGTTCCCTGGGAACAGTGATTTGTTGTTATACTCATTAGTTCTTCACATGTATAACCAACATCTGCAAGGGGCTACAGAAGATGCTAGATGTGGCTACATATATTCAGCACACTTTCCATTCTCTTCCCTATGAACCTTTGGAGGATCAATGGAAAGTATAATATACCTTAGAAAAAACTACTTAGAAATTTCCCAAGTCCATCAAAATAGGATATTGTGATGGACTAACAAGCATTTCTATTCTCATTTTCCCTTAAAGTGGATGTGTTCTACACTTCTAGAAAAAATGGCTGCTTTTCTTCATGGAACATAATAAAATCTATGCTGCACCACAGGAAAGTCCCAAAATTTAAATAGGCATTGAGTGAATTATTATTATTGGTCCTAAATCTGCCGCCAGCCATCTTCACCAGATAACCCTTACTTTCAGTGTTTATAAGAGAGGAAGAAAAACTTATCTCTGTTACAAAATTGTAAGAAGAGCTCTATTGGATTAAAGCCAAAGGCCCACCATAGTCCACCATCTTGTTAACACAATCTGTGATTCCCACGACTGGTATTCAGAGGCATACAGACTAGAGGGAGAACTTGGCCATTGCGCCTCATGATAGTCTTACCCTCCATGAATTTGTGTACTCCTCTTTTAAAGCCATCCGAGTTGGTGGCCATCGTTACCTCTTTCATAGTTAAACAATGACTTTAAAAGTGGCATACACAAATAGTTAATTTTCCTCTTTATTGCCCCTTCTCCCTACCAAAAAAAAAAGCCCATGAAGAAAGCTCCAAATATCTTTTCATGTAAGGGAACACTTCAGCACACTTACAATTTTGGTTGTCCATTTCTGCAATTCACCAGAAGGCAATAGGAAGTATAAAAGAGTAAATGGTGCTGAGGTTAAGGACGGTCTTGAAAAGGAAACTGAATAACACATGATACACGTGAGGTAGGATCATATACCTGTAGTAGCTGTAGTGCTTAATGCCTGAGTACGGAAACCACGAGTAACTCCATAGAGGTAGATAATGAAATTAGTTTTAGGGGATAGCCCTGAGATATGAGCAGCCTTTAAATGGCCTGAGATGTTGTATTCCATGGGTTCCAGCAACCTGTTGGAATCAATAATTTCAATGATAAAGCTCTCGAAGTTTCCTTTGGTGGTGATCCAGGAGAGATTGAAGCCTTCAGGGGTGATGCCCCAAACTGTTAAGTTGCTGACTTCGGGCTTCATCGCTGAAGAAGGGAAACAACATTGAATTTGATTTTAATTTTGATTTTAACTGAAAGTTCAAAGTCTGTTCTATTTGACTTCAAGTCCCGAGATGAACAATGCAGGAGATGAAATGGGGGAGAGACCAGCTCAAGCAAGCAAATAAGGAAAGAAGCTAAAAGCCAATGCAAAATAGATGTCGAAGATAATCAAGGCCCCCATGCGTAGAAGCAGAATGCAGAGCAGCTCCCTAGGAATGATTTTGAGACTTCTCCTATGCACACTTCTAGAGGGGAAAGTTGCAATAATATCCTTTAGATCACACACACACACACACACACACACACACACACACACTAAGCTGGGAGAAAACTCTCAGGAAATAGCTGCACATTTTTGAAACACTTGCAAAGAAACTTTGTAAATACTGTACTGAGCTGATAGCATATGGAGGGGAAGAAGAGGCATATTATGCTGCCTGGAGATCTTCAGAATACAGATGATTATAAAAGAAATTAAATGCAGAGGAAAGTGCCTTTGAGCATAGATTTAGGACTATGGTTTTCATGCTGGAAGATTACTTTAATCTACAGCCAAGCCTCAGTTCCTTTCACTCAGTTCCTTAATATTCTGCTAGGGATGTTCTTCAAATAAGGAAAGCATCACAACTGATAAACCCCTGTCTCTGTTTTTTAGATGAAAATAGCAGGGAAGCAAGTAGCATGTCAATTGGTAGCTCTCCAGAAAGTGGTTCCACGGGTTACCATGAAATGAAATAGTCAACCTACAGGAGATTTGCTCGTCATTAGGGAGGGAGGGAGGGAGGGAAACAATGCAGGGTTGAGCAGATGCCATTCTCTCTCTTTCTGCAAAGGAAGGAAGGAAGGAAGCAAGAAATGGTGGCTGAAACAGGTGAGCAGATGCAAAAAAAGACAAGAAGATACCTGTCATGGATTCAACTGAAAGGGGCTTTGTTCTGTAGCCCCGAGTCACACCATAGAGAGTGATAGTGTAAAGAGTGCTTGGCAGGAGGCCAGTAAGATTCGCAAATCGCAAGTAGCCTGGGATGGTGATATTATGTCCATTTTCTGGCTGGTTTGGCTCCTGCACCTGAATGACAAAGTTCTCAAAGGCCCCTTCTCCAGCCGTCCAGGTGAGCTGGAATCCATCCCAGTGAACCTCTGAGACTGATAAATTCCCCAGCTCAGGCTCTTTTTCTAGATATAAAGGACAGAGAGCCAAATTGGTTAATCAGATTTGAAGGTCAAAGAAAGCAAGCAAAGGAGTGATGAGGTACCGTCTGTCTCAAAGCTTTCATGATAATGAGTTCCATTTTTACCTGGTTACGTATTTATGAGCCCATCTCCCTTTCACTTATACACACACTTCAGGAGCTATATGTCCTAGGAGACAACCTGGGGATAAGATTTCCAAAGGAGATTCAGGAACACAGCTGAGGAAGCAGACATCAGCGAAGCCACCCATAAACCTTGATAGCCTCAGTAAAGCTATAGCTTTCTAGCAAGCAAGAATATTAAGCTGTGGGATCTAAAAAGGCAATTCAGGGACTGATTTCCATCTGAAATTCATTTTGCAAGACACACACATACAGTCTGCTGCTTTACAGTAAACCATTAACAATTCAATATTTGCTCCCCCAAAGCTATTACAGGAATGCAGTAACGAATGAGGTAAATTGAGAGAGTGCAAGTAGTGGATGGGAAGACCTTTCATGCTAATGGCACCCCCTGGATATTGTGTATTCTTTGAAGATAAATTACCTTCAGTGCTTGCTCCAGCTTTTGGAGGGCCCTTTGGCCAGACACCCTCCATGCCTTTCCCTTACTCACTGACTCTGCCTTCTCACTGTGGGTTGTGTCCCATGTTAGTCATATTCAGAGTATCCATTAAAATCAATGGAGATGACAAACGTTAGGCACATTAATTTCAATGGGTCTGTTCTGAGTAAAATTTACTTGGATGCAAGTCCTTCATTCTCACCAGCTGCTCTACTACTTCATCATTAGTACCACCTGCTTGTTTGACAGGTGGCAAGCCAATGAGCAAGCAGACAGTGGCATCTGTTGCTCCTTCTCCTCACCACCACTGTGGTTTGAGCCAGAAAAAGAGGTGGTTAAACAAACAGATTACAAAAGTGAAGATAACAAGCAAGTCTGAGGATGGGGCTTGTCAGTGGACCCGCTTCTGGAGTGTGGGTCCTCAGCCAATGCCTGACCGTGCCAGCTGACAGCATCAGCCCTGATCACTATTTCTGTTCATTCCCTGTCTCCAGCAGAGAGGGAAACGAGGCAACCCAACTAGGGAAAGGGAAAGGGAATTCCAAGCATTTCAAGGTGAGGCAAGATGCTTTGGCAAATGTACATTCCCAGTTCAACACTGGCATCTGATTATGGAAGGGTGAACCTATCTGTTTCAGATATGCATCATTTCATGTGTTTCACCCATAACTCTGTTTCATTCTGTTTCTGCATTTATCTGCAGTTTAAAAACATTTTTTAAAGCATTTATGGTACCATATTTATGCAAATCTTATGCACAATCAAATCCAATGCACACCTCAGTTTTCAAAACCTTGAAACCAAAAAAGTAATTGCTATGTCAGTGGTGTTATTCAAGCTTGCAATCAAATCCAATGCACCATCAAATCTAATCCACACCCTAATTTTCTTGACTTAATTTGGTCAAAAAAGGTGTGTATTAAATTCAAGTAAATACGGTAAATGCTTATTTGTGTCTCAAAAATAAATGTACAGGAGTCCCTGCACTTACATGAAATTGACTCATGTGCAACCACGTATATGTGCAGTACTGGAAAATAAGTAAATAAGGGGACATTTGGCTTACTAGCAGTACATGTAAAAAGGATCCAGGGGTCTTGGTGGAACACTGTTACCATGAGTCAACGGTGTGATGCAGCAGTAAAAAAAAGCGAATGCTATTCTAGGCTGCATCAACAGAAGTATAGGGTCCGGATCAAGGGAAGCCATAGTAACGGCCTATTCTGCCTTGGTCAGACCACACCTGGAATATTGTGTCCAGTTCCGGACACCACAATTTAAGAAGGATGTTGACAAGCTGGAATGTGTGCAGAGGAGGGCAAGCAAGATAATCAAGGGTCTAGAAGTCAAGCCTTATGAGGAATGGCTGAAGGAGCTAGGTATATTTAGCTTGGAAAAGAGGAGGCTGAGAGGAGATATGATAGCCATCTTCAACTATCTAAAGGGCTGTCACATGAAAGATGGTGCAAGCTTGTTTTCTCCTGCTCTGGGGGGTAGAACTCAAACCAATGCCAGTGTTTGTGGTTGTTTGTTTGCCAACATGCCAGACTGTGGTACGAACAGAACCTTGTGGTCAGCACACACCCCTGTTATCTGCATAGCAGTGCAATCAGTGGACCATTCTCTGTTGATTCCCTCTCTTTTCAAGCAGGAGTGCCAACTTGAATAAAATATTGTGGGGGTGCTGGTAAGCCCCACCCCACATAATCGACCACATGACACAATGCATACACACCATTTGAATGGGAATGCCCATCAACTTCATGGGGCCCCAGTCCCCTCAAATATTTTATTGTGGGGGCCAAAGCCCCCACAGCCCCTAGGAATTGACTCCTATGTTTTCAAGGAAGGGAGTGGATAGTGCTCCCTATATCTCCATATCAGTTGTCTTCTATTGGCAAGGGGAGAGAATCCTGTTTTCATAGTGAACAGCAATTTCATATTTTCTGGGATACAGTGGTTAAATGGGTAAAATGTCATGCTTTCAACAACTAAGAAAACAGATTTTCCTAATATAATGCATTTTTGTATGTTATTTTTACTAATATGCATGCTCCTGCACAGATTATACTAGTATATGCATTTTTGTACACATTTTTTAGCTGGAGAACTACATCACAAGATTCAGAGCAGTATGAATTTTGATGGTTTTGCTTCAATTCACATTATTTTAGGGAAGTGTGAATTTGGCAGGTTTATCTTTAAATGCAAACTGAATCCTGTTTCTTCCCCATCCTAGTAACAACCCAGTGCATGATCTGTTTCTATAACATTGCCAAAGCAAAGCAGGCATGAGCTTGGACTGAGAGCTACATGTAGCTATTCTGAGCTCTCTAACAGGAAGAATGGGGTAGAAATATAATAAATATGAGAAATATAGAGGCCTAGATGAGGCGACAGTAGCCAGACATAGCAGGTAGATTAAGAAAAGAATAAATACAGTCTTGAGTTAAGAGCTTCTTGGATGGACAACAGATATCTGACTATAAACATTCTTTCCAAAAATGAAATTCCTCTATTTATTATACTCTAAGCAAAGCCTGCAGCTTCTGCTGCTGCCATTTCTATATATGGTTCATATTGTTCATATTGAGAATATGAATGCTATAAAGAATTTAAATGTGATCCCTCACTGTTACTTCAGCCATAGCTCAGCGGGAGAACATCTGCCTTGCATGCAGAAGGTCCCAGATTCAACCCTGAACATCTCCAGGTAGGGCAACGAATATGTCCTGAGTGGACAGCTATTACCAGGCAATTGGGGACAATAGTGTGCTAGATGGACCAATGGTCTGCTTCACTCTAGGGCAGCTTCCTATCTCCCTAAATCATACCAGATGGGAATGCTTTCCTGGATGCTGACTGGGGTAAATCTGTCTTCTTTTCTACCTAAAGAGATGGACCTGAAACCTGAGGAAGTGGCTGTTAGTCAGTATGGACAGCACAGGGCCTAGATGCAGTGGTTTTCTTTGTCCCAGGAACCAGCCAACCCTTTACAATGGAGTAGGAACTTCCTGCTGCTGAGGAGGTGAAGAGTATGAAGCATTTTTACTGATGTTAATGAAAACAAGTAGAACTTTGACTGTCTTTGTCTCAAATGGAACTATACTTCAGTCTGTCTGTGGTCCTTGAGCAGAAGGAGTTAACCAGAAGGAGAGTCACATCGCAACATGACATCATGACGTTACATGCACTGGCCACCCATAACCTGGGGCCCAAGTTGGTTCCACTGCTGCTGGGGTCCCTCCGTAATAAGAGTCTGGCATGCCAGAAAAAGGGTGGGGGAGGTTCAAATCCTAAGCTGCAGCTATGAAGCTAAGTCTACCCTACCTCACAGGGATGTTGTGAAGACAACACTGGTGGGCAGGGAATGTGTTTCACCCTGAGCTTCAAGGAGGAAATGCAATTTAAATCCCTGTTGTTACAGTGGGATTTGAGACCATCTCACTTAATCTGGATCAGGGCCTTGGAACTATTCATACCATTTCTTTTTCTAGTACCCCAATCCCACAAAACAAATCCAACTAAGTTCTGCTAAAATCAATGTACCTAAGTTATTCATGTTCCTTATTTTCCAGAGTGTGACTGACATCGGCTGCGGCTCCTAAAAGCCCACTCATGTTTTGCTTTGGAGGAATGCTATCAAATTGCCCCAGTCTTCGCTTCCATGGGTTGTTCCTGGGGGACATCAATTTAAGAATCACAGAAGGCAAAGCCTGGGTTACTCAAGCTGCCTGATGCTAAAGGAGTACAAAGGGACCCAGTGTCATTTAACAGCAGAAGGGGTGAAGCAACATGTCTTGTATGATTTGGCTCAGGATGGAAGATTCCTTGCCCACATTAGAGGCAATCAAGGGAATATAATAAGGGAACAATCATCTCCCTGAGTCACATCCCAGCATCCTTCTGGGCCCTTGTTTGAATGGTCCTCCTGGTGCTTATATATTGGGACAAGGGCAACTTCACTTGGGGGCAGAGGGAGACAGAACAGTGGCTAGCAGAACTTTGATGCAAGAGCTCCTGTACTTATTACGGAGGGACCCCAGCAGCAGTGGAACCAACTTGGGCCCCAGGTTATGGGTGCCCAGTGCATGTAACGTCATGATGTCATGTTGCGATGTGATGTCATGATGTCACACACATCCCCCGGCCTCAGAACCCGACTTCCTGTGGCACCAGAAGTCAGGTTCCAAGACCTCACAAGGCCTAGTAAAGCATCTCTGAGGTCTCACAAGGCCTCAGACATGACTTCCGGTGCTTCATGAGGCACTGGAAGTTGAGTCAGGGGCCCTGCGGTGTGGGTGCTCGGGCACCCAGAGCCCCTATAGTTGGCATCCCTGTCCAGCAGGAAGAGGTGGGTGGGGAAGAAATAACTCTGGGCTGGCGATCACTGATAAATAAAAAACAAGAAAATCCTAGGGGGTTTAGGCTTTGATGCTAGAAATGTCCAGATTTGGACATCTGAGCTCACTTGTTTATACAACTTTTGTTCAGACCTCGTTTATACAATCCCTAGAAGAATATGGAACACAGGAAGCTGGCTTTAACTGTGTCAGACCTTTGGCCCATCTAACTCAGTATTGTCTACATAGAGTTGTGACCAATGTAAGTCCTATTCAGAGTAGACCTACTGTAATTAATGAGCATGGCTAACTTGGATTCCTTGATCTAAATAGCCATGCTCCCAGTTCAATACAACTCACTGACTGGCAACAGTTCTCCAGGGTTTCAGGCCAGAGTTTCTTACAGCCCTACCTAGAAATTCTGGGGGATTGAACCTGGGAATTTCTACATGCAAAGCATGTGCTCTACCACAGAGCTACAGCCCTTTCCCCTGGAAGATAGGAAGCTGCCTTCCTCAATCTAGCTCTGTATAGTTTACACTGGCAGTGGCTGTCCAGGACTTCAGGCAGGAGTCTTTCCCAGCCCTAGCTAGAGACTCCAGGGGTTGAATCTGTAGTCTTCTGCATGCAAATCAGGTGCCCTACCACTGAGCAGGAATGGGAATACCCCTCAGAATCTGGACCTTCCTCATATAGAAGTTGACAGATAAAACTAGGCAAGATGAGAGCAATGAATACCTTCCCACCATCCCTTTCCACAATAGACCTTTACGTACCCAATAATTTATTTCATGCAGAGAGATTCCAGTTATTTATAGCATGTGCATTTTTTAGAATTTTGCCTTGGCAGATGGTTAAAAGAAACTGTCTGCCTTGAAATTTTCAAATGATTGGTATTGGATATGAGACTCTAGAAGAAAGCCCTTTCCCTTCCTTGTGGTCCCTAAGTACTCAATACCTAAATGGGGGAAATGTGGAGCATGTGCTAATTTGGGGAACATCTGCATTTCACTGTCCTGGGTTCTCAAAACCAGATGGGACTATAGAGGTGAAGAAAAAACCTTCCATATGGTGTTAATGAGCTGCCCATGCCAGTCCCCCGCCATCAAAGAACTCTATTTTTTATTGCTGAAACATAAAAGGAACAATGGGGATTTCATTAACATCCAGACACTAATCTGAATATCAATGCACATCTTGTAAATATGTACAGAAGGAAACTTTGATCTTGTTACTTCTTTAGCTGCACAGACCACCAAAACTGGAGCTAAAGACTTGGAGTGGCTGGCTGGGAAACTCATTCCTGAAAAGTTCTTTCCTAGAAAGAAGATGCTGTTATCATATTTATGGCTGCAAGCATTAATCAGATGTAAGCTTGTGTCTTTGATGGTTCCTCTCCCAGTGAATGAGCTTTTGCAAGACAAGGGCCATATTCACACCATACATTTAGAGCACTATAGCACCATGTTAAACAGTCATAGCTTCCCCCAAAGCTACCAGTCCCAGACTTCCCAGTGAAGAGAGGTTGATTGTTAGACCACTCTAGAAACTGTAGCTCTGCAAGGGGACTAGGGGGTCTCGTAAGAAATGTCAGCACCCATAATGAATTACAGTTCCCAGATTGATTTTTAAAGTGGCTATTTAAAGTTGTATCATAGTGCTTTAAATTTAAGGTTTGAATAGGGCTAAGTTCAGTCTGTCCCTAACCTGTCCCAAGTCAATCTAGAAGCCTATTTAATGTGGCAGCTTGCATCGCCATGCAAATAACCACACAGTGTCCTGGTTCCATCCTTTGAAAAGAGGCGTATTACAGGGCTCATCTTTGGGGTCAAAGCACATTTGCTGCTCATGTGCCTGCCCACTGGAACTCTTGAAACATAAAAATGATGCAAATATAAGCTGGAGCAAGAGGGAAGTGGGGCTGATGGCAGAAAAGGCATATTATGGGCTGCCTGTCTTTTTTTTTGGTCTGCTGTACCCACACCCCATAGGAATTTAAGCCTACAATTTGGTTGGAGGCGTGAACTGAAGGGTCAGAGCCAAAGGGTCAGTGTACAAGGGGCTATTGGTTTCAGGCCCTCAGCCATGGGCTGTAAACCATTGTGCAAGCCAAGAACCTGTTTGGGGAGATGCAAACACAAAGGCACGTACCAGTAGAGCCAACCACTGTTGCAGGCTTGCTCTTGTGCCTGCCCTTCTCTGCCACAAGGTTGATGGTGTACTCTGTCCCAGCATCTAGGGATCTTAGGATGTGAGATGTGCTATCGGCAGGAATCTCCATTTCATTCTTCCTCCCATCAGGGGTCATGTAAGTAAGGCGATAGCGATCAATTTTAGCCCGGGGTATTTTCCACCGCAAAGTGAGAGTTGTCTCGGTAGGATCAGTGATTTCCAAGTCCTTGGGACGATCCAGATCTGTGTGCAAAGAGAAATAAGAGAATTGTAGAGTTGGGGGACCATTTTGGGCCATGTAGACCAATCGCTTTAACAAGACTCAGTTAATGAACAATTGTGTTTGGGTGGAGCTGGAGCAGTATATTCTGTTGATCCTGTTCTTCTGGACTACAAGCTGTGTAAAAAGCGCAGAGAGAGGTTGAGTTTCCTTCTACTGAGAACTGTTACTGGAAGATTCCCAAACATTTGGTACTGTATTGCTTAAGAGATGTTTACTCCTATATTACTGAAAGGGTTGCGAAAGAGTTGTGGGGGTTGCAGGGGTGTGGAAGCAAAAAATGTAATGCATGTTGGGTACAGATACCCCCCCCCCCCAAAGTGAACAGCATGGTACAAGTCTGCTCACCTTCTGTGGTGGGCAGCATTGTGGCCAGGTATCCAGGCCCATGCAGTGATCCCATGGGGGGGTTGACACCCCCCTCATTGCCATCTCAGCCATGTCACCAACGTTTGAATTGCAGCAAGGGCAAAATGACCTCAGTGCATTTTAAGCAGCTAATGTGACCATACTGTACCCTTAAACACATTACATCTAGTCCTGCCTTCAAGGGCAGCAGAAAGTAAGTATTTATCCTCTTCAGTGTAACAATCCCATGGATATTCAAAGAGTAATACCATTCTTTTAAAATCTTTGAATCCCCTTTGGCAGGTTTGGGAAACCTCAGGCTGGAGATCTGAACACAGCCCTCAAGGCCTCTCTCTCCGACCCTCAAGATTGGGATACTTCCCAGGGCACACCCCTCACTAGTCTTGCTTCACAAACTCCTTGAGTCTTTCTGCCTGGTGAAAATGTGTCTTCCTTGAACTCTAATAATGCAATTATCAGACTGCCTACATGGAGGAGATGGAGGGGTATATGTGTCTAGAAACTGTATAATGGTGGCATTTACATTTGCTGTTCAACACACTTCTGTATCTGGCCCCGACTCCATAGACCTGTGGCCCTCAAAAGGTTGCTCAGAAGGGAATGTGGCCCTCAGGCTGAAAAGGGTTCCCCATCCCTGCCATATGATGAAGTTGTTAGTTGTGCAAACAGCGTTGCCTCTGCAAACCCTCAGATAGATCCTGTTGCTTGGCTGCAATTTTGTATGCGCTTTTGGGACACATTTCCCAATATAAGATACAGTGGTGAGCAGAGGGCCTGCAGTTCAGACCTGGCCTAGTGACAACCACTGGTTGACCACCACTATTAGTGATTTGAAAGAAACTTTTTAGTCCATGCCAATGTCCTCTTCAGAAGTGGCTTCAAGAGGGAGGTAAAACAGCCCTACCCACATACCAGTTTTCTGACTCCCCTCTCTATTCCAGGACAGGCAGAGTGCCAGTTAGAAATTTGCTGATACAGGAGGAAAGAGTGCAGTGTGTTCCGAATTTACGTGGCTTTATGCATGACAGAGCCTAGCAAGCTCTCTCTGCAATTTTGAAATGTACATATATCCGCAGAACATTGGCACGATATTTATCCATTTTTTTGAAATCACTGGTCTAGTTCAGTCCTGGGAGCTTTGTGCTCTGTAGTCCCCTCTGTATTGAGAAAGGTATTGGTTCTAATCTAGATCATGTGAGTTGTACTCTTAAGAGTGCAGAAAAATCATTTGTGAAAGTATGTGGGATATTCTGAATGTTCATTCACCTGGTGCCCAAGGTAATTCAGCACTTCCTATGTGAATACACACTGCATCCAACAAAAACACTGGCTTGGTTTGTATGTAATAAGCAAACACATAGGCTCCCTGACAGAAGAATGAAGCCAATTTGCTTCTCCCCAGCCATTTTGGTGCTGTGCTGTGCCAAACTAAGCCATGGTTTGGCTCAGTATGTCATCCAAGCTTTGAGCCAGGATTTAGCCCTCTCCAAACAGACCATGAGCTCATACAGGTTTGCTCTAGAGTTTACAGCTTGTGGAGAGAGTTAAAGCACAAGCCCAGGTTTGAATGACCCTCTAAGCCAAACCACAGTTTAGCTAAGCATAGCAGCAAAGTGAGCAGTGAGGCATAAGGCAGCCATGATCTCCTCTCTGGAAACCTGCACATTTGCTTATCTGTACTGTACCACTGTTTGGCTTAGGGTTACATACAAATGGGGAAAATGTGGGCTTCAAAGAGGTCTGCCTACAAGCTTTGGAAACCAATATCACAAGAAGGGAACCCAACTATACACCCAGGTCCCGGTTTAAGTGGGCTGGGGTGATGGTCTACAGTCTCACTAACTGCCAGCTCATTAAAGAAAAAATAAAGGATAATAATACTTATAATGATTCCCATTTTCACTGGCTCCCCTTATTTTTCTAGGGCCCAGGGGCCAAATGTGGCCCTCCAAGCCTCTCTATACAGCCCACAGAACTCCTCCCCAGGCCACACCTGAATCGTATGTGACACTGAATTGTGATTATTCCCCTTTCTTCCCTGGATGGAGGATGGTGAAAGGCGCGTGTGTGTTTAGAAACCTCTCACTTCTGCAAAGCTGGAATGGAGCCTAGTTTACGAAGGTTAGAATCCCATCCTTTGCTTTGCCTACTTTTTGCCTCTGGCCATACCCACTACTGGCGTGCATCTCTAAAAGGGATGCCCCTGAGGTGAAGCATCCCTTGAGCTGGAAAAGCCTCATTACTCCTGTAATACTGAGTGTTTAATGGAGACTGTCAGGGTCAGGTGGCAGCCCTGGGTGACAATACTTGTGACCTGCATAATGTATTCTGTGGCTCAGGAACCCAGGCATCAGTATCTTAAGCTGGGAAAGATGGAGAAAGTATTTATATCAAATCTGAACAATCCAAAGGCTTTGTACTGCTTGTCGATCACTGCTGCTATTCCTTTCTGTGTCTGAAGAGGGCACTGAAGCCTGGCTACACATACAATCCACAGCCCCGGGGTTCCTGGCCGGCAATTTGTTTCCTATTATAAAGAAGATGAGACATTTTCCTACCAGTTCCAGCATTAATAGTGGAAGGAGAGCTCTCTTTGTCCTGCTTCACAGCTGTCACTCCAATGCCATATTCTGTTCCTGGCCTGAGACCTAAACAACAACAGCAACAACAGAAATAGCTTTTTATTCATGTTGCCATTTGATTAAAGAAGTTTCAATTAATTATATGTTCTTAAACCAATCAATTAATATATTAAACAAGTATACATTTTCATAGGAATAAAACCTTAGTTGTGAAGATTTTAAAAGTGCAATTATTTATCTTTTATATTAAACATATATGTTTTGCCATCTCTGTGTCAGTCAAAAAGGTGTCCCCCTCTTTTATTTAATAAAAAAGATTAAGAACTTGTGAATGCCACAGCATGATAGGATTTGTAGTCTTATAACTAGCCCTGCATGATAAGATTTGTAGTCTTAAGAATGCAATTCAAGCTTGAGGCCATGCAACTTATATAGACATTTGGTCCAACAGTAACTTGACTACCTTTCAGGTGAGCCATACCTGTGAGTGTAGCTTTAGTTGTGGCTTGGTCACTTCTGGGTACTGTGACTTCAGCATGATCGCCACCAGAAATGGGGGCATACTTAATTCTGTAAGCTTCCGGTGTTGCTTGGCTGTTCTTCCATTCCAGGGTGATGGTGTTATCCGTCTGAGACAGGTGTTTCAGATTTTTTGGAGCATCCAGTTCTGGGCAGAAGGAAGGTGGTTAACTGTTAGCAAACTTTGCGTATGCAGAACTGCAGGGGAAGCTTTGGGCTTAACAAATGTTAGGACATGTTCCCCATTAGTGACAGGCAAACTTCCTTCTGCTCTGTTCAGATTTGGTTCAGCATTTATGAACTCTCTCTTTCTAACAGCACAGTGGTTTCTGCCCAATGCCAAGCCTATTCACAGTAGACTCATTGGCATTAATGGACATGACTAACAGGTCCATTCATTTCAATGGGTCTACCCTGAGTAGAACCTAGTAGGATGCAACCCAATACTTTCAACCTTGGTATGTTAGCATAGATAGGAAACCTGTAGCCCTTCAAGTGTTGCTACACTACAATCCCAGTGAACACTAACCATTAGCCATGCTGGTTGGTACTGAAAAGGATTGGCATTCAGCAACATCTGCAGACTGCAGGACTACAAGTTCCCCACCCTTGTGATAGAGCAGTAGTTTTTGGATTAAATCCCAGGGTGCCTTGGTGTTCCTCAGAAGATTCTCAAAAGATTCCTCAATGTGGTGGCACACCAGTGTTCCCAGTACTCCCAAGCATTTCCAGAGAAGTGTTTCTGCAGATGCGCTTGGGGTGAGCTTTGGTGCACATCTGCAGTTCATGTGGAGCAATAGTGATGCTCAAAGGCTTAACTAGTACACTGAATGTGCCCCGTGGATTGCTCCATAATGTTCTGCAGTGCACCATGGTTCCAAGGCAGTTATTTGTTGTCAGAAAAGTAAGGACTGAATCAATTCTCCAAAAGTAGATAATTTTAAAAGCAATGGATTTAGTGCATAGTAGACGTCTGCTCTGAGCTAGCAGAGCTCAAGGGCAACACACACTGGCCTCTGCAATCAGCCAGTAGACCAAGGCCCACTGGGGGGCTGCTCCCCTTTCTCCCAGGGAGAATGTCACGGCAAGAAAGAGACTAGCCTGGACCCATCCATCGGCTGAAGCAGCTGCTGCTGCTTTGCCAGAAAAGGACACCCTGCTCCAACTACCTGCTGGAGTTCTTAAACTGGAACTGTAGAAGCAAAAGTCATCAGCTGCTATTCAGGCAAGAAATCCAACAAGGGAAGACCAGCCTGGTCCCAACTTGTAGCTTGCTCTGATCATATACTTTGCTTTTCCAAGTGATCTGGGAGCAAGTCAGATCCAGTACAATTAATACAAGACCTGACAAGCACATAGAACTGAAAAGGGAAGTGGGAAAGTGTGTCTGACTTCCAACTTCCTCCCCCAGCTCTATGCAGTTCTCAAGGGATGAAAAAAAGTAAATTCCTCACCACATCATGACTAAAAGGGCACTGAGTGAGAGGGAGCTCAGTGGGTCTATGGGCACCAAAGTTATCAATCAAGGACACCATTGCATCCATCGATGCCATACTGGAAACCATGGTAGGTAGGTAGGTAAGTAGGAAGAAGAACTCTGACCACCTCTTACCTGTGACAAAGGTTTCCGTCACAGGGTCACTCTCCATATCCCCACGTCGGGACACTAGTGTCACCTCATATTTGGTGTGTGGTTTCAGATTCCCAATAGAGTATTGGCTATCATCCTTCGAGAGGTCGATGGTTGTTCGGTCCCCTGGGACATCCTTGGGCCCAAAAGTCAGCTCAACACCATCAATCTCAGCCAATGGTTTAAACCATGTGATCAGTGCTGTAGTGTCTGTAACATCATTTGCCTCGATCTGGCTGGGGGCATCAAGTTCTGTTGAGTACGAAAAAGGATGAGACAGGGATTTAGAATATTTGGATACCATACAACTCCTTCATGAGTTTTTAAAGGGTGCAAAAATAAATTTGAATGAATTGCAAAAATTATTTGGGGTGGGGGTGTGCAGAGGCCATACAATTCCATCTCAAAACAGTCTTCATTTTCATTTAATTCATTAATTAGTTGGCTAGTTAATTTACCACATTTTCTAATTTTCTCTGTATCTAATAAACCATATAAAACTTGATAAAATGTTTTCCCCATGTGGTGAGAAGCTATTCAATCTGACAGTTGCTACAGGCACATGCAGAGAGCCCCCCCCCCCCCCCCGCTTCAGTACTGCTGCCCACTTACTAACCCTCTGGGGATATCCATACTCTTTTTGCAGCAGCAACGAGAACTGCAGTGACATAAAGTGCCTTTATTGTTCCTCTTTACTGCTGTAAGAATCTAGACACAGCAGGAAGGTGACCCAACAGAAATGCAGAGAGATAGTTTTTTCAATGGATGGCTCTACCTCCTCCACAGTTCCATTGTACTCTTCCTTTTCCTATCCCAATGTGTGTCAATATTATGTTACTAGTCTCTCCAACAGTATTGGCTCCCAGTTCTTGTGGGGCATCTGGAAGGAGGCTGTCAGTGGGCCCTCAGCCCTAGCCTTTCAATTAGGGCCCCATTATGAAATGAGTAGCCATCTGGTTAGATGCACCCCACACTATGTTAGGAGACTGCAGTTCTGAGAAGCAAATTATCTTTCCAATTGCTGCCTGTTACATTGTGGAGGTGAGGAGGGAGGACATGTGAGAAAGGTTTCAACTCCCATGACTTGCTCCTTGGCTGACATGCCCCAGACCAAGAATCCTCATGTGCCCAGTGGTCTCACCACAGGAGTTCCAAGGAGGCGGCTTGGTTCTTCCCATGTGGACCTGCTGGGACCAGATCCCTTATCATGTTCCCTGAGCTCTAAGGAGATTCCTGGCCAATGGGTGAAACCTGACCAGTGGGTGGACCAGAGATTCACCAGAGGATCAGGAAAGACTTGAGGAGCTGGGAGGGAGATGGGTATGTTCAGAAAGAAAAGACTGAGAGGTGAAACAATAGCCGTCTTCAAATATTTGAAGGTCTGTAACATGGAAGGTGGACCAATCTTATTTTCTGGTATTCCAGAGGGTTCTGGATCTGAACAAATGGATTCATATTATAAGAAAGGAGAATCTGACTAAACATTAGGAATAAAGTTCTGGTGGCAAGAGCTGTTTGACAATGGAATGGACTACCTTGGGAAGTCGTGGACTCTCCTTCATTTGAGGTTTTCAAACAGAGTTTGGATGGCTGAGAATCTTTAGATATGATTCTTGTGTTGCAGGGGGTTGGACTAGATGACCATTGATGTCCCTCCCGACGCTACAGTTCTATGATTCTGTAATTCTAAGTCCCCCAGCTTGAAACTTTGCTGCGCAGAAGACACCAATGTACACAGAAAAGGTAACAGGCCCTTTAAATAAGATTATACACCAGTTATCCAGCTCCTGAATCCTAAAATGAACTGCTTTTGGGCATGCTAAGGCTTTGACTGAGTCAGATAAAGACAGTCTCATATTGCCCAAGGTTGGGTTGGGCTATCTGGAGTGTTCGGCAGCTGTTGAGGGGCAGGGTGTCTGGTGAGAAGAAGGAGCTCTTGTTGCATGGGCCCTTTCCCAGCAGTGGAAGTTAAGAGGAAGAGGTTGGTTTGACTGGTTTGCTTTCTCCCTTCCCTTTCACAGCACAGGCTCTAGTGTTTGCTGTCAGACCTCGGCATCTCATTTTCTCACAATGGAAAGAGTAGTGATTTTTCAGTATTCTGCAATTGCAGTCTCTATTGGGAAAAATAGATTCAAATCAACTAAGTAATTTTTAGTGTTAAAATGTTCTCCAGTGATAATGGTTGTGGTTTGGATATAGAGTACTTCATTATGCTTTTGTTAATGACCTTGCTCATCCTTTGTTTGGTGAGAAGCCTCTTGAAGATTGCAGCAACGATCAGTTTTGACAGTTGCTACAGTCATCCACTGCAAATGCCATCCATTCTAGCTTCTCTCAGCATTGCTGCTTGCTCACCTTCCCAGGGTATTTATTTTCTTCTTGCAACAAACAAGAAGCAACTCACTAAATAATCAGACTAATAACTGGCACAGTCACCTAGAGGCTGATCACATTCAGTTGCTACTTACTTGTTGTTATTACCCTGGAGAGGCCAGGTCCTCTGGTTTGATTCTTCACAACATAAAGAGACACATTATATTGTTGCCCTGGTGCCAAGCCTGGTTGCAGATACGATGTTTGAGGCTTCTTTAGACTGTTCCTGATTCCCACATTGTCTTCCTCCTTCTGCAATGCATAAGTTTTGGAATTTAAAGAAGCAAGAAATGTAACCCGGACCCTTCACATCACAAGGGACCCACTCATAGGTCATATCTTTCCTTACCAGGCTGTTAAAAACAATCTCCCATCCACTGAATGGGATGTCCAGGGGGTCCCACTCTACCTCCACTGATGTCTCTTTAATAGATTTGAACTTCAAGCCATCTGGAGCAGGCAAATCTGGAAAGCAATAGCAGAAAGCAGATGCATGAAGCATGGCTTCAGCATTCAAACCATATTCATTAAATATATATATATAGAAATACCCCCAACACTATATGCTGGAACACTACTTGAAAGCCAGTAAGCTACAAAGAAGAAATCTGACATACTGGGAACACACTATCAAATCTTTTCCCTGTCATTCTTGAGGAAGGCCCAGGATTTAGGACTGAAACAAAGCAGTTCCTCCAAATCCATCAACTCATTGGAAGGTTGCAAAGAGCCACATTCCTGTTTGCAATGTGGGATGGGGCATGTCAGTACGCCTTTCAACCGATGTCAGCGACTGGGCTCAATAACTGGTTCTGCCCCGACTGGGCTAGGCAACTGGAGCACTTTCAGGGGCCTTCCAGTTCTGGAAAGCAGGTCGCAGTGCACTGGACTCACAACTGTGCATTGTGAGCACCAGACTCAGCAGAGAATAAATAACAAGGGAGCTAGCTGTGAAGCATAACTTCTTTTATTTCTAATAGCTACTGCAAACTAAAGAACTACTGGCTTGCATGAGTGTTACAGCTCTCACTCAGCCATCTAGTCACTACATAGATAAGACTCTCTCCACACACAGAGTCAGGCAGGCAGTCAGGAGCAGAAGGGAAGAGCAGTTTCCAGCCCCTCTTTTCTGAAAACATCAGATCAGGAGATTCTTGCAATGGGAGGGGGTTAAAATATCAACAGGGCAGGAGGGGGGGGGCTGTAAAGATGGCTTAAATCTTTTCATGCTTTGCTCCTTGGCCCATTTCCCCCCTTTGCCTACATGTTGTCATTCCAGAGTAAGAGCATTGCCTTCACTCAGGTTTGGCTTTCTGATGAAGCGCCTTCCTGCTTGGTTCTGCAAGGGGCAACACAGAGAATTGGGAGGAGGAAGCTGATAGGCAGTTCTACCCTCTGGGCTGGTCCTAAGTAAAAAAGGTAGGCAGGTGAGAGCTGGCAGGGCAGTGTCAGGCCCCATTCACCCTAATGGACCAGCCTCCTTTGCTAAATAAGAGGTGTTTTGCACTTGGCTAGTATTGGAGAAAGGATTTCTGAACCAGGGGAAATGATGGCTGCCCCAACTAGTACCCACTTAATTACATCTGGGCTCATAACATAGAAACAATAACATAGAAGCAAACAGCAGTGCACCCATGTATTCCTTCCTGATTTTACAGGAAGGTAAGTGTTTTGTAGACAAGCAAGTTAGTTGAATGGCTCAGCTGGGCTTTAATGTACTTACAAGTGGCAACCCGGGCACTAATTGGGATGCTCTTCTTGTTCTTCAGGATGGCAAAAACACGGATGAAGTATTCCACACCAGGCTCCAGCTCCCGGATGGTGGCTGACGTATGGTTCCCAGGCACTCTGAACTCAAAGTCTAAGCCACCAGTTCCGGTAGGGATGTAGGTGATGAGGTATTCAGTGACCACATTTTCATTCTTCCATTCCAGGTTGACAGTCTTGTCAGTCACATCTGTAACTGTCAGATCTTTTGGAGGCAATACTAACAAGAGAAATTAAAAGATAAAATAAAATCATGTATCATGGAAGGGAATCAAATGGCATATGTTTTTAAAACTGAGACACAGATCATTTGCCATGCTAAGGGCTAGGATGCATGACGGGGCTGGGGGTAGTAATTTTGGACTGCAGGTGGGGAATCAGAGTTCTGAAGGCTCCCACCAGCACCCTATGTACGCTAGAACCTGGATTTCACATTGCTTGTTGTTGTTGTTTTTACAGGAAAAAATGCTACCCATACCTTGCTGTTCAACATAGTACAGTTAAAAGAGGGCTCTATTAAATGTTTGTGCTGAACCTTTAGCTCGTTTGTAACTTTGAAGCCGTCTGCACTATACATTTAAAACAGTATCATAGCACTTTAAACTGTAACGGCTTCCCTCAGAGACTCCTGGAAACAGTTTGTTTAGGGTGCTGAGAGGAGGTTGCTTTTCTCTTCACTCTAGCCTCCTCTTACCTCACCTCCATGCTTTAAAGCTCTGTCCAAGTGCTCTTTTTTTTGTTGTTGCTGCTCCTGAGCTTTCCCCACAAAAACCTGCTCTTTACAGCTGAATTGGAGGAAACGGAAATTCACAGAAAACCCAAATTGCTTTTCATTGCACTTCAGTTTTAAAGAGCAGGTTTTCATAGAGAAAGCTCTGGCTTGGAACTTTAAAGTGCAGACCTCTGCCTAGACAGTGTGGGGCAAAATGGGCCAACGACAAAATGGGCCATAGATATTGGTTACAACATATTAAGTAAACCTACAAAAGATTATGTACCGGTGGTACTTGACACCCAGAAAAATTAGTGAAAATGTATTTAAAAGGGTCTAATTTATGCTGGAAGTGCCACAAAGTGGAGGGAACCCTGATCCATACGTGGTGGTCATGCAAATATGCTCATGTAAATTATCCACACAGAATTAAAAACAGATTCTAAAACTCACATTTCCCCAAATACCAGAGGCCTTTCTATTAGAGATAATAGGTGATGACATTCCAAAAAAGACACTCAATATTTTTTTGTACGCAACCACTGCAGCTAGAATAGTATATGCAAAAAAAAAACCAAAGAAACAAAAAAAAAACAAAAAAAATGGCAAGAAGAAGAGATACCCACAAAGGAAATTTGGCAGAACAAATGGATAGAATGCATAGAATTAGTAACTATGATGGCAAAACTAAGGAATAAGGATGAGTTAAAGATAAGAAAAGAGTGGAGGTGTTTTGGAGATTATCTTACAGGGTATAATATACAATTTAACCTACAAGTAGGAGTTAACATATGAGTAGCAGATAACATCAAAAAGGAAGTCTTGAAATGATAATGGGTAAAATATGAGGATATGCAGCAGATCAAGATTTCCATAGTATGCCACAGAGAGATGGATTAGGAAGTCTTTGGAAAAGAAGTGATGAATACAGTACAATGTGTGCATAAAAGCTGTTAAAATTTTATAAATAAAAAACAAATAAATAAAAGAATGCTGAGAATGATGGTTCATCCATGTGGGCAACTGCCCCACCTTGCCTCCCACTGGGAGCCCATGCACATAATGGTAACTCTTTGGGTGGTACTTACCATCAGAACAGTCATCCCCTACATAACCTTCTTCACAGACACACTGTCCGTTGACACAGCGCCCGAGATCGTTGCAGTTGTTGGGGCAGGACTGCTCACTGCAATCTTGTCCCTGGTATCCCTCGTCGCATATGCACACTCCGTTGATGCAGCGCCCTTGATTGTTGCAGTCTTTGGGGCACTGCAGTTGGCTGCAGTCTACCCCGGTGAAGCCCTCTTCACAAACACACTGCCCATTCACGCAACGGCCTCGGCCACTGCAGTTGTTCACACAGGCCAGTTCTCGGCAGTCATCCCCAACAAAGCCTTCATTGCAAACACACACACCATCGATGCAGCGCCCACGGTTGTTGCAGTCATTGGGGCAGGTCCTTTCAGCACAATCCTCCCCTGTGTAGCCCTCATCACACACACACTGGCCATTGATGCAGCGACCATGCCTGTTGCAGTCTTTTGGGCACCGCAGTTCACTGCAGTCCACACCAGTGAAGGCGTCATCACACACACACTTGCCATTGACACAGCGTCCCCGGTCGTTGCAGTCATTGGGGCACTGCAGCTGCCCACAGTCCTCACCCACAAAGCCCTCGTTGCACACGCACTGCCCATTGATACACCTTCCATGGTTGTGGCAGTCATTAGGGCATTTCAAGTCTCCGCAGTCATCCCCCATAAACCTCTCATCACACTCACACTGCCCCTTGATGCAGCGGCCACGGTTGTTGCAGTCATTGGGGCAACGCAGTTCACTGCAGTCATCTCCCATGTACTTTTCATTGCACACGCACTGGCCATTCACACAGCGACCATGGTTGTTGCAGTCACTGGGGCATCTCACTTCTCCACAGTCAAGGCCCAGGAAACCCGCATGGCACACACATTGTCCATTAATGCAACGGCCGCGTTTGTTGCAGTCTTTGGGGCACCTCCGGTCGGCGCAGTCATCCCCCATGAACCCTTCATAGCATACACACGAACCCTTGTCACATCGACCATTCCCATGGCAGTTGCTGGGACAAGTCATTTCCCCACAATCTTCTCCAGTGAACCCAGCATCGCAATAGCAGGTCCCATTAACGCAACGGCCACGGTCGTAGCAGTCGTTGGGGCAAATAAGCTCACTGCAATCTTCTCCAGTGTAACCTTCGTCACACTCACACTCCTCCTCCACACAGCGCCCACGGTTATTGCAGTTATTGAGGCACAGGGATTGGCTGCAGTCTGTCCCACTGAAGCCTTCTGTACAGATGCACTGCCCATTGACGCATTTCCCATTCTCACTGCATGGCACCAAGCAAACTTCCTGGCTACAGTCCTCCCCGGCGTAGCCATCAAAACACACACACTTGCCATCAACACATTTGCCTTGGTCATTGCAGTCCCCAGGACATGTCAGTTGCCCACAGTCCTCCCCTGTGAAGCCTTCATCACAAATGCACTTGCCATTGACACATTGCCCTCTGTTGTTGCAATTCTGGGGGCATTCTGGTTCAGAGCAGTTGGGGCCCTTCCAACCAGGTTCACAGATGCAGCCACAGACATCATTACTGTAGTTTCCCCGTCCACTGCAGTAGGGAGTAGCATCAATGTGACCTGTGCCAGTGAAACAAGGAAGCAGGCCATCATAAAAAAAAATACAGCAATAGCTAACAAAGAAGCACCAAAAAACATTATGGATTAGAAGTTTCCCTCCATTAACATAAACACATGAGAAGAGCCCTGCCGGATCAGGGCAACGGCCCATCTAGTCCAGCATCCTGTTATCACAGTGGTTGCCTGGATGCTTATGGGAATCCCACTAGCAGGACCTGAGCACAACAGCCCATTCCCCAACTTGTGATTCCCAAGAACTGGTACTCAGAGGCACACTGCTACTCTTTCCAAGTCCTGGTTTAAGTCAGAAATTTTCCAAAAAATCAAACTTGAAAAAAAACAACCAATCACCTGTACTGGCATCCTTTCAGCTTCTGACAATACTTACGTAGGCGTTCCCTTGTTCTCTTGACTTGAGGCTCCTGTTTTAACTGCTTTAATGGGATTGTTTTGTTACATGTTTTGATGATGCAAGTTTATATTGTTTTAATGTTTTATTCTCCAACTAACTTATATCTGGAACAGACTCATTGAAATTAGTCATGACAATTAATTTCAGAGAGTCTTCCCTGAGCTATGTCTCTGTCTGCTGAAGCAAAATTCTCTTTGGCTAGTGGACAACTGAGTGTTAGCCGTGGGCAAGCTGAAATTCATCGCACGACAGAGTGCCAAATATGTTGTGCAGCAAAGTTACTACAAACTTGCTTATGCATTTTCTTGTGCAACAGCATTCACAAACAGAACACGTATGCCACTAAATGCCTTTAACATAGAATTTACCGGTACATTTAATACAACACAATGTGCTGTGCATTGTGGATGTTGTTATATTTGTGTAGCTGATTTTTTATCCTACTTACATACTTATCTTGGCATTAAGCAATTAATGAGAATGAGAATGAGAATGAGAAGTTGGTTCACTGACTTTTCTGCCTTCCTTGGCATTCTTGATTCATAAACCTGCACTGATAAAACATGGTGGGGAGGAATCTCAGTAACTGCAAATGTATGTATGAATGCAGGATTGTTTTCGTGTGGCCTTTTCGGGCCTGTTCAGAGCTCACTGGATGAAGGATGCATGGGGAATGCTTTTCCAGGGCTGACAAAAGTGGCCTGTATTACCATGCTTCTGCTAAGGCCCGTCCTCTAGTAGGGTACCTATGGCCAATCCCAATTGCTTCCTAACTGTGATGCACCACCTCTTTGCATATAGTCTATCGCCTACCCAGGGGTGGGAAACTCAGGCTACAGAGCCATACGCAACCCTCCATGCCTCTTTTTTTGGCCTTCAAGAGGACTCTCTCCAGATCATAGACCCTCCCATAGGCTGCATCCAGCCTGAATACATTTGGGTGGCTAGAATGCTTCTTTGATAATGCTTCTTGCTTGCCTGGATGGGGGATGGAGAATTGTGATGTGTGTATACAGACTTCTCACTTTTGCATGGCCGGAATGCAACTTATTGCACAAAAGTGAGATAGAATCCCTAGCTACCCACCATCTATTCACAACACACTCACCATTCCAAACAGGGAAAAGTATCAGCCACACTGGGGTTTATTTTGTGACTGCTAATAGACTTTAATATTGATTCCCCTTTAAATGTTGAGTGTTTTATGCATTTTGTGTTCTGAATGTGTAAGTAGGCTCTTTGAAGAAATATTTGGGAACTGGTGGTATACATTATTAAACAGAATGAACAACTAAAAAAACTGCACCCTGTACCTGTTATCCATCATGGGCCTTTCTCGACTACAACTTCCTTTCCTGATTTATTTATTTTGGTCCACCTAATAGACTGAAAGCCTTTTAGGACAGCAGACATCTGAGGAATCTGCAGTTTATTGTGCAGCATTTCTGAATCCCACAACAATAATACCTGTTGTTATGGCTTGGTGGTAGAACATCTGCTCTGCATGCACTGGAGCCTCTGCTCCAGAATTCAGCGGCTGGTCTGGTTACTGGGAGTGGCAGTCGAGACCATATAACACTGGTCCTGAAAGACCTACATTGGCTCCCAGTATGTTTCTGAACACAATTCAAAGTGTTGGTGCTGACCTTTAAAGCCCTAAATGGCCTCGGCCCAGTATACCTGAAGAAGCATCTCCACCCCCATTGTTCAGCCTGGACACTGAGGTCCTCCTCCGAGGGTCTTCTGATGGTTCCCTCACTGCAAGAAGTGAGGTTACAGGGAACCAGGCAGTGGGCCTTCTCAGTGGTGGCACCCTCCCATCAGATGTCAAGGAAATAAACAACTACAGTGGTGCCTCGCAAGACGAAATTAATTCGTTCCGCGAGTTCTGTCGTCTTGCGATTTTTTTCGTCTTGCGAAGCACGGTGTCGGGAAAGTTTTGGAAAAGCGTCAAAAATCACCAAAGTCTTTAAAAACCTCAAACACGGCCACCACACCGTGTTCGATGAGTTGCTCCTCGAAGTCAAGTCGCAACTGTATTAACGGTGTTAAGAAAAAGGAAACAAACTTGCAAGACATTTCCGTCTTGCGAAACAAGCCCATAGGGAAAATCGTCTTGCGAAGCAGCTCAAAAAACAAAAAACCCTTTCATCTAGCGAGTTTTTTGTCTTGCGAGGCATTCGTCTTGCGAGGTACCACTGTATCTGGCTTTTAGAAGACATCTGAAGGCAGCCCTGTTCAGGAAGTTTTAATGTCTGATGTTTTATTGTGCTTTTAATTCTGTTGGGAGCCACCCAGAGTGGCTGGCGAAAACCAGCCGGATGGGCGGGGTATAAATAATAAATTATTATTATTATTATTATTATTATTATTATTATTATTATTATTATTCCCAGCATCTCCTGGTAGGACAGGAAGAGCCCCCTGCCTGAAACTTTGGAGAGCTGTTGCCAGTCCGTGTAGACAATGCTGGACTAGATGGACCAGTGGTCTGACTCAGCATAAGGCAGCTTCCTTTGTTCCTAACTCAGCACCCCAGTCATTACATTGTTGAAGGGCCACAGCTCAGTAGTTGGAGCATCTGCTTTGCCATACCTATTGCTGGTTGTCCACTGGGGCAGCACCCGGATCCACTGGTGCACTGGTCTCGCAGAGAGGACACCAGTCCCTCCAGTTCCTCCAACCTACTTAGGAGATCCTTGATATCAGGGGCTGCTGCACAGCCACAAGCCCGCCGTGGGATGTTTATCCTGTGTGTGAAGACAATCTGGTTCTCCTCATTCAATGTATGCTCCTGGTATTGCTTGTCCTGCTCAGTCTGAGTCTTGAGTTCTGAGTCGCCACTTGCTGAGTCCAAGTCCACAGAGCAGAGGTTGCCTGCGGGGACTTTAATATTGTAGACATGGTTAAAGACCACAGGCTGGTTGTCCTCCGGCAATGTGACATTGAGTCCAGCCTCCCTCTTCTGCCGAATAATTCTTTTGATGAGTCCACCATGAACGTGTTGATGGAATAAAGCGATGGTCACCAAGGCCAGTACCCAAACATGGAGGCCCATGTTGAGGTTCAGTTCCTTGGGAATTCTCTTATGGCTTCAAATCTCCTTTATGTTCACAATAGAAAGGAACAATGAGAAAAGCTTGTTTCGATGTGATTGTGCCGATCAGCTCTCCCTCCTATCAATGGTCCTGCAACAGTTAAAGTTACATGGAGCAAGTTACTTCTCTGTGAAACCAATATCATGACAGGGTGGTTGACCTCCAGGAAGAGGTCAGCAGTGAGTTCAGAAGCGATCAGTTTGCAACTGAATAAGACCTTCAAAACTGTGGTGAAACAGAGTGGCAGATGCAGACTCTAGGATATGCTGAGCCCAAACCATTTAAGTTGTTGTGGAGTCAACACCAGCACCTTGAACCAAATCTAGAAAGTGATATGGAATAGAGATGGGTGAACACCCCTTGGCTTGATCTAGAAGAAAATGTGTCCTTCTGAGCTTCCTTGATTGGTGGGGAAGGTCCTCATCATCTGGATGAGGCCTTTGTGTGGCTCGTGAAATATTAGCCTGCAGTGGGGAACCTTATGTCTGGGGGCTAAATGCAGCCTTCAAGGTCTCTGTACCTGGCACTTAGGACTTTCCCTGAGCTACACCCACTCTCCCTAGGCCACGCCCATCACCAGTCCTTTTCCATGTCCTCCTTTGAGTGCTTTTGTTTGGCTGGAATGAGTTCATGGACTATTACAATGCCTCTTGCTTGACTGGATTATGTTTGTGTGTATATTTGGCACGGTTGGGATGTAGCCAACTGTACAGAAGGTAAGAGTTACATCTGTTGCCACACCCATTTTTGCATCTATTGTTGTTGCTCTTGTTGTTATTCTACCACATTATTCAATTCAAACAAACACTCAAATAAATAAAAAAGAAATAGAAATCCAGTACATAATATTGAAACCTCAAATGCAGTAAATAAAAAAGAACATTCATTGGGAGCAGCAAAACGACTTCTCAAATCCATAATTGTATTCCTGAAGATGAGGGTAGCTTGAACATCCCCACACTTTGCACTGTTAAGTTGGATGGCTTTGTTATTGCTTGCACCCCTTCCATGCCCTCCAACATTTCTCCGACAAAACGAGGGACATCCCATTCCATATTGATAATTTTCCTATTCATACCCTATACATCATATTGCATTGTCCTAGGCACTCTGGGCAGCTTCCAACACATATAAAAACATAATAAAACAAGAAACATTTTTTAAAATATTCCCTAGACAGTCTTCAGATGGCTCGGCGGTCAGATAATTCCATACCCTCCAACATTTCTCCAGTGAAAATCGGGAAATCCTAAGGTACTGGCTTCTGCCAATTACTTCTTGGTAGCTCAGTTTACCTTTTCATAATAAAACACAGAGCCCCTGGGGCACAGCAGATTATTTCTGTTGAAACAAGAGAGGCAAGAGAGAGGCCACTGTGTGCCCATAATTATTTAAGTATGCTTAGAGAGATGTTAAACCAAGGAGGTGGGCTCATGATACCTCTAGCTCCATCAATCAGGAAGAGAGAATGTTGTTGTTGTTGTTAATTTTAGGCCTGTGCACTGGTTTCAGTCAAAGTCCACATCCTGAACAAAACAGGGCCAATGAAGGGGGATCCAGGCTTTGGCTGAGGGGGAGCAAGTTCTGGACTGCCCTGGGTTAAGGATTCCAAAGTGGCCAGGGCTGTTAGGGTATGAAGCATCAGGTAGGAAGAAGATTTGGCTATTCATCTATGCATCTATTCCCAGATGATACAAACAAGAGCACATTAATACTGAGCAGGATTGAACCCTAAGGTGATTCAAACCAGCAGGCTGCAGGTGTGTGATACGCCAGCATGATCATTTCAGGGAATGTGCTAGTGAAACATCACCCAGCAGGGTGGACCCTCCTATTCTGCAATGTGGTCAAGAGGAGGGGATGGACACACAGCACCTCCTTCCTCTGGCCCTCACAGCCATGTTTATAATTAGGATTTTAAAACCATCCCTACCACTGAGTTGAGTTGGGGCCAGATCCAGGTTGGATATTCCCTGGGTCAGCCCAGCCTAGGTTGGGGGGAATTGGGGGGCCCATTGCATTGGTGGGGAGGCTGTGCATAGCACTCCCATTTTTACATTTCTCTAGGCAATTAACAAATATACCATAAAACAACTAAAAGTATTTCTAAGCACCTACAGAAAACAACAAAATGAACACCCAAGGCAGATACCTTTTCATCCAGCTGGAAAAGCTTGTCAAAACAAAAATGACTTTAGTTGTTTCTGTAAAGTATGGATAGTGTATGCCTGTCATATCTCAACAGGAGTACTTTTCTGCCAGGATGCTGTTAGCATCAATGTATGTGTGCATCATGTAGGAAAACCATAAGCAGTGGAGACTGGTTTATTGGGGCTAGTGGGGCATTGCCCCACCAACCTCAGCCTGTCCTCAGCACATCCCAGACCTCCTTGCCTTTCTACTTCCAACCATTGCAGGGAGTGGCCCTGCCTGTCAGCTTCCTCCTCCTTTTTTGTAGAACCCAACAGAGACAAGATGGCGAACAAGAAAATAATTAGTTCACTCTACCTATATCTTTGGCTCTGGCTGTGCCTATCATTGACTCTCGTGGCACCTGCTGTTGGGATCCCACCCTTCTGCACCACCAGTTCTAATGAGGATCAGCTTCCATTGGTCAGAAGGTGTTTCTTATATTATTATTATTATTATTATTATTATTATTATTATTATGACTTCTTATGAAATACTCTAAAAGAATCTAGATGCATGAGCTAGATAATCAAGAAGACTCTGGGTATTATCAGGTTCAGTCAAATGCAGTTACCTTGCGGAACCCACATTTTAGCAGCTTCCTTACAAGGATATCATGGGGGGGCGGTGTCCATAGCATTACTGAAATCAAGATGCACTATGTCGACAGAATTCCCTTGATCCACCAAGATCGTAACTCATGGAATTAGCTGTCAAAAGATGCAGCAATAGCCACCATGTAGCTTAAAGCAAGGATGAGGAACCTGTGGCCCTGGACTACAACTCCCATTCACCCCAGCCAGTACAAACAATTGTCAGGGATGTTGAGATGAGCTGTTAAATGAGCTACTTGTTGAGACTCCCCCTGCCAAAAAAAAATCCAACACAATACACAGCCAAATATAGACACAATTGTTAATGAAATAGAATGCACTGTGCATGGGTAAAACTTTTCATATACTCCCCATAGTATTAAATCATATGGAACAGGGGTGGGGAACTGGAGGTCTTCCAGATGCCATTGGATTACAGCTCCCATCATCCCTGACCATTAGCCATGATGTCTGGGGCTGATGGAGTTCACAACACTGGGAGAGCAGCAGGTTTCTGTATTCACTGATGTAGAAAATAGAAAACTCATTTATACCAAGGCAGGTCATTGATATCTGTCGGTGGACAAAAGCTGGCTTCCTCGGCCTGAAGCAAGATGAGCAGTGTACCCCATAGTTGTCTTTGACTGGACTTAACCGTCCAGGGGTCCTTTACCTTTTACCTATTCCCTTTTCTGCCTGAAGGTGGTTCTGTGGCTTGAGACCCCAACCTGAAGCCTTCAGCTAAGTCCTAAGGTTACCAGAGTTTGGATATAATCTGTAATAGTTTGGTTAGTTTTGTAGTGTTCAAGTTCCAAGTTCTGCAGTCCCTGAAAACCCCCCAATAACCAGAGGCCATAGAACAGCCTTCCCTAAGCTGGTGCCCTCCAAATGTTTTGAACTACAACTCCCATTATTATTGGCCATACAGATTAGGGCCTGTTGGAATTGGAGTTCTGAACATCTGGAGGGCATCTGGTTTGAAAAAGCTGCCACAGAAGTGCCAATGTTCTTGTTCTGCAGCCTTCTCTAACTCAGGTCAATTTCTCTTTGCTTATATATTTCAAGCTGCCAGGCGCTTTGGTGTGGGAACTTGGAGGAACCAGTGAGGTCAACTCACTTGTGCATGCTCCAATGAGATGCAAGGGACCTCATTAGGGCAGATTAACAAAAATGAACAGTGGCAGTCAGAGGAGGCTTTCATGGGGAACAGCTTGAAATGGCTTGCCTTGCTTAATGAAAATCTGCTAGTAGATCCAGTTGCTGCCAAAAGACTCTGGGCCACAGGCCATCTTTTGGCACTTGGTGGGGGGGGAACCAGTGTGTCTTGAAAGGGATTGGGTTTTTTAAAAGAAAAAGAAAAAGGAAAGAGGAGGCAGATTGAGAGGATTGCAGCTTTTGACACAGCAGGAGTGAGAAGACTTTTGATATGTCATTGCCATTGCTGCTCTTTCTTAATGGGTAAAAGACTCTCTGCCTTCGATGGTTCAACTGTATGGAGAAAGTGGGAAAATAAAATAGGGATTTAAGGATTTTCCCATGTTATTTTACTTTATTGCAGGGATGGGGAACATTTATCTCTCTGGATATTGCTGGAATTCAACTTCAATCTCCCCAGATCATTGATGATGTTGGCTGTGGCTGATGGGAGCTATTCTTTGAAGGCAGAGATTATCAGCAGCAGTGGGTATTTGGGACAAGCATCAAGAATATATATTCACATCCACCTCACAATGACAGGGATCTGGAATGTGAACTTTCATACTCAAGTACATGTGTACCCATGTGCTGTTGAACTCCTGTCCTCTTTGTGGGCTTCTGAGAAGCATCTGGTTGGCCATTGTGAGAACAGAATGTGGGGCTGGATGGGTGTTTAATCTGATTCAGCAGGGCTTTTCTGATGTTCCTAGGATGTTCCAATCATCATCATAGTTGTTGTCATTTAATTCATTCATTGCTGCTTCCTTTCTTCTTTCTTTTTAAAAGGTCTTAGAATGATTTACACAACAGAAAATCCATACCACGCATTTCAAGCAAATAAAACACGAAGATCAACAATAGCAAACTAGAAGAGAATATCAGTCATAAGTAAATAGTCAAAAAGCCCTATCTGCTAATAATACTAGGTGGGACTGTGACCTGACAAAACAGAGCTCTTCTGAAGTTCCTAACGGGGAAGAAACAGTGGCTAAAGGCATGCCAGCAGTAACCTCTCTTGCTGCTCTTGCATTGTTATAGACAAAGGTGCTCTGTCATTACCTGACAAATTTATCTATGACGGGAAGGGCAATAGCTCAGTGGCAGAGCACCTGTGTTGCATTCAGAAGGTCACATGGCATCTCCAGGTAGGGCTGGGAATAGGATCCCCTAATGAAATCCTCCCCTTCATGGATCACTATAGTTTAACATAGTTAAAGCTATGGTTTTCCCAGTAGTGATGTATGGAAGTGAGAGCTGGACCATAAAGAAGGCTGATCGCCAAAGAATTGATGCTTTTGAATTCTGGTGCTGGAGGAGACTCTTGAGAGTCCCATGGAATCAAGAAGATCAAACCGCTCCATTCTGAAGGAAATCAGCCCTGAGTGCTCTCTGGAAGGACAGATCCTGAAGCTGAGGCTCCAATACTTTGGCCACCTCATGAGAAGAGAAGACTCCCTGGAAAAGACCCTGATGTTGGGAAAGATTGAGGGCACAAGGAGAAGGACGACAGAGGACAAGATGGTTGGACAGTGTTCTCGAAGCTACCAGCATGAGTCTGACCAAACTGCGGGAGGCAGTGGAAGACAGGAGTGCCTGGCGTGCTCTGGTCCATGGGGTCACGAAGAGTCGGACACGACTAAACGACTAAACAACAACAATGAAATCCTAGAAAGCCACTGCCAGTCAGTGCGGACAATATTGAGTTAGGTGGTCTAATGACCTGAACATAAGACAGCTTCATATATTTCTGCTATACATTATTTTATTTTATTTTATTTTATTTTATTTTATTTTATTTTATTTTATTTTATTTTATTTTATTTTATTTTATTTTATTTTATTTTATTTTATTTTTACTCGAATTGGCCTGTGACTCTTCCATCACAAAAGAGAAAAAAAACTGTGTGTGACAGGAACTTTTGCCAGTGTTGTTTGGGGATGGCTGTAAATGGATCCTTTTGTTTATAGCAGATGTAATGATGGGCAGGCATGGATAGAATTTCAAAAGGAACCCACAGCATGAAGCCATCACCAAGAGGAAAGATGATTCCCTTTCTCTCTGGCTAAACAAATGCAAAGGAACTTGATTTGCAATGGTAAAATAAGAGAAACCCAATCTCTCTAAGGGCGAATTCTAGACACGCTCAAGAAACAGGCATGGCTTACTGTTGTTGATCTTAATATATAATTATTTCACTTCATTTATTAATTGCTTCCCCTGAGCCATCCCAAAATGATTTACAACATAACAAAGACAGATGTAAAATGGCTACTTATATATAAACCTTTGAAACAATTGCAAATAGAAACATACACACATAGCACATACAACAACTGGGATAAAATATAACTATTTAGAACCAGTGTGGTGTAATGATTAGAGTGTCAGATTAGGACCTGGGAGACCAAGATTCAAATATGTAGGATTGGGTTTAGACACTAAGAGAGGATATATTGTTTACTTATTATTTATTCCTTGCTCAGGTTAGTAAGATCAGCCGAGTATCACCCTTTGTAGCTTAAATTTGGAAACTAAGACAAGGTTGATATGACATTCTAGGAACAACAATCCAGGATGATTTTAAGGCAGGCTGGATTTTCCTGGTATTACCTCTCCCTCCCCACCCCTCTTAAACAAGAACAATCACACAAACATTGTTTTGTGAAGAAATAAAAGTAGTATTTACTTACATAATCTAGGTATTGAAGCTTCAGTTTACAGAAGCAAAATAAAGGCAGGTTTATAACTACTATCTAAGTTACAAGAATACAAAAAATGGTTTCTGAGCTGCAGAGCTCAGACGTGCATATGTGGTCAACTTGGAAGCATGATGAAGAAAGAGGCTACCCAGGCAGGAAGGAACAATGTATTGTTACAGCTTCCTACCAAGGCAGACAAAGGAAGTGATCTCAGAGAGTTCTCTCTAGCAAATTTTACAGGAAAGCTCTGTGAGCTTCAGCCCCTTCATGGGCTCATCTGGCAAAGCATGAATTGCTGGCCTGATTCCAATAATGTCCCATGAAATCCCCACTCATTTATGAAGCTCACTTGGTGACTTGTCCAGTCACTTGTCCCTCAGCCTAACCCACCTCACAGTGTTGTTCTGCGGATAGAACAGGAGCAGAGAACCATGTATACCATCTTGAGCTCTTTGGAGGAAAGGGTGGTATATAAACGTAGTAAGTAAAATAGAAAATAAATTAGAAGGCTTCTTGAAAGAAGGCCATTTTTAGAAGGTGCACAAAGGACAAAAGAGAAGGTGCCTATCCACTATGTAAGTGGAGGAAATTCCACTAAAGTCCTGGTTTCAATATTGTGAGAAATGGACCTCCTGATAAGATGGTCTGTGGAAAACACCCTGTCCTGCAGAATGCTGTGATCAGTTGGGTGTTTAGAGGGCTATGTAGTAATATTTCATTCATATATACCAGGGATGGGGGAACCTATGGCTTTCCAAATGTTGGACTCCATCTCTCATCAACCCCAATCAGCAAGGCCAGTGGCTAAGGATGATGGGAGTTGGAGGCTATAAACTTCTGAAGGGTGATAGTATATATTAAGGATGGGGAACCAAATTGTAATCTCAGTTCTCTGAACACAGCCAAAATGCAAAAGGTGGAAGAAAGAGCAAACTTGGGGAATGCCAAGGTTTGGATATATACCCCCCAAAATGGAGTGTGACTCTACATGGGGGAGCATCCCCAAATCTCAATAAGTTCAGGGTATTCTCAGTGGCTATCGAATGCTAAGTGACTGTTCAAAAGGGAGAGGAAGTCATGCCATCTTACTAGTATAAGTTGGAGGCTTGTTTATGTTTTCTTTCTTGCTTGCATGGCTAGAATATGTCAAACAGGAGGAAAGCAGACCTCAGCACATCTGCAATCTCTTGTTAATGGGATATCTCTAACAGGGATGTCTCAATGATTTGGTGCTAATTATATGCAATTAACAGGAGTTACAGGAGATTAAATACCGAGACATGAACACAGAATGACTAATTCTGAATTATGAATGCCAGTTGCTTATTCAGACAGAGCAAAATTGATTGTTTCATTTCCAGGAGTGAGTTATGAGGAGCGTGGAGATCCTTTTATTTAGGCAAGGCTTTTCCGTAAATCTGGCCAGCTAAATATAACCATTACATAATGCACTCATTGGTGCTACTTATTCAAACATCTGACTCAAAGCAACTGTGTTTATAAAAAGTATCCAAAGTTTATCTGACATAACCCACAGCAGTCAATAGATTAATGGCTACAGTGGATGAGCTTCAGCTGTGAAAGATTTCACTGCTTGGTGTTTTTGGCTAAGATGGGTTGGCGTCAAACTTGTTAACAAAGACCCAAAGCGCAGTCCATCATCCCTCCAGTTCTACTATGTAGTAGGGATAGGCACAGACTATAAATTTTGCTTCACCCTGAACTTGAAGCTTCAGAAAACTGTCCAACAATTTCCAAAGTGCTCCATAGGCTGCCTGATTTGATAAATAGCTGGAATATATATAAATAATAAATTTCTGTTAATTTTGATGTCAGCTGAACTGATCCATACCACCAGGCTTAAACTGCAGGCTCAATTTCATTCTTTCTTTCGCTGCAAATTAATGTGGAATTGGGATTGACAGGTGAAACTGACACAAATCAGTGGCTTTCCTATCCACTCCCTAAGTCTGAGTGGTAGAAATTATACACAGAATTTCCCATTGGAAATATTGACACCTGTGATCCCAATTCTCAGTAGGAAAAGACTTGGAGCACCTATCCTGCCTTCAATGCCTTTCCCAGGCTTGAGGTAATTTTCTGGGCCTTGGGACAGGGGGAAAATAAGGTGGAAGAAGGCTTCATACACAATGAAGGCAGACATAGTTTGTTCACACAGGAAAGCAGCTCTGCATTAATTTTGTCAATACCCCTAAAGCAGGCATGTCCAGCTCCCAAAAGACTGTTATCTATTCCCAGTATAAAAAAAACTGGCAGTGATCTACCCATTGTCACTGGAGGGAGGAGGAGTGTGCGTGAGGTGGGTGGATTGCCCAGAGTTGTTGAGCTTTTCGGGGGGAGGATTGCACAGACTTTTTAAGCTCGCCCCCCATAACTTTTTGTACATGGTAAGGATCCCAAGATCTATCAGGATCAGCCAGGGATCTACTGGTAGATTGCGATATACTGGTTGGACATCCATGCCCTAAAGGAATCTGGAACAGACTCAGAAATGAAGAGCACCTTTTCAAATGAAGAAGGTGACAGTTTTGAGACAACTCTGTCTTAACCACAGGTGAAAATCAGCTCTACCCCCCCCCCCAGAACAATGGCTTTATTTCTTCTGGGCAACCTTGTGGGCTGACATGTCAAAAGAATGGTGGGTGTGACCAAAGGCAAAGTGGGTGGAGGAATTAACATCAATCTCGCCTTTGTAGAGTAGGCTAGTTTCTACACACACACACCCCTCTATCCTCCATCCTGATAACCAAGAGGTATTACCAAAGCTCAATGGCACATTCCCATCAGGGATAAACATTCAAGGAGGGCATGAAGTAGGGCTGGTGAGGGATGTGGCCTGTGGACAATCTCAGCGCATAGCACAACATTCATTCACCTCAATCTGAGGGTGCTCACTCCTGGCCTGAACTTTGTGAGCATTGCTGGGCACAGATAGATCTCATTTTAGGAGAGTCAAATTGGCTCCACTAATTGGATCATGAAGCACTAGAAAATGCAGTCAGGACTGGGAAAAATGAGGATGCATCAAAAGACAACTCATCAACAGCATGGAAACTGACATATGACAAAATGAGAAAAGAACACTAGCATGTTTGTGAGAGGCTTTTGGCAAATCAGCCAACTCAAGTTATTGATATGATTTGCAAGAGGCCATTGTTTTGGTTGTGTATGTGTGTGCTTGTTTGTGTGATAAGGAAAAGTGATAAGGTAAATCATCCATTAATAGGGGCAGGTGATGAAATTCAATTCAATTCACATTTCAAGGCAAACCTACTTCATTCACACTTTCCAAAACAAAATGCAATCCGAAACACAGCAATCCTTCAAAATTCACACACCTCTAAATTTTGCAATGCATTTCTCCTGGTCATGTGATGCACACAACACTGCCTATGCAAGGGTAAATTGTGTATAGAAATGCATATATTAGTGGAAATAGCATGCAAATAAATGCATTATGTTGGAGAAAATGATCTTGCAAAAATTTGTATAGTAGGCAAAAACTACATTCAAAAACATACATATTAGGAAAAATTTACACTAAAATGCTGATGAATGTTCACGAGGACTTTAAAAAGAAGTGCAAACTGATGTGGAGCACTAAATGAGAAATGGAGGTCAACTAACAAGGACAGCATTTCCCACCCTTACCCACCGGTAAGCTTGCCTCTTATCAGCAAAGCCGTTGCTATTATCTTCCACCCTTTTCCAGGGCCTGTCCATAAAGGGCCTCGGGTAGATTCAGTTTATACAAAGGCCATAGATTGGAAACAGCAGGTCACCATGGCACAATGAGCAGCAACGATCAGACTGAAGAGGGGGAACATTAACTCTGTTCTAAAAATGGAAATGGAGCTTCAGAAGTAGGCCACACAAAATGACTCCCTGGAAAGCAAAAAACCTGCTTCCCCGCCTCCCTGCCAGCTTCTCTTTGGAAACTCTCACTCACTCACTCTGCCTCTGCAAGCTCATTACAGGCAGTGTCGTGCCCTTAGATTAGAACCTGCTGGGAATTCAGCTACCCCACCTAGGGCGCCCATGTACCCTAATTTGCACAGGAAGGTCCTCTATTTGGGAAGGAGGCCTGTTTGAAAGAATCCTCCATTTGAATGCCTGTCTAGTCCAAGTCTGGATTGCAGATAAACAACCCTAAGAAGGAAGAGCAGCATGAGGCATACCTCAGTGGTGAAAGATCTGCTTTGCATGCAGAAGGTCCCAGGTGCAATTCCTGGTGTCTCCAGGTAGGGATGGGAGAGAATTCTGTCTGAAACCCTGAAAAGCCACTGGCACTGACTAGATGGACCAATGACTAATGACCAGTGACACTAACTGAAGCTAGATGGACCAAAGATCTCACTCAGGAAAAGGTAGCTTCCTATGGTCCAGGGAAGCTGCCCACCAACAGTAAGCACCTGGTTAGCAGACCACCTAATTAATGTCTTCCTCACTAGAGTAAGATGCATTTGATTTCTGCTTAAAGTATAGTAATTACTTCTAGATTTGCATAAATCAGCATATACTAATTGCATATAATCATACAATCTTAGAGTTGGAAGGGACCCAAGAGTCATCTAGTCCAACCCCCTGCAATGCAGGAATCTCAGCTAAAGCATCCATGACAGATGACCATCCAGCCTCTGCTTAAAAACCTCCAAGGAAGGAGAGTCCACCACCTCTCAGGGGAGACTGTTCCAATGTCGAACAGCTCTTACTGTCAGAAAGTTTTTTCGACTGTTTAGTCAGAATCTCCTTTCTTGTAACTTGAAGCCATAGCCTCAGTTTCTAGCCTCCAGAGGAGGAGTAAACAAGCATGCTCCCTATTTCATGTGACAGCCCTTTAGATATTTGAAGATGGCTATCATATCTCCTCTCAGTCTCCTCTTTTCCAGGCTAAGCATATCCAATTCCTTCAAGCGTTCCTCATAAGGCTTAGATCCAGACCCTAGATCATCTTGGTTGCCCTCCTCTGCACACGTTCCAGCTTGCCAACAGCTTTCTTAAATTGTGGCACCTAGAGATGGACACATTTGTCCCTATTGAAATTTATTTTGTTAGCTTGTGCCCAGTTCTCCAATCTGTTATGGTCGTTTTGAATTCTGAGTCTGTCTTCTGCGGCATTAGCTACTGCTCCCAGTTATGTGTCACCTGCAAATTTGATGAGCATCCCCTCAATTCCTTCATCCAAGTCATTTATAAAGAGGTTGAACAACAATGGGCCCAGGATAGAACCCTGCACCACCCCACTTGTCACTTTTTTCCAGGATGATGAATAACCATTAATGAGTACTCTTTGAGCCTGGCCAACCCCTTTGCGCCTGGCCAGCCTAAACCTAACAGTTACCTTGTTCAACCCACATTTTACCAGCCTCCTCATGAGAATATCCTGGGGAACTTTGTTAAAAGCCTTACTGAAATCAAAATACACTATGTAGATACACTATGTCCACAGCATTTCCCTGATCCACTAAGTTTGTAATTCCATTAAAAAAAGAAATCAGATTGGTCTGGCATGACTTATTTTGGAGAAACATGTGTTGGGTCTTAGTAATCACAGCATCCTTTTCTAAATGCTCACAGACTGACTGTTGAATTATCTGTTCTAGGACCTCCCCTGGTATCGATGTCAAGCTCATTAGTTGGTAGTTACCTGGGTCTTCCTTTCCCCCCCTTTTGAAGATGGGGACAACATTTGCCCACCTCCAGTCTGTAGGGATCTCACCTGTTCTCCAATAATTCTCAAAGATCATAGACAAAGGGTCTGAGATTACATCCACAAGCTCCTTTAGTACCTTTGGATGCAGATCAGGCCCTGGAGATTTGAATTCATTTAAAGCATCTAGGTGTTCCCTTACTACCTCTTTTCCTATCTTGGGCTGCAGCTCCCTCCTTACATTAGTTACTCTGTTATCACCAGGCTGGGCATCACTTTACTTTTGGGTGAAGACAAAGTAGGTGTTGAGTAGTTCCGCCTTTTCTCTATCACCAATAGCATTTTTCCGTCTTCCCCACACAGAGGACCTACCACTTGCTTGTTCTTCCTATTACTTCAGACATAGCTGAAGAAACCTTTTATTATTATTATTTTTAACCTCTCTTGCAAGCCTGAACTCCTTCTGAGCTTTAGCCAGCCTGATTTCCCTCCTGCAACTCTTGACTACTCTGTACCTCCTTTTTGTCCTCTTCTTTGGTGATGTGTAAGTGACCAAATCCCCATTTGCGATTTCCCCTCAATAAAATCCATTGCTTACATTTTGTTAGGCTGCCAGGCTCCCCTAAACAGGGATGTTGCCTTGGAGGAGTCCAGTACAGTGGTACCTTGGGTTAAGTACTTAATTCGTTCCGGAGGTCCGTACTTAACCTGAAACTATTCTTAACCTGAAGCACCACTTTAGCTAATGGGGCCTCCTGCTGCTGCCACGCCGCAGGAGCCCAATTTCTGTTCTCATCCTGAAGCAAAGTTCTTAACCTGAAGCACTATTTCTGGGTTAGTAGAGTCTGTAACCTGAAGTGTATGTAACCTGAAACATATGTAACCCGAGGTACCACTGTACCTGCTTACTCCTCCAAGGCAGAGGTGTGTAACCTCAGGGTCTGGAGCAGAATGTGACACCTCCAGGCCACAAACCTCACAGATGCTGCTCCCCAATTTCCTCCAGTGTTTCTGCCAGTCTGGAATATGCCCTTGAAGTGTGACAATGCCTCTTGATTGCCTGAATGGAGGGGCCAGAGCTGTGTATGTAAACACATGTGGTTTTTTGTTTGTATTTAGAACTCTCTGACTTCTGCGTAGTTGAAATGCTGCCTTCTGTAGAAAGGTCCTGATTGTGGAGACAATCTTGATTTCACCCACCCACCCACACTGATGCTGTTGCTGGGAGCATTCCACAATTCTGGGGTGGGGGGGGGGAGAAATCTGCTCAGTGGTAGCATCAGTCATTCCCATTTCACAGAAATCACTTTAAAAGGTAACTGCAGATTTCGCTCCATAACTTTCTTTCCAGCTAAAGGCTTACATTTTAAAAAACAATGAAAACTCAAGATTCTGGGGCACCTGCCCAGAGCAAGAATAAAAGCTTTGTATGTGTGTGTGTGTGTGCCATGATGCCTGGCTGCCAACCCCCACCTTGGCAGAACTAATGGGAGCCAGTGTGGTACAGTGTTTAGAGTGTCAGACTACAACCTGGGGGATCAGGGTTCAAAATCCCTGCTCAGCCATAACACTTACTGGATGACCCGGGGCCATTCATGCACTCTCAGCCTAAACGACTGCACAGGGTTTTTATGAGGATCAAATGGGGAGGAGGAAAAGTAGGTATGCCACCTTGAGATCCTTAGAGGAAAGGTGGGATATATGTCTAATAAAATAAATTAAATAAAATAGCACAACGCAGAACAGTACTTTGCCTTTGCCGAAACACACACTGGAGTTTTCAGATCAGTTTTCCCCACACCCCAACTACATGTGCAGCCAGTTTCCCCACCACCCTGTTTCCAACCACCCCTCCTTTTTGAAAAGACATATGTGGAGCTGGCAAAGATCTGAAAAAGATCTTTTTTAAAACATGCCTTTGGAAAGTTCATTTGCCAAGTTACACATGGTCGGGAGCTCATTTTTTGTCAATGACTTCACTTTGAATTATGCCAAGCCCTTTACAGCTTTCACTCATATAGGCCTTGTAATTCTTTTCTCTTTTTTTGTCACCCTTTGTACTCCCCCACGCCCCAAAATAAATTGCAGCAGCTAATGTGAAGTTTAAACATAAGGCTGATGTTTCAGTTTCACGATCCTTGGGACTTCTTTTTTGAAACACATACAGATCACAGATTCCACAGCACACCCTCCAATATTTCAAGGTGGGCAAATTGGGACAACCCCCCATCCTATCACTTACTCACACACTCACTGATGCCTAATGCCCACCCACTTGCCCCCACCTTTCACCCACATTCACTTCCACCGCACATACACCTGATGTCACCTTACCTTTGCTCACTCATGCATGGGCATGGCTGTCAGCTGACTGGCTGCTGCCATGTGCCTCTGCCTGCCACCACACACACACAGAGGGCCACAGTGATGTAGTTCCAGAAGTGGCACCGGCTTCCAGAAGTACATTGCTATGGCCCTCCTTGAGGGTGTATGGCGGTGGTCAGTGGCAGCCAGTCAGTGAAGGCGCAGAACCAAAGAAAGCACTGAACCATAAGAAATCCCAGGACATCCTGGGTTGGAATCGGAAGCCAGGGTGGCTTTTGTAATTCTGGGAAGTCCGGGTTAAAATGGGGCAGTTGTTCAGTATGCTACAGGCCTTTCGAATATGGTGTTTTAGCTATTAATCCACTTACTGAATAGCTGTTCCACTGGATGAAGCCAATCTGGTCTTTTTTAAAAATAGAAACTTTGATGCCGCCAAGCCTGGCAAAGAGGCTGTTGCCCCACCAACCACATTCTGCCCAGAGCCAGACTCTTCTAATCTTCTTTCTTACTTACTTACAACCAGCCCAGGACATAGCCCTGGCTGAGAGCTTCCACCTCCCCCTTAGTGTCATTGCTACCCCCTGTAGAACTCAGCTGGAAGGAGGATTATTGGAGAAAAACTAGAATGAATTCAACTCTGCATGTCATCAGCTCTAGTTTCACCTGCTTCTGGGCTCCACACCTTCCACCCCAAGTGTCCCAGTGGTTGAGCCGGATTTAGGGCAGCAGTGATTCCATCACACTGGGAGTTGAGCCTAGGGGCGCCTCAGGGATTTACAACTATGATGTAGTGAATTGATCAGAAAGGGGGTGGGTAGGCCACCAAATTTTGGCCTCACACAAGGTACCACTGAAATTTGAAAAACCAAACTCCACCCCTGCCAGTGGGCACCATTAACTTCCTCTTACTGCCCAGTATGATGGAACCGATTTCCATGTCTGCATTAATCAGTGATATCAGTCTTTACTGGCAATGGCTGAGAATGGAAACAAGCAGTTCAGATGTGCCTGCAGGCCTAAAAGGGCCAGCACCCTCTGCTGAAAGATGGTGTGCTGAATCTCCACTTTCTAGTTCTCCTTCCCAGAGAAGATAATTTTTTGATTTCACCACATCTGACAGAACTAGGCCAAGCAGCTGTGGGGATGTGTGGAGGAGATTAACACAATCCTTCTAGGAACCATTTATGTGGTCTCGTGCATGGTGGAAAGGGATTTTTCGTCTTCCCACACATGTAAATACACTAGTACAGAAATGTTCTTAGCAAGCAATGGATGGAACACTCACTGAGCAACCCAGGAATTATTTAGGAGGAGGGGGCAGGAAGTTCATCAGAAGGAAAACTTATCGACTCACCATCCTCATAAAAGAGAGTGGAGGTACATTTAGGCCACGTTGTACATTTAAAGCAGTATTAATGCCATTTTGAAAAGTCCTGGCTTCCCCAAAGAATTCTGGGAGCCATCCTTTGTGAAGGGTGCTAAGAGTTGTTAGGAGACCTCTATTCACCTCAAAGAGCCACAGCTCCCAGAGTTCCCTAGGAAAGAGGGATTGCCAATTATTTATTTTACTGATTTTCAATAATTTTAAACAAATTACTACCAAATTAATTCAAATTTAAAAGCTGACTCCCCCCACAAGATGTTCCTTCTTTTTCCCTCCCTGCATTGCTGCTCCAAGTACATTAGCTTTTCCAACTTTCATTTCAATATTCATTTATCCTTTCTCCCTGCGCATCCCTAGGAAAGAAGGCTTGATTGTTAAACCACTCTGAAAATTGTAGCTCCTTAAAAGGACTAAGGGTCTCCTAACACCCTTAACAAACTATAGTTCCTAATTTTCTTTAGGAGAAGCTATGTTTAATGCTGCTTTAAATGTGTGGTCTGTCATTAAAGGCCCTGGTGACCTCTGTGGATAGCCTTTTACCAGCTTTGTCTGGTCATATAACAATAACTTGGTTACTGTAGTCCAGGTAAGCTTGAGGCTGGATTACTGCAAAGCACTTTATTTGGGACTTCCTTTGGGCCTGATCCAGAAGTTCCAGCTATTGCAGAATGCAGTGGCTATACTGCTGAAGGGAGCAGATGACTAGCAGCTTGTGACACATTTGCTGAAGCATCTGCACTGGCGGCCCACGTGCTACCAGGCCAAGTTCAAGCCTTTTACATTGATAAAAGAATACCTTAAGGACTGTCTGAGCCCTTATAGTGCAGCTTAATCACTGAGATCATATGGAGGAGCACTGCTACTTGTTCCCTGTGTTACAAATGCCTGAGTGGTCTCAACTGGAAGTCAGACATTTAGTGTCCCATGCTATGGAATATTCTTCCAGTAGAGAGTTGAAAACATCCTCACTTTTGAATTTCAGACATTTCTTGAAGACCGTTTTATGCTGAGAAGGGAACAGAATGTGATTCTATATCTATCTATCTATCTATCTATCATCTATATATCATCTATATATCTATCTAATCTATCATCTATCTATCTATCTATCTATCTATCATCTATCTATCTATCTATCTATCTATCTATCTATCTCTATCCACACACACACACACAGCTAGATTTGTCTGATCATTACAATGGGTCTTAACATTAGTTTGGGACTATAAATGGTCAAACAGTGAAATGAGTTAGCAAAAGGGGAAGGAACATTTCAGAGACTGTAGAAGTAATGTTTCTGTTCTTACTCAGCACCATTGAGATTTTTGTTTTGTTTTGTTTTGTTTTTTTGAGTAGTGACTTCAGTTTGAGAATTGACAAGTTGGAATGGATTCAGAGAAGCACTCCAGGGAACTAAATGGCAAACTTCTGTGGAGAGATTGAAGGCACACTGTGTATGTTGTTTAGCTAAGAGAAAAAGGATTTACAGAAAGGAGAAGCTGACAGTTTGTATTTAAAAGGATGTCAGAAGCAGGGAGGGAGAGAAGAGGAGGAAAACTGACCATCCTGTCTTCCATAGCCAAGACAAGGAACAATGGTTTGAATTTGGCAACCTTCCCCAATTTTGTTGAATTTGGGGATATTTATAAAAGGCTTCTCATTCAGATTTCTCCCCGATTTTTGGAGTTCTGAAAATGTCCTAAGCCTTGTTCACATGAGAATGAATGCTTGCAGACCACTGTTAACCAGTGTGGTACCTTCTAGATCTGGACTATAACTCCCACTCTCCCTGACTCTCCCATGCTGGTTGGGTATGCTGGGAGTTCAAAATGTCTGGAGGGAAATGCATTGGCTACCTAATAATAATAATAATAATAATAATAATAATAATTTTATACCCAGCCACTGTGGGTGGCTCCCAGCAGAATATTAAAAATAGAATCAAACATTAAAAACTTCCCTAAACAGGGCTGCCTTCAGATGTTTTCTAAAAGTCAGGTAGTTTTTTATTTCCTTGACATCTGATGGGAGGGCATTCCACAAGGTGGGCGCCACTACCAAGAAGGCCCTCTACCTGGTTCCCTGTAACCTCACTTCTCACAGTGAGGGATTTGCCAGGAGGCCCTCGGGGCTGAACAATGGGGGTGGAGATGCTCCTTCAGGTATACTGGGCTGAGGCCATTTATGGCTTTAAAGGTCAGTATCAACACTTTGAATTGTGCTTAGAAATGTACTGGCAGCCAATGTATGTCTTTGGGACCGGTGTTATATGGTCTTGGTGGCCACTCCCAGTCACTAGTCTCGCTATATGTACAGGGAATGAACAGAATTGTTCCAGCTCTGAGCTGTTGGTCCCATCCTGTTTGAGTGTTTGGATGATGGTGTAAAAAGTTATTCTTTGCCTAAGTGATGGATGTAGCTCAACAATAGGGCATCTGTATGCAAAAAGGTCCCAGAACAATTGATAGAATAACTTTACATTATCTCCTTTGGACCCTCTCTATGATGGTGCTATGCATTTCTGCACTTAATTCAAAATGTGGTAAGCCAGTCCTTGCTCAATCAGCTGAGTGCTGCACTGGACCTCTGCCCTGAACTCCTTCCCTAAGTGCACCACTGATTTTGCAAGGAGAAAACTACAATATGCATTTATCTATGAGCAACAGATGAACAAATCAATGGAAGCAGCCTTCTGTGAGAAAATCTCCATTTGGAAAAGATAGCAGTGTTCTGCTTTGGAAGAATGGACCTTGGGTGGATCTACAGACAGGGAAAAAAACCACTATAAATAAGTCAGAAATTAAATCGTTTTAACAAGGGGGGGGAATGCTATGGAAGATTGCTAGGTTCGGGGGCAGCTCGTGGGCAAGTTAAATGACCCCATGGGCCACTTGTGGCCCATGGGCCTTAGGTTGCCTACCCCTACCCTAGGACAAACCTTGGTTGAAGCTTGTGGTTAGTCTGGAGACAGCTAAACCAAGAACCTGGGTTTGGATAACATACTAAACAGAACTGTGGCTTAGCACAGCACAGTGGCAGAATGATTGGGGAGGAGCAAAGTGGCCTCAATCCCCTCTCTCGAGCTCGCATGCTTGCACCAAGTCACTAATGCTATCCAGTTGCAAAACTGGTAAGTTAGCATTGCTTTCAATTCCTCCAAAGGAAACAGATTGACACAGCACTGTTCCACATATTTCACAGCAGCAAAGCTGAATCTGCTACTCTGTATCACTGAGCACCAATTCCTACCAAATATAAACTAAACAGCTAATCTGGACTCAACATGTGTGCTTAAGCAGCCCTGTTTGGCCATTCTGCTCACAGTTAACACCACCACATGAACACAAATCAGGGCTGCACCAAGTAGCCTCTCTCCTTGCCATCTCCGCATAGGATGCAAATTTCTCATGGGAGGAGGAGATGTGGCTCAATGGTAGAACATCTGCCTTGCATTCTAAATGTCCTAGAGTCTCCTCCAGCACCATAACTCAAAAGCATCAATTATTCGGCAATCAGCCTTCTTTATGGTCCAGCTCTCACTTCCATACATCACTACTGGGAAAACCATGGCTTTAACTTTTGCTTCTAGCATTGCCCAATACTAGCATGTGGCCCCTGGAAGGTTGCCTAGAAGGGAATGTGGCCCTTGGACTGAACAAACAACAACCCTGCTTCTGATGTGAATGAGACCAGTCTATTCACACAGAGGTCTCCCTCTCCCACCAATCCCAGCTGCAAGTCCTTAAAGCTCTCCCTAGCATTTTCTAATCAAACAAGAAACATTCTCATGAGAGAAAGGGCAATCAGGTTTCTGCATAATGAAATGTGTATTTTAACCTTAATTAGATGGACATGGCAGGCTCTGCCTACTCATTATGGCTGAAGACATGTCAAGTCTCCTTTCAGTTCCTCAGAAAGCAGTACTGAAACCCACCTCTCATTCCCGCACCCTCCCCACACATCCTGCTTGCCAGACAGACAGCCTCTTGTCAGGCCAAGGAACTCCCAACTCTCCGGCTTATTTACATCACATTTGGGGAGGGGGATATTTCAGGATTTCCTGGACAAGTGCCTGGTTCTTAATTTTTCCCACATGTGGAGAACATTTGCCACTGACAAAGAGAGTCTGAGGAGAAGAAAATACTGTGGCCAAACCTGAGAGCATCCTTTGAATACAAAGCAGATTATTGCTCACTCTTAACAGCTTTGTGTTTCACCAGCAAATGGGCCACTAACTTATTCATTTTTGTTTCATTCTCAGGTTTCCCTCTGATATTTGTTGGTTTTTGAACTAGTAGACAAAGTTGATTTTTGGTTAGCAGTCATGTCTGTGTCAAACTCTAGCTCCGAAAACTAACACTGTGCACCGTTCCCCACCCACTTGACCCAATCCAGGCCAACCTGAGGAATCCAAGATCCACCCTCAAATCAATTTGGGTGTGGGGCAAATGTTTAATAGGATTTTTAAACCCTAATTAAACATAGGGGCAGGAGCTTCCTCCTTCCCCATCCACCAGCCATGCAACAGACAGGAGGGTTCAATCTTGCTTGGTGCTGCTTCACCAGTGTGTCCCCTGAGGGGAATTTGCTGGTGTTGCCTACATCTTGCCTCCAATTGCCATGTTACCAGAGCAATCCACTTTTGGGGAAGGAAATCTTGAGGAACAGTTTGCAAAATTCAGGGGAGACACATTTAAGTTTGTGCATTACAGTGGTGCCCCGCAAGACGAATGCCTCGCAAGACGGAAAACCCGCTAGACGAAAGGGTTTTCCGTTTTTGAGTTGCTTCGCAGGACGAATTCCCCTATGGGCTTGCTTCGCAAGACGAAAATGTCTTGCGAGTCTTGAGATTTTTTTTTCGCTTTCCCCCCCTTTATCTAATCTGCTAAGCCTTTAATAGCCTTTAATAGCCTTTTAGCAGCTAATCCCCTAAGCCTTTAAGCCTTTAATAGCCGCTAAACCGCTAATAGCGCTAATCCGTTAAGCCGCTAATAGGGTTGCTTCGCAAGACGAAAAAACCGCTAGACGAAGACTCTCGCGGAACGGATTAATTTCGTCTTGCGAGGCACCACTGTATTTCATGAAGTGCAGATGAAGCAGGTTTTCATTAGAATGTGAACCACACTACATTTCCCTCCCATCCTCAATTCGAAGTCCATTTGGACACCTTTAGCCAAAGTGATACCATGCATCCCTAAGGTCAGAAATGTCCTGAGAATGTTAGGTGTTAGCAACCTTGCAAGCCCACAGTCAGCAGAGGGCAGCATTGAGAGCAAGAGACAGTGTATTTTCCCCTATGTGGTTTCCTGCCAAACTCGCAAGCTCCGCCCCTTCCACCTCTCTTGCAGGAGACAGCCATGAGAAAGTAGCTCCACCATGTTGACTTAGAATTCAAAACTATCCTTCTAAATATGAAGTAAGCGTAAATAAAAAAAACAAACATTTTCTTCTTTATCAACGAAACCTCTTTTTATTTACTCTTTTATGCAATACTAGTAATATGTGAATGAGACAAGTGGTGGAGGGAGTGGATAGCTCCAGCTCCCGTCCCTCCAACTCTCCTATATAAACCTAATTAAAGAAGAAGAAGCAAGTAGAACATTGCACGGGAAATTAGTCTAGCAGCCTCTGAAGGGCAGCATGCTCTCCATCCCTATTCAAGGCAGCAGCATGAGGAGACTTAGCACTTAGACAGCTGATACAACTACCACCCTAATCAACCTGCTTCCATCAACCCTTATCTTATATCAGGTTCTGCCTAGTCAAGCACCTGTTCACCCCTGCTGTGTTGCTACCTGCACCCAACTTCCTCCTGTTGCTTTCTGAACTTCAGCAGCTGCTTTTGAAACATGGCTCAGTTGCTGGAAACTGCAGTAGGGAAGAGATGCTGTTTCATTCAGGGGCTGTTTGCTGTCTACTAATGGGGGCATCCTGGGCTAGAAGGACTAATCAGCTTACAATATATAATGGTAAAGGTACCCCTGCCCATACGGGCCAGTCGTGTCCAACTCTAGGGTTGTGCGCCCATCTCACTTAAGAGGCCGGGGGCCAGCGCTGTCCGGAGACACTTCCGGGTCACGTGGCCAGCGTGACGAAGCTGCTCTGGCGAGCCTGCACCAGCGCAGCACACGGAAACGCCGTTTACCTTCCCGCTAGAAAGCGGTACCTATTTATCTACTTGCACTTAGGGGTGCTTTCAAACTGCTAGGTGGGCAGGAGCTGGGAGCGAAAGACAGGAGCTCACCCCGCCGTGGGGATTCGAACCTCCGACCATGCGATCGGCAAGCTCTAGGCACTGAGGTTTTACCCACGGCGCCACCCGCGTCCCTTACAATATATATACCCCACCTTTTCCCCTGATGGGATTCAAGGCTTACAGATGAAAATGAGAACTGCTAAAAACAGAAAAATCAATCATTAAAATACAATTAAACATTGATAGAATTAAAACTATATATTATTTAAACTGCAGGTGGTGACAGCAGTCACGAAATTAAAGATGCCTGCTTCTTGGGAGAAAAGCGATGACAAACCTAGACAGCATCTTAAAAAGCAGAGACATCACCTTGCTGACAAAGGTCCATATAGTTAAAGCTATGGTTTTCCTATTAGTGATGTATGGAAGTGAGAGCTGGACCATAAAGAAGGCTGATCGCCAAAGAATTGATGCGTTTGAATTATGGTGCTGGAGGAAACTCTTGAGAGTCCCATGGACTGCAAGAAGATCAAACTATCCATTCTGAAGGAAATCAGCCCTGAGTGCTCACTGGAAGGACAGATCCTGAAGCTGAGGCTCCAATACTTTGGCCACCTCGTGAGAAGAGAAGATTCCTTGCAAAAGACCCTGATGTTGGGAAAGATGGAGGGCACAAGGAGAAGGGGATGACAGAGGAGGAGATGGTTGGACCGTGTTCTCGAAGCTACTAACATGAGTTTGATCAAACTGCGGGAGGCAGTGGAAGACAGGAGTTCTTGTCGTGCTCTGGTCCATGGGGTTACGAAGAGTTGGACACAACTAAACAACAACAACAACAACAATTTAAACTATATTAAATATGTTTAAACATACCAGGATTTACAATAAAAACAGCACAACACCAGCCCTTTAATTAAAAGCAGCCAGTCCCCAAAAGCCTGTTGGAGCATAAAAGTCTTCACCTTCCGGGGGAAGGACAGCAAGGAAGGAGCCAGTCTGGCTTCTCCAGGGTGGGAGTTCCAATATCTGGGAGCAGACATTAAGAATACGTCTCTTGGACTCTGGAAGCTTGTGGCCAAATCCCCACTAGAGCTTACAGTACCCCACTCTGCTTATTTCTTTTACCTCATCTCACATCTTTCCACCTCCTTGACCCTCAATTATGAGATTGCAAGACATAATTTCCAATTGCGTTGAGGAACCTCAGGCCACCTGGAGATTCTTTCCAGACCACACAACCTTTCACAGCCACACCTGCTTTTCCCAGGTCACTCCCCTCACTGACTTCACTTCACATCCCCCTTTTGTTTTCTTTGCTAGATTTGAACTCTGATCATGACTCTTACATGCCTGGGTGGAGGGCAGAGAGGGATGTGTGAGGGTAAAGAAACCAGTCTACTGTGTAATGGTAAGATTCACATTTGCTGCTCTGCCTACTTTTCCTTCTCGCCCCATCCACCACTGGTATGTGACCCCCAGAAAATTACCCAGAAAGCATGTGGCCCTTGGGCAGAAAAGGTTCCCCCACCCCAATATACAGTCTCTTTTGGAGGAAGATATAGGATAGAAAATTGATAAATAAATTAGTAAAAGAAATGTAGTTTTACAGTTTTTCAGAAACTTAAAGCAAATCGCTTTTAAACTTTAGAAAGCAGAGAGGGCTTATATTCCAACAAGCAAATTGTGTGTTTCTAGCCTTGCAGGCTTATGAGGTTCTCACTAGCCTTTTCATTCAGCAAAATCTTTAGGGCTCACATCCTGTTTCTGAATCTGATATATACTAAACCAGTTTGTGGATTCTGTATGCACCAGAATATTCCATTCATGCCAAAAGCTTAAAGTCTGAAAAATGGTGGAATTGATCGCAGCTACTTTATTCCCTCTCAAGTTCTTATTCCCTCCCCTCCCTTCAGAATCTCCTGACACGCAGCAAATTAGCACGTAAAGAAGAACCAACATGAGAACTCCTCTCTTGATGTGCTAGCTTTTTACATGAAGGGGCCACTCTCAACATGCAGACTAATACACTGGCATTTCAAAGCAGAACAGTCCCAGCTAGGAGGGTTGTTCGATTTGCATCTTCTAACATATCGACTGACATACCAAATTGCATAGCTGGAAGGACCATAAAGGCAATCTCTGACCCAATCATGCATCTAATGAAAGGTTTCCCAAACTTAGGTCTCTAGCTGTTGTTGGACTATGATTCCCATCATCCCTGACCACTGGTCCTGGTAACTAGGGGGGAAGGGAGTTAAAGTCCAAAACCAGCTGGAGACCCAAGTTTGGGAAACCCTGATCTAAAGATAGTCCCATCACCTCCTTATCTGACCCACCTCATTTCCAAGGGCAACCTACCTAGACAATAGGTAGGCTGATTACACATTTGGATGTTGCTGCACAAATAATGGTCCTGCCCCCTTGACCAACTGTACTAAAGGAAAAGGTAAAGGGACCCCTGACCATTAGGTCCAGTCATGACCGACTCTGGGGTTGCGGCGCTCATCTCGCTTTATTGGCAGAGGGAGCTGGCGTACAGCTTCTGGGTCATGTGGCCAGCATGACTAAGTTGCTTCTGGCGAACCAGAGCAGCTCACGGAAACGCTGTTTACCTTCCCGCCAGAGCGGTACCTATTTATCTACTTGCACTTTGACGTGCTTTCGGACTGCTCTCTGGTTTCACCTCAGATCGTATAAATCTTTCGCCTTTTACGAACTGCCACCCTTCTGATCAGCAAGTCCTAGGCTCTGTGGTTTAACCCACAGCACCACCCACGTCCCAACTGTACTACTGAATATATAAACTAATCTACAGTATTCAGGGCATTACTTCCCAACACAACCTGAACTCTAAACCTGAAGAGTTTTGTAATTCCTCCTGCTAAATATTGATTGTTTGTGTGAAAGTAGGATCCCATTAAGAAGGAGAGGTCTCATTGTAAACCTGTGTTCCACCTCTGGTAGCCAGGTGTGGAAATTGTTTCTCTGCTAAGGTTACATTCCCATCCTGCCAGTGCTTATCTCTTCAGATTATTTAGAACTACTTATTTTAGTGGGTTGCATTTTCTCCCCAGCAAAAGTGGAACCAGTTATACTTTCAGCACATTAAGCTGATCCAAGACTGTGCCATAAATAAATTACCAGTTGCTTTAAAACAATAGCCATTGGGAGCACTGGGAGCACTACATAGTGCTTTGTGTGTGCTTGCAAGGGGATGAAATAAGACCCAGTAGTGAAATAGGAGCTGGCAGGCGGGGGGGGGGGGGGGAGTTGCAAGTGCACACCCCCCTCTGTCCAGGCAGTTTCTTGGCAGTCCCAGGCAAGTCTAGTCAGTCAGGAGTAAGCTGCACTAAGTTCAATAGCACTTGTTCCCGGGTAACTGTGTGTCAAGTTGAAGCCTAAATGTGCTACTGGCTGGGTTGTATTCAGACTTCCTCATAAGGGGATGCTGAAAGTGGGAGCTGATACAAGGAGGGCTGTAAGCTGAATGTGTTGCAATCTGGCTGGTGTGTCCCATGTGCTTTCTCGTGCACAACCCACAGCCTATTCTGATGCATGTTCTTGGCGCATCCTCTTTTCATTTACTCAGAAGTGAGTTTAATGGGACTTATCCCAAATGCAGTCCTCTAGACCTCGCTAGCTGGAGGCCACCATTGCCACTGTCCTCAGTGACACTTCTTTTACCCAGCCATATCCCCTTTCCAGCCTTACATCATACCTTCCTTGAGCATCCCCCCCCCCCGGACTCTGCCTCCCCAGCTGGGATATGTCCTTAAACTTGGATGGTGCCTTTTTGTTGCCTGGGTGGAAAACAGATAGGGAAGTGTGAGTGAAACTAGTCTACCGTACAAAGCAGGGGTGTAGCGTGGCGGGATCAGGGGTGCCATGGCCTTGAGCACATGATGTTGAGGGGGTGCAAACCAGGCACCCTCATGCAGGGATCCCCATCCCACCCTGCCTCCTGCTGGGGGTCTCTGGGTCCTAGAGCCCAGCCTGGCCTCACTGCTGTGTCCCTGGCCCCCTTGCTGAATGACCTCCCAGTGTTGGGGGGATTCACCTGCACAGGTAGGCAGGTTGTGCAGTGTAGCCCCGCTTGCCTGAGTGGGGAAGCTTTATTTTATCATTATTTTAGTCTGAAACCAGTTCCCCATCCATGGTGTTTAAGACTGCAGTGTTGTGAATCTAATCTTACTTCATTGAGAGTAATTCTATTAAGCAAACCGGGAGTTAGTTTGGAGCAAACACTCATAAGGTCAGGCTACTGCTCTCTCTCCCATGGGACTGAGTGGTAGATGCAACATGATCCTTCAGGCATTTCCTCAGACACATTTTTTGTTATGTCTGATGGGGTGTTTAGTTAGGAATACAACTTTAAATGGCTTAGATTTTAATAGTCGAAAACAACCTCTCCTCTGTGAAAAAGCAGCTTATCAAAAACCCTATGATAGTTTCCTTTAAGATTCCAACTTTCACTTTAGGCAGAATTCAGCGCAATCTTCAAAGTGGATTTTACAGCATTGATGCTTTTTAACTGTGTGATAGTTCTGAATTAAAACTGTAAGCCTAAGCACACTTAGCTGAGAGTAAACCCTTCTGAACACAATATTAACCATATGGAGAACAGATCCCCATTGAAAATCATAGACATGCTTAACTTAGGTCCAATAGTTTCAATGGGTCTACTCCAAGTAGAATTGTTGAATCCAACCCAGTGGGTATGGCTTCTGAATGAAATAGGACCAGCCAGCCTCAGATCCATACTACATCACACAAGACTTCTGAAGTACTTGGGAAAGCGGGCAAGAAAATGTTCCATTAATAAAAACCTACAGCCTGTCCTGAAAGATATTATACAACTGCATGTAGCTGGCAAGTTGAGAAGCTAGATCCAGCTACTTAGCCAAGCCAAGGGTTACAGATCCATTTTTCTTCTCATTCAACTCATGAGATCCCATGCTTGCACAAATGCACTATTCAGCCAGCTGATGCACAGAAAAGTGTAGAGATGAATAAAACTATCAGAGTGATAGGCGGCTCAGTGTGGAAAAAAAGCAGCTTGCTTCAAGAGCTGTGGAGAGGTGGGAGAAGAGAAGCATTTTCCATCCTCTGGCACAGATCACCCTCTGTTTTCAATAGCCAAATGAAAGAAAGATACATGCTGAACTTTGCCTTTAAATTTTTTGGTCTGGAAGCCAGGCGCACACATTTAAGGAAGAAATTGGAATCCACCGCCAAACACAAGATGGGCTTCTTTCTTTCTTTCTTTCTTTCTTTCTTTCTTTCTTTCCAATGAACAAGGTTCATTTGCATCTTTAAAAGGTTACATTCCCAATGCTATCAGTTAATCTCCATCACCCCTTGAAGTCTCAGAAACATGAATAACCCCCATTTCCCCATCCTCACTTGCCATTTTCATTGTGTGTTTGCTTTGCTACTTTAATTGGGGTGTGTGTGCCTGTGTGTGTGCATGTACACCCTCCATTAGCATGCCTTCATCTCTCATTCATTCATTGGCTAATTTATGCATCCACTGAAAACACCATAGAAACACAGATCTGATCCCATCTGGCATTACACAAAATAAACAAACTTTTAAATTTCTGCATATCTATATCTATATCTGTATCATCTATATCTAAATCACCTAGTAATCTCAAAAGCATCTCCAGGTCCAAACTCCAGCAACTCAGAAAAAAAGAACCATAAAAGAATGGAACCTATTCTAAAACATTTACTTTTCCATCCCCTGAAAAATGCCATGCTCAATGTTGGAGAGAAGACTTACCTGCTTGCCTTTGATATGTGTTAGTTCCTTGTGGTGTGTCAAGTCTCCAGGGGATAAATAGGATGCTTTACTCTTGTCCGCTTCTGTCTTGAGGGAAAAAAAATCAGAAAACTTGTCCCATCTATGGTATAGACGGGACAAGTCAGAGAGAGAAAGACAGAGAGAGGGGAAAAAGAGAGGGAGGGAGAATGTTTGACAGTAAGGCAAACTCTGGTTGGAGTAAGCAGTTTCTGCTGGTTTATATAGCTGAGTAGATCCTTAGCTCATTCCACTGTAATGGGATGCCTTCAAGGCACAGACTCTGTAGTTTTGCAGTTGGCAAATTAAAGGCACAGGTCCTCTCTGGACCCTGCGCTTGCTTGTGTGAAAGACACAGGCACTCACATATATAGGAGCGGAGGCACAAAAGGCATTTGCATGTAATTTATGATGAGAGGAAGGCATAACCGCACCCTCTTTCCTCCCCACTAAGGGACTCTGTGTGTGTGTGTGTGTGTGTGTGTGTGTGTGTGTGCGTGTGTAGGAAAATCAGCTCAAGGCATCAAATGATTCAGAGGGGAGAGCATTTCCCCAAGGAATATTGTACATTTCATTATATTTTTGTTAACACAGACCCACACCCCCCCCCCACACCCCATCAGATCACTAAGGCTGCCAGGACTCTCTAGCACAGTCCTCTTAAGGCAGCACCATATATCCAGTGTGTGCATGTGTACACAAACAAGTGTGAACTAGTTTTCCAGTGCTCATGAAAAGTATATGCTTTGTTGATAGCTGGGGCATCTCAAAAGCAGATGCTTAGGTGAATAGAGTCAGCTGCGATTTTTATTTGAGGAATTTTATGCCTTGCACAACCAGCTGGAGTTGTGGCTACACTTGGTCTACAGGTGCCTCTCCCAGAGTTTTGACAGTGGCAGGCACTCACTGACCCCCGTGCTGACAGATACCAAGCTGGGCATGGTCTAGGTAGAGAGCCTGCCCTACACTCAGTGTCTCAGCTTGATCAAGTCCCAGATCTCTTAGAATCATAGAACTGTAGAGTTAGAAAGAACCATGAGGGCCATCCCGTCCAACCCCCTGCAATGCAGGAATCTTTTTACCCTATGTGGGGCTCAAACCCATGACCCTGCGGATAAGAGTTTCATGATCTATTGACTGAGCTACCTTGTCTTGTGCCAAGGACATTCACAACACCCTCATGCAGTGCTCAAACAAGATCATGGGCAAAGCCCCATCCCAGGGGGTCCTTGAGGGCTGCCTTCAAGGTGTTTCTGCCGGATGTTTCAGCTTGAATTGCTGGGCGAGTGTCAGTTCCCAATGTGACCAGAAGGAGGCAGTCCTGTCAACAGAGACAGACAATGAGCAGAGATTCTCGTGGTCCTACCTTCTCTCCATTCCTTTACAAAATCCTCCCCGTTTTAATATTTTAATGGGGTGAGGGATGTTTCAAATCATTTTTAAATTGTTATGTGTACTTTTAAAATTAGTTTTCTATACGTTCGTTTGGTTTTAAGGGGAGAGGGCCAGGGCTGCCTCGAAAGTACGGCCTAGCCAATATAATGGCTGGGGAAGTACAACTAGGGTGGATAAAATGGCCCTACTCTTCACGGCCTAGGACCCTCATACCTACGGGACCACCTCTCCCGGTATGCCCCACGGAGAGCCTCAAGGTCCATAAATAACAACACCCTAGAGGTCCGGGGCCCTAAGGAAGTTAGATTGGCTTCAACCAGAGCCAGGGCCTTCTCAACACTGGCTCCGGTCTGGTGGAACGCTCTGCCTCATGAGACCAGGGCCCTGCAGGATCTGATTTCTTTCCGCAGGGCCTGTAAGACAGAGTTGTTCCGCCTGGCCTTTGGCTTGGAGTCAATTTGATTCTCTCCCCCTTTCTTTTTCCTTTCTCCTCCTGTGATGAGGCTGCATTTTAATTGTTTTAATGTTTTAATGTTGTATTTTAATCTTGTTTTTAAGTTGTATTTATTCAACTTGTTTTTATTATTGGTTGTTAGCCACCCTGAGCCCAGCCTTGGCTGGGGAGGGCAGGGTATAAATAAAATTTATTATTATTATTATTATTATTATTATTATTACTACTACTACTACCACTACTCAAAGCCTTGGAAATGCCTTTACCTCTGTGCACATGGGTGGTCTGACACTAAGTAAAAGTGAAACAAAAGAAGTGCCATGGTCAGATCACTTCCTGGTGCAACTAGACTTCTGTGCAACCCTTCCCCGCCGCAGGGATGTGGGACCAATTTGAATGGTCCAAATAGTAGGGGATACATTATCTCATGTTGGTGGCCTCTCAGCTGATTCCCCGGTGGCCCCCTGGAATGCAGCGTTAACCAGGGCTATCAACTGTCTGTCTCCAAAGTGCCCTCTATGCAGCGGCGGAGGAAGCCGCTTGGGTGCCGCAGGGTCTTCAGAGTCTGCCTGCTTCCTCCCACAGCTGGGGGGGGAGGGAGGCAGCGGGTGGACCGTTTGAGCAGCGTGGAGCCTGCGCACACCCAAGCCACCACGTCTCTTCCAGGAGAGACATATGGCTCGGGTGCACTGCAGGCCCCGCTGTGAGTGCCGCCTGGCATTTTGTCACCCCCCTCAGTGGTGACACCTGGGGCAGCCCACACCCACCACCTACTCCTTCCTCGGTCTCTGCCTCTCTGATGCTGTGGAGCTCAGACTGCCTCAGGAAAAACTGGGGGGACGGGAACCATGGGGTGATAAAATAATCGCCGAGACTGCTAGAGCACCATTGGTGAAAACACAGGTTAGAGTTCAATGCTGAGCCTACCAAGTGGCAATAATGATAGTAAAGAAGGCCTTCTTCGCCATCTCTTTTGCATCTGTTGAAAACAGTTCCAGGAGACTCTTTCATGTAGCTTAACAGTACCACCTTCTCCCTCAGGATCCTGTAAGGACTCCAAAAATTATTTTGCAAATTCCCCCCCCCCGATAAACTCGCTCAAATTTGGAAAGAGGTTCACTCCACCACAGGGTTCCCAACCCATTATGTGTGTGTGTGTGTGTGTGTGTGTGTGTGTATGTATGTATGTATATATGTGCTGATTCAGCCACTCCACAGCCCCTGTGTGGGTTTGCAATGAATCATCTAGCAGCATCAGCTTTTAACTGCTCTGCAAAGCATTTAACAATGTGTGGGGCAAGGTGAGAGGAGGGAGCCACTTACTCTGATGGATGGATGTCTGATAACTTTACATGCAGTTCTCACTTCCGACAGAAGCACACATGCTGGAGCCATTAGCCAACCCAGGGACTAGTTTCGGGAGGGGGGGTTGGAGTGGAGAGAGAGAGAGATTCACTATTTTCTTGGGATGTCCCTAAAGTAGGGTGATACAGTAGGATGCATGGAAAGAAAAGACTGAATTTGCTGAGGAACACAAGGACACGACTGGAGAAAACAAAGCATTCAGGGGCACAACTGAGAGGCCCCATCATGTGCTGATATTAATATGGTTTGCAGAACAGACATTATCTCTGTGGAGCCAGAAAAAAATGAAGCTGCAAAACCCCATCCAGTCAGTCCAGCATCCTGATCTCACAGTGGTTGGCCCAGTGCCTGAGAAGCGCAAGAGCAGACCCTGGACCCAACATCTGTGATTTGCAGCTACTGGTATTCAGGCATGCCGTCACTGACAGTGGAGAATGGAGTAGTCATCATGGCCATCAACAGACTTCTTTGTTGATTTGTATAATCCTCTTTTAAAAAAAAGTGAATTACACTTTTTATTTCATTTCATTAAAAAAAAATTATTAAAGATTTCTTAGTTTACAAAAATATGTGCATTGTCTCTTTTCAAGTTGTGTTTTCTACAGATCAGTTTCATTTGTTGTGAGACATTAGTGTTGTATGCAGTATTAGGTTGGGAAGAAAAGGGAGAGAGGGGAGAGGGAGTGATGAGTGGGGTGGTAATGCTTCTATTCTACTACTTAGTGTATGTGGGGAGGGGGTTGTGTCAGGGTCACTTGTATTTGTTCTCTTACTACAGTAGTATCTCTGGATGTGAACAGGATCCGTTCCGGAGCCCCGTTCACATCCTGAAGCGAACACAACCTGCGTCTGCGCGTCTGCACGTGCGCAGGTCGCGATTCACCACTTCTGTGCATGCACATGATGTCATTTTGAGCGTCTGCGCATGAGCAAGCAGCGAAACACGGAAGTAACATGCTCCCTTACTTTCGAGTCACTGTGGAGCACAACTTGAAAATACTCATCCCAAAGCTACTTCAACCCAAAGTATGACTGTATTCGCTTGTTATATTTCCTTGGTGGTGAGAAAGGTTGGGGGGTGGCCTAGGGGGTGGTTGGTTGTCTTTGGTTGGCTGTAGTGAGATTTGTTTATGTGTGGGGGTGGCGGTAGGTGGATTTTAGTATACTCGTTGAATAGGGGAGGTAATACAACACTTCACATCTGGTGCAGCATAATGGTTAGAACAAGGGTAGAGAACTGTTCTGAGCCTGAAGGATATATTACGGTACCTAACGGGCAGCTTCTCAAGTGCCTTTGCCTGGTTGGGACGTGTCCTTGAACCGTGCTCATTAACACCTCTTGCTTTCCTGGATATACAGTGGAGAGGTGCGTGTTTAGAAACCTTTGGCTTTTGTGTGGCTGGAACATAGCTAACTGTACAAAGATGAGAGTCTTATCTGTTGTCCTGCCCATCTTTGGCACCACCTTCTCCCACAATTAGCATGTAGCCTATGGAAGATTGCCCATAGGGATGGATCTGTCAATTCTGGTTCTCTTTGTCTCTCCTTTTCCCCATCTTAAATTCAGTTCTTCATGTTGCTGCAGAAATTTACCCCTTCTATACATATAAAAAAATATTCATGTTTTAGTACAATTTTCTCTTAATAAACTCATTTTATGTAAGCAATTTGCCAGTCGTGCAGATTTTTTCAATAATAATAATAATAATAATAATAATAATAATTTATTATTTATACCCCGCCCATCTGGCTGGGCCTCCCCAGCCACTCTGGGCAGATTCCCCAAAAATATTAAAATACCATAATACATCAAACATTAAAAGCTTCCCTAAACATTTTCAAAGCATTTAACTTAATATAATGCATGTTCCAAGTTATTTTCATTAATTTATTCATTTTTTATGCACACTCCCCCCTATTTTATACATTTTTGTACGCACTGTTTAACTGGAGAACTGTATAACAAAATTCAGAGAAGTGCTGATTTCAAAAGATATCTGTGTTTCAGTTCTCGTATTGTTTTGTAAACTGTAAATAGAATTTCTCCCCCATCTCTACCAGTAGTTCAATGACAGGTACTGAAGTGTTGAGCATTTTTGCCAGGCCAGAAGTGTCCTTGAACTCTGATGTGGATGGAGGACAGAGAGAGGTGTGTGAGTAAGTGTAGAAACTAGCCTACTGTACAAATATAAAATGTACATTCATTTCTCTGTCCACTTTTGTCTCTGGTCCAACCCACTACTT